GGGGCGTTGTTAAGATTGGGCTGGTTGTTGTGGTGTTTATCTGATTTTCCCACTCCATGCCGCCGCGCGGTCAGGCCTGCGACCGGAGGTGTAATATGCCAGAGAGATTTACCCGTCGGATTGGCCGTGACGCTGCGTGTGGGAAATGGCCTCATCTTCTCCACCGGTTGCGTCTCTCAACATTACTCCAGGGGGGCAATTACGAGGAATATTTCCGTGTCGTATTACTCTCATCGATGAACGCTAAGCGTAGCTTCTTTGTTGGAGGTTGATCTTGATGCCCAACTCGACCGGCCGGTGTGTGGAAGTGTCTTATTGTCGTTAGCGTCGGGGTGGCGAAACGACAAGATCAACGGTCCTTTTGAGGATCCAGATACTCGGGTCTGAGTACCTTGCCGTAAGGCTGTCAACCCTTTTTCATTGATCTTCATGATAGTGTGTCGACGGTTGTACGTAGAGAGGCTTCTTGGAAGGGGCTAGATTGTTGATCACTTGCTTACGATGGGGGCGTGTCTCTGTCCGTGAAGATAGCTCGCGGACTTTGATGGACCGGAGCATTTCCTAAAGGAGGAGAGAGAGGGAATGTAACATGAAAACATTGTAACTAATACCAATTCAATGTTGTGACTAGGTCTGGTACTTCGTAGACGTTTCCTTGAGGAATATCCCGGAGCAATGTCCGATCTGGCAGGGTGGTCGTGACTCTGGAGGGAGGCACGACGACCCCGTAGCGTGGACTCACTCCTTCAAGCTCGACAGCCTCACGAACCAGGGCATGAACTCTTTTCCCCCTTTCCTAGAACGACATTCTTGCTCATTGTGTGGCCTCATTTCTCGTGATTGCCTGAGCTTTCCACGCCCGTCATGGGGTCTCCTTCCATCTTCGTCGTTGATGATAGTAGCGAGGAGTCTCGCAGTCAAGTCTGTATGGAGCACAGGAATGCTGATCTCAGTATCATCCCGGTGCCATCACAAGATTTTGAAGACCATTCCTCGCCCATCGTGCCCTCACGAGTTGTCTTTGTACATTGCAAATACCACGAGAGCAGCAGAATTACTGGTTTACTTATTGCTTCCACCTCCCAGAGTTGGGATAGTCGATCTGGATGTACATACGAACAGTGAAAGCGATGCTGTTGTTGCTCGCAACTACTGTGGAAGAAGGTCCGAGTTCAACTTCATTTCATTGTCATGTCTTCCCAGAGAACTGCACAGGTGTGTTGCCACGAAGCTCGAGATTCTTCTTCGTCTTCCATTCCAAAGTCGTGTTCAGTGCTTCAATGCTCATGCCAATCTGCATGACTTCACCCCGTACCTACAGGCTTGCTTTCTCCATGCTGTCAAGATCTCACCAGTAATGGTGCATAGCAGTGGTGCATGGCCATGAGGCAAAGAGGGAGCCCCTCGCCCGTCGAGGAGTCGAGCCTCTCGAGCGACTGGGCCGTGGCTGTGGCTAAGTGACCGACTGCTTGCATCGGCCCATCGACGAGAGACGCTCTTGCCCCTGAGAGCGACCACATGGTCTTGATGCTATATGCAGGGCCGCAAAGGGCCGGCCCCGGTCGATGATCAATGATGTGTTGTTATGATCTGTCTTGGATAGAGGAGCTTCTCCTGCGCCAGCTTGAGACAGTTCAACATATGAACGGACAAGATCAAATCCGCGAAAAGCAACGAGATGAGCTTAAGTCGGCCCATTGAATCAGGGGCATTTGCGTTGGAAGCCCGGATATCCTCACTCTCACTTACCTGTCCAAAAGTCTTGCAACCTCTGCCCTTGCCCATGCGACCTCTCTCGTTCCTTTTTCTCGCGACTTGTGACCAAGTCCGGACGAATTCAAAACACCAAAAATGTCTATGCGATATCACCGACTGCTCTAAACCCGTGCGATGAACCAGTCGGTCCGCAATTATGCTACGTTACGGAGCTCAACTCCTGGTGAAGGCCAGTTCCAGACCCCCTTTTCTCACCCGTGACAGGCCATCACTGCTGCCCAATGGCACCTTGCAGTCTGACCCGGAGAGCCTGACTGTGCCGGGGTTGGCTCTGCTCTGCCTCAAGGACCGATGGAAAATTGCCGCAGGCTTCAACTTTTGATTCATCGGGGGCCCTGGCCAAAAGGGGCAAACGAAGGTTATGATATGTCTCTTTCTCTGTCATCTCTGAGCCCCCACAGGTGAGGTCCAGCTCTGACAGCGCCATCTGGAGGGCAAGGGGGGACCACGAGTTGATGCTTCTGCCGCTTACTCGGCCGAACGAAAGTGGTACATTTCGCTTTTCCAGTCCGTCGCGTGGAAATGAAACGGTTTGCTTCGGAACAGCGCTGCGTCCAGTCGCAAGCCAAGAAGGTACGGACCATCTCGAGTGCATCTCGACAAGCCTCCCGAATGTGGACCGGGCGGCGGGCTTGTCGGGTCCCGAGTGTCCGGTGGAGATCTTGTGTTGGCAAGGGAAAAAAGAAAAGGCAAACGCGCGCGGCGCGCCTAGCAGCAGCGATGCGCCTTTGGTGAATGCAGTTCACTGTCCCTTGTTTCGCAGGCACCGCTGTGGTCGGAGTCGGACAGTGTGCCTTGCGGTCGCAGGAGCTAGAGGATCAGCTGAAAGCATACCCGCGGACTAACTCCCACTCCAACTCTGCAAGCGCGAAGCCACACGGGTTTGGATGCGACTTGCGCTCTTGGACGGCGGTGTGATGAAAAACGACGTATCACATTCGCGGGTCCACAAGAATGCGCGGGCAGTGAGGCTACAGTTCGGCAATCTCGCTAACTAACAAGTTCGCGAGATGTGCTAGTTCATCGCTCTCTTGAGACGGGGCTGCACGTTGCCACCACGAGCAAACTGGCGGGCGGGCGGGCGGGCAGTGGCAGGCAAGGCAAGGCAAGGCAAGTCAGGGTGGGAGGGCACGGAAGGACAGCAGGATGCAACGACAGATCGACGGCGGCAGCCCCGAGAAGCAAACGGCCGCGAAGATCTGCGGGCATCCGATGAGTATGCACACGGCGGGCTGGAGACGGAAACTTCTAGCCCGCGTAGGCTGCCCATTTGCCCATTTGCCCATCCATCCCTTTCTCATCACCGCTATTTCACAGCTGACTGCCATCGTGGCAAGTCTAACGAGACCCGCGCCGTATCAGCCCAAACTGCATACCAACTCATCTCGCGATTCGACAACTCGGCGCAAGATGCCCGCTCCCGAGAACCATCTTCAGGTGAAGGAGCCTGAACATCATGCAGTCTACATGCAAATACATCTGGGTACTTTACGACACGCTGTCGACGAACAAGAAACATGGCCCCCCGCCATTAACCTCGGGATTACCTCCCACCACCTACTACTTGTAATATTGTTTGCTTTTTCTACACCGCTTGAATCGTCTCTTATTACCAGGAACGAGCTGGCTCGGTGCCCAAAAAGGACAGTCGTAAAAAACTGTGTTTATGCTTGCTTGCTTTTTCCTGCCCTTTCGCTCCCCACCCGCATCTAGATCGGCATCCTTTTCGGTCCTTGGGAGGCGGCGCGAAACCCGCCTCTAACGCGCACACGCGGGTCTGTCTGTCTGGTCTTGGAGATATGTGTGGCTGAAGAGGGGAGGGACCCGTGGAGAAGTAAAAAAAAGACAAAAAGAAAGAAAGAAAAAAGAAAGGAGAAGCCTCGCGCGATTCACACTACTGCCGCTGAAGTAGCTACGGACCCCTGTCAATCGGGGGCTTGAATGCCACACCCACCACCCAGTGCTCTGGTCGCTGGCGAACTGGGGAAGAAAAAAAAGGCAGCCAACCGGCCCCCCCCAGCCCCAAGTGGTTTGATTTTGTGACCGGGCAGTCGGCCGTGGAGGTGGAGGGCGGGGAGGGAGTTGGTTGGTGGTCATGCATGCGCAGTGGCTATCACCGGGTCTACTTTTGGGCGAGGAGAGACGACGGGCCAAGACTCTCTCCTCCTGGTCTCCTGGTGACGGGAGTTGAGTTCGGAACTCGCAGGCAGGACAGAACCCAATGAGGAGAAGGAACTGCAGTCTCCCGTGTATACGAACACGAAAGCAATGGGGTGGTGGTGGTGGTTTGGACCGCAGGAGAGGTGCAGCATCCGACAGCGTTGCGTACGGAAACCTGGTAGGTCCTGTAATCTGCAGTAGGTCGCACGGCGTGGCATGCATTATCACTTTTGTGTGATGGGTTGGGGGGGGGGGGGGGCCCAGGCCCGGGGCCAGGCAGACACACTCGCAGGGCGCAGGTGCAGCAGATGTTTGTTTCTTTTGGATGCGTGCGCGCGCATTTCGAGGGAGCGAAGCATGAAGCATGAAGCAGGTAGGCGGGCAGGCAGTCCAGCAAACAAAGCAAGCAAGCAAGCAAGCAGCCTGTTTCTTCTCGGCACGCCGTATATTGTATGCCGTGTGATTTGCGCGCTTCCACCCGGACGTGTCTCGGCATCGAGACTGACAAACATCAAAGCACGATTCATACGCCCTCCCTGCCAAGCTCCGACGCTTTGCTGGACTAGAGGCAAGTCCAGTCGAGTCACAGTCGTGTCTCTGTGTTTGTGCCTCTGGGTAGCTGCATGTATCTTCTTTCCTCCCAAGACCGTTCGGGTGATCATGGAGTCGTCATCTCGGCGCAACCGATGCAAGTAGACGCGTCCAGACCCAGGAGGTGAGGAGGAGGCCCGGGGTGCTCTCTGTACTGTACATGGACAGGATTTAGTACAGGACTAGGTCTGTCTAGGGGGCACGGGAGGCGGCCGCAAGAGATCAGCCCCCTTTTTTCTTCTTCGACTGTAACAAAGGCCACCTGCAGCTCCCGAGCTTGCAGGATCTGCATTGCCCTAGAACGGAGGAGGGACGGGAGCAGGCAGATCACGATCCCGTGTACCTGGAAAAAGCAGAGCGTGACACCCCCGACAATCAGCCCGGCCCGGGGACGGCATGGCATGGCATGGCATGGCATGGCGTGGCGTGGGCAAATGGCCCATGCCGCCTCCCAAGCGCCCGCCCCCTGACGGCTAGCCGTGCCTGTCCTCTGCGACCTTGCGCCTCTTGGGCAGCCTCCTCCGCCAGAAGTCGTCGCCCTCCAGGCCGACAGACACCTCCTTGCTGCTGCTCCCGCCGCCGACAAGGCCGGCCGCCGCACCGCGCGAGCCGCGTCCTCGCCGCCGCATGGCACGACGGCCCTCGTAGTCCTGCTCGTCGTCGTCGTCCTCCCTCCCCTCGCCCTCCTCCCGCTGCTGCTCCCCTGCGTCCGTCCCGCGCTCGCGACCGCCACCCTGTGCGACGCTGTCCCCGTCCCTGTGGTGGTGGTGGTGGTGGTGGTGGTGCAGCAGGGTCACCCCTTCGGTGAAGACGAGGTCGCCCCTCCTGCCCAGGGCCTCCCGCCCGGCCTCCTCGAGCAGGATGCCAAAGGCGAGCAGGGCCGTCTCGTCCATGCTGCGCTCGTCGACGTGCCGCGAGCCCACGAAGAAGGAGGAGTTGTCGTGATCCCCGCCGCCGCCGCCGCCGCCGCCGCCGCCGCTACGAACGGCCATGGCCTCGTAAAAGTCGCTCGCGTAGGCGTGCACGGCCTTGAGCAGGTCGCTGTCGGGCAGGGCGTCGCCGCCGGGGCCGAGGTCGCGCTCGTTGGCGAAGTAGACGTCGCGCTCGGCGTAGCGCTGGGGCGCGCCGCGGCGCTGGAAGAGGACCTCCTCCGGCGCGAGGACGGGGTCGCGGCCCGAGGTGCCCGGGCCGCGGCGGCGGTGGCGGGAGTCCTTGGGGAGGGCGCCGGTGGTGGTGACGTTGCCTGGTGGGAGTGGCAATGTCAGTGAGGTGAGTTTTTGTTTGGGGTGTGTATGTGTGGAAAGGGGGGGCGGGATGTATGTGTGGACTGACCTGCGACTGCGTCGTAGACGGTGGCCTCGCGTCTCCTGTGCTCGTAGAACTCGGCGAGGAGAGGGCCCTCGGTTTCCGAGTCGCTGGGTGCTTTTGCGTCGGGGGCGGCGATGAAGCGCGCTTCTTGGACGCTTTTGGATGTCATTTTTGACAGTGAGAGTGAGACTGAAGATTGGGGTTGAAACAGCACGGGTGGTACGGCCCGGTGTCAACCTGCCGGTTGCGAATGCGCGATATGGTGTGGTCTCTCAAGAATGAGCGTGTTCATGGCCATCATCAGCCATCATCAGCCAACAGGTTTACAATCTCATTGTTCTTCAGTCTCAGATGCTCTGAAGGTCGTGGAATTCTGGAGATGGAGACTGAAATTCGAGATATGTTTGAAGCTTAATTTACTGTGGGTCTGCTGCCTGCCAGAGAGGACTGGCATTTCGTTTCGTCATCTGCGCGCGACGTCGCGAACTTCTTCCATCACAGGCAAGACAGGCCAAACATTGAAACTCGTATATCGGCGTCCAAATCTTTCGCAACTCGTCGCAAAACAGTCTGTTTGCGTCGCGGAACTCTCTCACTTCATCAGATCAGCCGGTCCTGGTGTCAGATGCATGAATCAGCTCCTGTTTGAGCGCTCCACGGGCAACCTCGGTCCCAATGTCTTTGCCAGGTTAGAAACGACCCGGCTGCTCCGGTCGTTCGCCGCCGCGCCCCAGTTCAGATTCGATGGTGGCGAGCGCGGCACGAAGCTCGAGGATGGCGAGGTCTCGCAGGCCGTGCTGGGTGAGCGCGTAGACATCTGGGCGCATCAGGCGGGCATCAACTCTCTTGCCATCGATCGCTTCGATGGCCGAATGTAAGCCCACTCACGCTCACGAACCCTGCCCACAAGAGTCGGACTAAGTCTTACACCTCTATGATAGACTCATATCTGGCGGGTCAGACGCGACTATCCGGCTCTGGGATCTTCAGCAGGCCGGCAACCCCAACAACAGCTTCACCTACAAGCCCGTAGCCCAGATCCTCCGCTCGCAGGCGTCTCAGTCGCAGCCCCCTGCCGCGGGCGCGAGGCCGAGAAAGTCGCAGGGCCACCGCTTCGGTGTCACCCACCTCTCCTTCTACCCCTTCGACTCGGCCGCCTTCCTCTCGTCGTCGTACGACCAGACCCTCAAGCTGTGGGACACGGAGACCACCCAGCTCTCGGCATCCTTCGAGCTCGGCGCCAAGGTCTACACGCACGCCATCTCCCCGATCGCGGACCACCTCTTGGTCGCCTGCGGTACGCAGCACCCGGCCGTGCGGCTGGTGGACCTGCGGTCGGGCTCTGCAGTCCAGTCCCTCGTGGCACCCGGCGCGGTCGGCGCTGCGACAGGCGCCGTCCTCTCCGCGGCGTGGTCCCCGCGGCACGAGCACGTCCTCGCCAGCGGCGCGGTCGACGGCACGGTGCGCATATGGGACGTCAGGAGGGCCAGCGGGCTCGTGGCCCTGCTCGACCAGGAAGACAGCCTGGGCATCGTCACGCGCGGGGGTACCTCGTCGTCGGCAGGAGGCGGAGGCGGAGGCGGGAGCTCGCTGCAGGACCGCGGGATCCGGCTCTCGGCGCGGGCGCACAGCGGGCCCGTCAACGGGCTCGCGTGGACCGACGACGGCGCGTACGTCGTGTCGGCGGGCCACGACCGGCGCATCCGCGTCTGGGACGCGGCGACGGGCGCCAACACGCTCGCCAGCTTCGGCCCGACGATCCGCAACGGCGGGCTCGCGAGCGTGGCCATGTTCGCGTCGCCCGCCGGGCTCGCGCCGCCGCGCGGCGAGCTGCTCTTCTGGCCCAACGAGACGGAGATCCTGGTGCTGGACCTGCACGACGGCGGCGTCGTGACGCGCCTGCGCGGCATCGGGCCGCAGGTGTCGGGCGTCAGGACCTCGGCGCCGGCGGCACAACGCGGCGGTGGCTCCAGCGGCGGCGGCGCCGGCGGCGGCGGTGGCGTGCGCGGCGAGAGGACGGTCCGGAACCGGGTGACGAGCATCGCGTGGAGGGGGGCCGGCGGCGGCGGCGCGTCGAGCGGCGTGGGCATGGGCGGGGCGAACATGGCTGGCGCCGTGTACAGCGGGCACCTGGACGGGCAGATCCGGGTGTGGGCGCCGCGGCTGGCGGAGGGGCGGGACGACGAGGACGCGGACGCGGACGCGGACGATGTGTCGGCCGAGGGCGGGCCGGCGGCCGAGGAGGCGGGCCGGAAGCGCAAGGCTGTCGATGATGCGTACCGGAGCCTGATGGGGAAGAAGATTACTTTTACGTGAGGGCGGGCTCAATGCAATGCCTGGTTCTGGCCTGTAGTTTTTATCGGAGTCTCGATCATGTTATGTTGTTTTGAAGGGGGGTGATATTCACGGATCCATGACGAGCGTTCGTCTTGACATCGTGCAGTGCTGCACAATATTTCAAGGAAAGGTCGGAAACTGAAGACATGGTTGAAGATGATATGTCTGTGTTATTCTCTATGGAATAATTCGTATCTCATCTTAAGACATTAAATTACAACAGTTCACTTGGTAGTGACTTAATCATTTTTGTTTTGCTTTTTAATATTTTCATATTCTTGGATATACCAAAATAACCCAGACAAATACGAACGGTCACAATTTATTCTATTCTATTTGATTTGGAGTGTATACATGATTGAAGCTATCTTTCTAGACATCACCATGATACTCATTCAACAATCGTGTGGATGCAATGTTGGTGTGCTGCACAAATCTCGACGCCCAGGATATCAGCCTGATATTGCCACAGTGGCCGTGAGAATGTAATTACTTGAGCCTTGCTTCCCCAAAGGAGTAATTACTGCAATTCACCCTGGACGCTGACCTTCACAAGACCCAGACGGCATCATCCGTGTGTCTCTCGAAGCCACATGGTCCTTTTGTCCGACCACGGTCGCGCTTGATGCTGGGTCACGGCATCATCGCATGGGACTTACCGGGAGGGAATCCTCATGCCCCTTTCTTCTGCGGCCATCACATTCTTCAGCGGGCGACATGCATGTTGAGAGCTCGAGGCGGCTTGCTCGGCGTCAGCCTCAGTCCCACGCGCCCAGCTGAAGACTGCGATCATTTCCATTTTGGATCCAGCCTGCATGTCTCATCTCCATGCGAAAGCTTACCTGCCTCCCTGCTACCGCGAGGAACGGTTTATGCAATGGTCTGTTACACAGACGAAGCTGCGAAGCTACCGTACTGGGATAGGCCTGTTGGTTACCTTGCAACCTGTTACATTCAGCCAGGCCAAATATCAGCCTCCAGGTTCTCTCGAGGGGCCTGGACCGCCAGCAGCTATTGGCCACCCTTGTGCTATACGAGGAGGCGGCATGCTGCTTTGGGCAATTCCCATCCCGAAGCAGCATGCAACCCCCCTTCCTCTGTTCCAAGGTGGCCCCCTGCAGCATGCGAAGCCCCCAGCCCTCTTTCTTTTTTCCCCCGTCCTCTCTTTGGTCGAGATTGACGAGATGGGGGGGAGGGGGGAAGAGGAGTGCGAGTTGCATGCTCTACCCGTTCCTCCTCCCAGATGCTTGGGACGACGCTAATGCGCGGGCAACCCCGGTTCGCCGGATGCAGCAGCCCTGCTTCCGCGGACGTGCCGCCCGCAGCGGTCCGGTAATCAAGGTTCGCTGCGATGCAGTGAGCGCGGGGGGGGCCTCCCACCCGATCAGAGAACTGGGCGGCAATCGTTCTTTGCTCTCCCAAGGGGGCGGCCGGCGGAAAGCATGAGAGTGTAGTTGCGGAGTCACTAGCTGCAGGGTGGCTTGGTCACGGTCGCATCCGTGGCCCTGCTCTCGTCCATCGACCCCCTTTGCGTCCCGCAATATCACCGGGATGGCGTCGGGATGTTCTGCGGAGGCTGACGCCTCAATAAAGCGTGACGAACCAATGGCTGATCCCAGGTTGAACCTACCGCGAGCTCTTGACTGTAACCGGCAAGGGGCGGCGCCGCTCTGGTCCAGTGACGAAGCGTCCACTGCATCACGACATGGTCCCGGTCACGGACGATCCTCAGCCTCTGTGGAATGGGCTCTACAATCTTGAAGTGGTTTGGGAGGCGCACCTTGATGAGAGCGTCTCGGGTATCTGCGATGGCCAGGTAGCCCCCCTTCTTCGTGAAGATCGCTCGCGCGCCCGGAAATTATGCCTCGATTCCACTCTTCGCCCTGTAAAGGCACGTGAACACCAGTGGCTGCAGGGTGCCCTGGCTGATCAACTTGCGGCTGCCGAAAGGGAGGGTCGGAACAGGTGGGAATGTATCTCGTCTTGTAACTACACAGTGCACACCAAGTTGGCCCCCTGTCTTGCAGCTCTCACGGGAGGGGATGGCGTGGCACGGGCTGGCTGGGGTTCCGTTTTGAAACGGTGACGAAAAGGGAATAAGGGAAGATGGTGTACCTTGAGACTTGTGATTATCGTAGAATGGTTTGTGTTGTTCTATCTTGTGTGTATATGTGGTGATAGTGTTTGTTTATGGGATGCTGGGTTTGTTAACAAGATATCGTTTTGGGTATTTATGGTCAAATACAAATAAACAATAAACATACCAAAAAAATAAATTCTCTCGTGACAATGAGGTGGCTATATAACCACGGAATCTTGCTTCTACTTCAGCGGACTACCCATGCATCTACTGGAATGCTGTATTTGAAGCCATCTCGATGTGGATAATTAGGGGATTGTACTGTAATCTCAGTGGTTTTCCAAGGTTGCTTTCCCCTCCCCGCGATCGAAGCTCCCGCTGTTGTCCGCTGTTGTGGATGGTCGTTGATTCTGACTGCCCTGTCCGACACCCCGCAGTGCGGGAAGCTGCAGCAGGCTTGGGGCTGGTCCTGGCCTAGCCTTTCCTTGGTTTTAGCCGTCCTAGGCCTAGGTAGGTCGCGCTGCCAACAAGGCTACAGGGCTCCAGCTCGATCAATTGGAGCTAGTTAGTGCCACATGCTTTTCCCATCCAACAACTTCATCTCTTCCTTGGCCCAGCACTCGTCGCTGCCCGTCACCGTAAATCGCGCCAAACAAAAGCGGTCTTGCAGCAAGAACACCAATGCGATGAGTTGTTGCGAGGATAATTGAGAAGAGCCAGCTTGATCAGGCGCGACGCCCGCGCATGCATGCGTGATCCTTGCCTCGTCCCGATGTGAGCAACCCCCCTCCCCCCGCGCCTTTGTCCTCCCGCATGTTCCAGACATCGCCCGCCGGACATCGCTGACTTGCTACCCGTCAGATCTACCTCTGATACCCCATAGACTGTATAATATTCCATCATCAGTATCGGTTGGCCCCTTTTCGATACCGAATCCGACACGCACATCACCATGTCGACGCCGACGCCGATGAAACATGCGCCCTCGCAGCAGGGCCGCACACCCTCCCAGTCCCAGCACGGCGCCGTCGCCACCCCCGGCGTGTCGACGCCATTCTCCCAAGCCCACGCGGCCTTCTCGCCCCAGGGCGGGCCTAGATCGTCGCCGCAGACCATAAGGAGATCTCCCGCGACGTCAACTACATTGATGGGCCACTCTGGCAATGCTCCAGTCAACTTTGATAGCCCCTCGGCCGCCGCTGCCCTGGGCGCCCTGGGGATAGGCGGTGGCTTGGACCTGAACCTCGATGGCGTCAGTGTGGGAGGTCTAGGTGGTCTCGGGCTGGGTAGGGCCGATGACGACGAGAGGGCGAGGAGGCTCAAGGGGGTCATCGATATACTCAAGGTTTGTGTTACACGATGGACTCAAGTCTGACACCATACTAACATGGGACAGAAATCAAAAGGCTACGTCAGTGAGGCGGGCCTGGAGCGCCTTGCCCAGATGACTGGGCTGGAGTGCATGTGGGAGGAAGGCAAGGGCTCAGACAAGTCGCGCACACTGATCATTGCTGGCTCGGCGCTCGCGCTCGAGGTCGTCTTCATCAACAATATCGTGCAGGCCGTGAACCTGACCTTTCCCGAGTCGGCCGAAATGGTTATGCGACACGTCGACAAGGCAGGCCAGATTCTATTCAACGACCTGAAACTCTTACCCCACGAGAGCCCCTTGTGCAAGAAGCTGGACAAATTTGCCGCCAACCTCGAGAGCCTCGCCGTGTTGGACAAGCTGAGCGTCATCCCCGGGCTTAACCTGCACGAGGCCGTCGCCGGCATCTTTGAGAGCTTGCATCGGCTGCACAAGTGGGACGTGAAGAAACTGCGCGAGGACCCGGCAAACTCTGGCAAGACCGAGGAGGCGCTAGAGACCATGGCTCTCTGTGCGCGACACGGGATGCCCGTCATGCACGCGCGGGAACGCCTCGGCTTGAGCCTGGACTACTGGAAGGAGAGGCATCACACACCGCCACTGACGAAGCGGACAAAGGAACTTGCCAAGCTCGACGAGAGGACGTGGGCTATCCTGATCGAGTGTGCACCGATAGGTGACATGGTGTACGCCTCAATACGGATTTCGGACACCTGGATCTCACCCGAGGTCGAGCAGCAGCCCACCGAGCCTAGTCTGCTCCCGCCCACCCCCGACGAACCTCTTCTGGACTGGCGAGAGCCTGATAACACCTTCCTCCCAGCGACCGACGAGGAAGCGAAGCAATCCGGGCCGGACGGCACCCAGCAGCACCCGACCATGAATGCGCCCAAGCTCCCCGAGGTCGTCTTCATGGCCAAGCTCGATCCGCCAGTGACGGTGACTTATAGTGTAGGACACCAGCTCTACCAGCTGATCGGGCTGACGCCAGCGGCCGAGTACAACCTCGTCACCTTTGATGCCCTGAACTTCCCCATCGCGCCGGGGACGAACCACGACCCCAGCGAGCCCCGCAGGATCGTCTGCCACAAAGAGGTCCACGTCAAGACGGGCGCGGGCGCGGGCGCGAGCATGCACAAGGCGACGCACAAGAACCAGCTCTTTATCTACAAGCCCGTGTACGGCAAGACGCTTGAGGAGCTGCCGTTCTCGCACCCGAACCAGCTCATCCGCATGCTGCCCACGCTGAGGCAGTACACCTTCCTGGCCACGCTGCTCGAGAAGAGCTTCGACACGCGGATGGGCGAGGTCTTTGAGAAGACGGCCGACGATGCGGCCAAGGAGGAGGAGGAGAAGAAGAAGAAGAAGAAGGAGGAGGAGACGGTGGAGACTACGACGGTGCCGGACGAGTTCTTCAAGTTCATGTCCAAGTCCAAGAACGACAACCTAGCCGAGGGGACGGCTGGGGCGCGCGACAGCAGCTGCGCGATGGATATCTCTAGCGACGACTACGACGACCCGAGGAGGATCGTAAACGGCGACGAGGACAAGGTCGACCTGCAGATGGACGTCATGCTGACGGCGCACCCCGTGCCCCGCCTGCAAGTCACCTTCCCGCTCAGGGACGGCGAGACGGCCGACGTCATGCTCGAGATCCGCGCCAACGGGCTCGTCCACGTCGTCTCGCAGAACATACTGCCCGGCGGCGACGGCGGCGACGACGACGACGACGAAGATGCCGATATGTGGGGAGGAGGAGGAGGAGGAGCCGGCGATGGAGGCGGCGGCGGGGACGGCGCGATGGGCAAGGGCAAGGACAAGGCGGCGGAGAGGCCGCAGCTCAAGCCGCAGGACCTCGGCCGCCTGCTCGAGCGGTGCGAGGACCTGGGCGTCTGGTGCGAGTGGATCCGGCGCCGGCTGGCCTGAAGAAAGAAGAGAGATAATAAAGGTGGGGATGGGGGGAAAAGAGGGAACAGAGGGTGAGTGAGTCCTCGGGGTACGGAGTTTTTGTGAGGATAGATTGGAGGCGGGCGAAGCGATCTCGGTGAATTTCTTTCCCCACCGTTTCACGCTATGGCAGAACACGACGCGGAATGGGCAAAAAAGAGGACATTGATTGATTACCTCGGGCCATACCTATTCGCAGCGCAGCGGGATGAACAGCAACCGAGGGAAGATGCTGTTTGTTTTTTGTTTGGATGTCTATCGAGAATACCCCCCTTGAGAGTGATGATGGAGCGGGTGTTTCCGCCTGTGGAGCAGAGCAGGATAGGTAGGGCAGCCATTATCTCCATCTCCGGCCTATCCACTTGGGCATCGTCTTGGTTCTTTCTACAAGTACATAGGGCAGTGCTTGAGGTAAACAGGCAATGAGATAAGTCTCCCTAGGCCAAGGTGAATGATCTTCTAGTAGGCAAGGAGACTTACTAGCGTATTGATTGGACTCGAACAGTGAGACCGCTTTGTACTACTATCTACAGGGTGTTCTAGTCTAGGCAGCGAGGAGGAAAGAAAAATCCGTCCGCTTCTTGGGTGATGCCTGCAAACGTCGGCGTGCTGGACATGGCATGGAGTCGTTGAATGTTTTGGTCCCGTTTTGGGCTGAGAGAATGAATTATGGGTCAGGCAGACACAACACAACAGAATAGAGTAGTGGCTCGAGGAGGGCACAAAGACAGCATCAACCCATTTGAAGATTGAATGGAACCCCCCATCGCGGACCCTCATAGTCTCGCGGGGGAAAGCTTCCGGGACGCGCGCCGCGCCGTTTGAGGAGAAGGCTAAGAAGAAAAGGGGGCGAAAAGAAGAGGGGACATGAGACCAAAAACATCGACGGCGTCGAAAACGGATTCTCGTCGAGAGAGCCAGAGAAGTTGGATCTTGTCTATAGTTGGAAGCGGGGCGGGTAAAATTAGGTAGCAGAATCCGTGTTATGCTGTTTCTGCAGCGTGCTCTCTCTCTCTCTCTCTCTCTCTCTGTGTGTGTGTGTGTCTCTCTCTCTACTTGTACTTGTAGTTACAGAGAGAGAGGACGAGGAAGAGGAAGATGAAGAAGCCGTTGTGGAGCTTCGAGAAGGTGCGTAAGCGAGATGGGGGGTTGCTCACTAAACCCTCTTGGGCGCTCCTCGGGCATAAAGTCGTAATATTACCATCAAATTTCATGCTGTGGTTTGCATTATCGAATTTCGATACTGGGAGAGAGAGAGAGCGAGCGAGCAGAATCCGGATTGCGGGAGATGACGCGTGATTGTTTATGTTTATGCTCTTTGCCACCGAACCGGAGGTGCCGTGTTGTTTGTGTACTTGTACATCCAAAGTGGCACCAGAGCGTACCAAAATAGAGCCTGAAGAGACCAGCAAGACAAAGACGAGAGAGAAGAGGGAATACGAAAACTGCAACTTGCGCAGAAATGTGATGGGATTCCGGATCAGGCGATGCTTGTCCTTGCAACTGTACAAGTACGGGGAAGACTGGGTAGTATCTTCGTTTTGACAGGTCAGGTCAGGGTCCTGGAGCGATACCAAGGAGAAGGAGCTTGTGTCAGAGAAAACGCGAGACATGTCGCAGAGGGTAGCCCAGGGATCCAGGGGGGGGAACAAGGGAAACAATAGAAGGGAGATCTACAGATGGTCTCCGTGTGGTCCCCTAGGGTCTCCCGGGAAGATCGCTGCGCACCAATGGCAAGTGGCGCGCAAGTTCGTGCAGATCTGCCACCGCTTCGATGGGCGAATGTCCGTCCGTCCCATCTTTTTCTGCCTCTTGCGATTGATCCGTCCGTCGTTAGAGAGAGTTTGGGTCGCAAAGTACATACTTGTACAGGCAGTTACGTAGCCAAAGCCGATCCCTCATCAACGTCATCTCATCAGGCGCATAACTACTTGTACACCACACACAACCAACACGCGTGCATGCAAACACAGGGGACCGATCTCCTATCCTGTTGATGATTGGGCAAGATTGGGCAATGAGAACAAAACAGAGAGCTTGAGTTGCATTTGCGGAGCAACCGTCACAACGGAAACCAATGGATGGGCCTTGTCTCTGCCCCCTTCGCCTGCCGGCACTCGGGACTGAAGTCTGTGCGATGCTGACGGCAGGGCCATGGGCACATGTGAAGCTGGGTTCATGGGCGGCGGCGCCCTCCCCCCAAAGAAGAGGCATCATCCACAGCCAGGGCACATGCCCGAGGCTTGGCTTGAGTGGCTCGAGAGCAGCGATGGTCTATGGCGTACTTCTGGTTGGTAGATGATGATCAGATCACGAGCAACATGTCAACTGAAATGCAAGACCTGTGTTGTTGTTGTTTTGAGAGCCTGCCTGGACGTGGTGGGAAGACGTGCGATCACAAGAGGCGCAGCCGTTTGTTGTCTTGCTTGACGACGCACGAAAAAGACACCTGGACACCCACTTGTTCGGCCCCCCCCAGGAGGGACAAAAAGGTTTCAACGGGAGACATCCCATCTGGAGAGACTGGGCCGGTTAACGGCACCACACTGCATTGGCTGGTTTCTGCATCGTTTTACGCCTGTGGAGGGGGGCAGTTTGGAAGGGGGGAGCCAGTTTTAACCGACCAGGCGTTGGGCCTAAAGGGAAAAAAAAAACAGGGGACAGGGGAAGGGAAAATGACATGGCCTTCCCGGTGGAGAACGAGAGGGAAGGAAAGTGGATGCTGCGGTTTTGTGGGGCCCTGCCCAGTCGCATGTGGGAAAAGACGCGTCGAGGACGTGAAGCTGCTTTCCTGATACGGTAAACAAGTAAACAACGCGCGACGTCCACCCCCCGAAGATCCCCCAAAAATTCGCCTCTGACTTTCGCGGTGAGAGAGAAAGCGTGTACTTCGTACGTGTGATGTGGGCAAGTGCGCCCCTGCCTGGTTCGAGCCTGCCCACTTTGTAGACAAGTCGCGCGCGACAGAGACTCCCTCCCACACACACTCTGGAGACTTGTCTTGCGCCCGCGACTTCCTCACTCCGCTACTTGCGCTTCGCAGCACTCGCACACGTAGGAAAGAGGTACCCGCCAAGCTCGCCCCGGAGGGCAAACCGTCGTGTCTTGTTCTTTCCTTCCTTCCCACACACACACACCAAAAAGACAACGGCCGTCCCCTTTCTCTACAGAGAGAGAGAGAGACACCTCACCTCACCTCAGTCGAACTCTCTTTTTTGCCACGCAGTGTCATCATCGTGTGCTCATCTCTACATTCCTGGGCATCTGCCCTCCACACTCACATTCTCAACCTCTCTTCTGCCCCTCCCCCATCCAGTCTCGCTGCCACTCGCACACTGAGACAGTACCTCCTCTGTGTACACGCACCCAACACTAGAGCCAACGCCAACCACTACTGGTATCCTCTTATTCCGACCTTTGGTCCAGTCCAAGCGATCCTCAGCATACCACGACGACTAGCGAGGCGAGTTCCCGTACCCTTTCTTTGGGCCACGAGACGTCTGTCACTTTTGGGTTGGCTCAGCTTTGGCTGTCTATCTGCCTGTCTGCCTGTCTGTTGGTTGGACCCTGCGCCGGCGGCCGTCTGACACATCGCGAACGCCTCAAAATACAAGAGTAAACACCTCGAACCAGAATTCGCCACACAAGTCGAGCTGAACGAGCCATTACTTCAGAATGTCCTAGAACAGACCAACCCAACTACCCCATCGCGTCCACCTCTCCTTGCAAGAAAGGCTGCTTGCGCTTCTGCCCTTTCACACCACTTCTCTTCTTCCACAGGCTTCCTCTACCTTCAGCTGGTCTTTTGATACGAGCCTCCTGCCGATGATTGTCTTTCCCTCACCGACCTGATATCAGGCCTTTCCCCCAACACCAACACCAACACCAACAGCACACAACATTGCAAATCTTATGATCGCGGAAGACCCGGGACGAGCATCGCAGCGCAGACCTTGAGAGCGACTTCTTTGTTGATTGCCTGCCCATTCCGAATGAGAAACACAAACTTGGCGATTACCTCAGCCACGATTCTGAGCGATAACTGATCAACAATTTGATCGCAGCGGCGTTACTATATTATCTGAAACGATTTTTGGACTTGTCGATATATCATTAGATCGATTTGTTCAGCTAGCACCGCCCCCCTCAGGTGGTCCAGTCCGGCCATCCGCTTCCATTCCTGATCCAACCGCCCTTTGATGATTGGACCGGCGTCGCTCACATTCCAGCGATGTCATACTCAAACACAAGCGGGGGCACGCTGACCATCCCCTCACCCACGCATGTCCACCATGTTGATGTCGGCGCGGCCGTAGTGCGATCGCTTAGACGCTCTCTGTCGCGCTCGCCCTCAAAATTCAACCTCGCCCGAACCGCATCGCACAGTTCGAGCGGCAGCTCTGCACAATCACCTCAGGCGTCGCCAGCAGAATTGCCCTGTTCGCCGTCGAAATTTGCCGCCGATACGAATCAAGATACCAATTTCCCCACTGGCGCGACTTCGCTGCCACAGACGCCCTCCGCGACGCCGTTCAGCCCCAGCATCAAACTGTCTCTACGATCCGCCAAGCCCAAGGCCGCCTCAGCCCGACCTTTTACTCGGACGCGTCTTTCGCCCAAGAGCCCGCTCAAGCGACCGTTGAACACCAGCCCCGACACTGGGAACCCGCCGCCGCGCATTTCTGGTTCTGCGCCTGTTCTCGGCCAGGAGAACAACGGATATAACAGCTTCGCCCTCTCGTTCAGCGCCTCGGCGCGCTCGAACCTGGACAAGCCATCGCGCCATAGCATGCACCTGGACCTCTCTGGCTCCTCGAAAACCATACCAAGCAAATTTCTCGACGCGAAGAGCGAATTCTTGTCACCCACAGCCAGCCCTCTGAAGCGCAGTGACGCAAAGATGGACTTTGATCACGCAAGTTTCGGGAGCCCCGTGGCGAAACGGCGCAGCTTGCACGGAATCTCGAGCCTGGGGAATGATTTCAGCATCTTCGACCAGTCGCCTCAGCCTGCGCCACAACCTCAAGCCTCCCAACAACAGAGTTTCGACATCCACGAAGATGGCGACCAGGAGTACCAGCTCACCGGCTCGTCACTAAACCTGCGAGATCAGGTATCTTCGCCCGCGTTTTCAATGCCGAAGCGCACATCATCCCTGCGCAAATCGACCCTGCAGCAGCGCCACGATCCCAGATCATCTTGGGGTCGCCGCCAAGGTGAGAAGTATCTGGCCCAACAGTCCAACGAGACATCGACACCCAACCCGCGGAATCGGCTACGTGCATCTCTGGACCAGTTTCTTCAACCCGACCCGCGAGACAGCCCTTTCACCTCGAGAGGACCTCTCCCCAACCCTTCTGCGCACGCGATGGACCCTCCGGCGCATCGCCCACACCCGCTGTCCCGGAGCCTCACCACGTCTTCTTCGAACTCGAGCGTGCCGGACGAGTCTCCGACTCACTTCCCGATCCAATTCGGGGACAGGCCACGCCCGATGGGCATATTTGCAAAGTCCCTGCCCTTGACTGCTCAACGACCCAAGGAGCCGGTGCCGGTATCGACCCCGCAGTACAAGACTGCAAAGCCGTTGCAGTCCGTCTTCGCGTCGACCGGTCTTGTATCCAAGATGAATCGCAATCCGGAACTCGACCCTGCCGAGCGAGATGGCGGAAAGGCAATGATCATGCCTGACACGCCCTGCAAGAAGCAGATGTACTCCTCAAATACTTACCCTCCATCGTCCGGAAGTGGTGGTGGCAGGAAAAAGCAGCCGCGCCACTCCTTTGGGACTCCTTCGACTCCCTTCAGCACCTTCGCGCACCCGCCTCGCGGCACCTTTGGAAACCCAGAGAGGGGCGTTGGGCTCTTCAAGCTGAGGAGCGATCATGTCCGCCGGGATAGCCTGTTCAGCCTGGATGGTGACGTTGATATCCACTGCGGTATTGAAAATGAGCTGCCTCCGACGCCGACAAAGTCGGTTCTCGGTAGGGAATCTTCCGGCCCCTATGTTAGCACCACCCCTGTGTCCGTACGGAGGATGCCGGCCCCTACATCGGCCATTGGCCGCGGCGGTAATGACGACATGTCAGAGCTTAGCTCCAGTCCCCTGGACCGCATCGCCAACGAGCCGAAGAGCTCCCCCAAAACCCCTCGGGATGTTCTTCTGCCTCTTGATCCGAGTCGCCTGTCAATTTCGAACGCGCAGGCTCTGGAGCATCCTGCTTCTATGCCTCCGGCAACCCCGACGGCAGGCCGCGACTCGTTCATGAGCTTTGCCGAGCGCCGGACGAACTCGACGCCCGTCAACGGACCAGGTGCGGGCAGCGTTGATGACGTTCTCCGAATGCGCTTTGAGAGCGTCGAGATGGTGGGCAAGGGCGAGTTCTCCGAGGTCTTTCGTGTGGAAAGTCAAGAGTCGAAGAGCATGCCTTTCATTGGATCAATGACGCCTTGCCGCGGCACCACCACTCCAGCTTCCATGATCAAGCGTGTCTACGCTGTCAAGAAGACCCGCATGCCCTTCCTCGGACAGAAGGACCGGGCCTCGAAGCTCAGGGAAGTGGAAGCCCTTCAGGCTGTGAAGGACTGCGAGAACGTGCTCCAGTATGTCGACAGCTGGGAACAGAACCACCATCTCTACATCCAGACCGAGTACTGCGACGAAGGTAGCCTGGACAAGTTCCTCAAGATGGTCGGGGAATCTGGCCGCTTGGACGACTTTCGAATTTGGAAGATAATGCTCGAAGTCGCACAGGTAAGTCATTACATGAACTTGGGAGGGAATATTGGAATCAACCTTGCTGACGAGTGTGTAGGGACTGCGTTTTGTACACGATGCTGGCTTTGTTCATCTTGATCTGAAGCCGGCGAATATCCTCGTCAACTACGAGGGCCACCTCAAGATTGGCGACTTTGGCATGGCAGTGTCTCTGCCAGCGCCAGAGGGCGTCGAGGGCGAGGGAGACAGGGAATACATTGGCCCTGAGATTCTTCGTGGAGAGTACGACAGACCTGCTGACATCTACGCCCTTGGTTTGATCGTGCTGGAGATTGCATGCAACGTCTTCCTTCCCGACAACGGCCCCACCTGGGTCGCCCTCAGAGAAGGCGACATGTCTGTCGTTCCGAGCTTGACTGGAAGCGAGTCGAGCGCCCTGGTGCGAGACGGCACGGGCATGCCTATCGCAAACGACGTCTCTCCGCTGGACGACAGCCTCGGCTGCTTCGAGTTTGATGGGGCAAGCAGCCGAGGATTCCCGTTCGAGTTCTCCAACACGTCCACTCACAACCCCAGCAACCTGTTCGGTACGACCAAGCGCTCAGAGCTGCAAACCCCTCCAGCTTTCATGACGCAGGCCTCCGATGCCGGCTCACTGGACAGCATCGTAGGATGGATGATTCATCCAAACCCCGCGAGTCGGCCGACGGTCCACCAGCTTCTCGATGCAAGTTCTTTGCAATGGGTCTTTTCCCGTCGGCGGGCGCCTGCCACCATTTTCGAAGGCAACTGGGGCCCGGCTGACCAGACACCAGACGTGCTGGTCTTTGACGCCGACTCGGAGATGACGGACGTATGAGGCTCATCTCATCTCATATTGGACACGGTTTCAACTTATTTGGTCACGTTCTGGACTGTCTCGCCTCGACGCTGGATAGCATGGCCCAATACAATATGGCCCGCAGTGTATGGAAAGCTTGAGCAATCTTGTCACGCTTTGAATTTTCGAAGACACATGGGCTGGATATCATCTCCACAATGTGGGATATCAAATGCCTCGATATGTGTACGCAACTAGCCCACATTGCGGACGCACACGATCTACACTTTTGAGCCTTGGGGACTCGAGGGTCCTAGCATATCACATCCTCACTATCATCAGCGAACACTCATCTCATTACTGGGCTCGCACTCAGCATCACTCGCTACCGTTTTGCTTTGAGGCAGTCAAGGCTTGGTTTTTTGTTTTTCTAGGCTTCGGCCCATAAACATGCTTGCACGAATAATTGCGAAAAGGTGCCGAGAGCAGAATCATCTGCCGGCAGCCAGCGGCGCCGCGAGTTGGGCCGTCGTATCGATTGGTGGAGGTAATACGTGTGGAATATCATGTATAACAAGGAAGCCGGCGTGCGGACTGTGTATTTGTTTTTGTTTTTGGAGCGGGAGAGAAGGCTGTGTGGTGTGTGGGTTGTGGGATTGGTGTATTGTGTCGAGTGGTGTAGGGGCGCAAGGAGTGTGTGGATGGGCCTTCTTCCCTTGAGCAGAGCGAGAGAGATGCGAGACGGCCTGAGGGGGGGGCCAGATCTTGATTGGTTGGCATGGCTATAGACAATTTTGGGAGCCCTTCCGTGTTCCGCTTGTTCGGAAGGGCAATGGTTATGAAGTTATGAGGCAAACGATATGATATAGAGCAGCAATATGATACATTGGCTCCATTACCCCTAAAAGAGACAACCCGCGCTCGCAAGACGTGGACTACCTGAATGGATGGTGCTTGGTCATTGAACATGTCGTCGGTGATGAAATCGATACTTGTTTTTTGGGGAATAATTCGTCATTTCCTAGCATTGATATGGCGAGTACTGCTTCAGCAGCAGCAGCAGCAGCAGCAGCTGACCGCTCCTTTGACTGGTATAAAATATGCCCTTGAACCATCTCTACTGAAAAAGCAACAAAAGCGAAACTCCAAAGCTACATCGTGCGTGTCACTGGCGAGCCATGAGCCCAACACGGTAAAGCCGACTTACAGTCCATCATCAACAAAAATCTTCACTCCACAGCAGCAGCAGGAGCCTTCCTCTTGCTCGCCGTGCTCTCACGACCGCCAGCCACAGAAGAAGCGGCAGCAGCAGCAGCCCCGCCTGCTTTCCTGGCCGCCGACCCAGCCGCCGCCGACGAGGTGGCCGTGGTGGACGACGAAGCTGCTCCCGCTCCCGCTCCTCCTCCTCCGGCCCCCGAGGGGGGCGACGACGACGACGACTTCTTCTTGAGCTGGTAGAACTCGTTGAAGTTCATGCTGACGCCGAGGAAGCGCAGGTCGGCGTCCTGCTGGTAGCCCAGGTCGCCGAGGAGGTGCGTCAGGCGGGCCTTGAAGGCCTGGCCCAGGGCGCGCAGGCGGTCCTGCAGCGCGGGCAGCTCCGACTCGACGGACGGGGTGGTGCTGCTACCGGTGCTAAAGAAGGGGTCGTCGCCGCCGGGGGTGGGCGTGGACGGCTTGCTGGTGCTTGCGAACGGGTTGTTGGTGTGTCGCTTGTTGTTGTTGTTGGGCGGCTGGCCCTGCCGGTGCTGCTGCGTGTAGATGATGTCGGACTCCTGGCGGCGCGTAAAGTCCGAGACGGCCCAGCTGTAGAGCCCGTCGACGCAGTCGCGGTAGGCGAGCATGGTGCGCAGCAGCTCGCTGAGCTGGAGCATGTAGCTGTGGTGGTCCTCCGCGGGGGGGGCGGCGGCGGCGGCGCCACTGCCGCCGCCGCCGCGGGCCGCCTGGGCCTCGCGGTGCTGGCGGCGCTGGGCGCCGAGCAGGCCCTTGTGCGTGATGGAGCGCAGGTACTGCGTGTGCGCGCTGACGAGGTCGTCGAGGGTGCAGTCCTCGCGCGCGACGGCGCGCTGCAGCGCGTCCCACGACGACTCGATGACCTCGAAGAGGATGTAGTACTGCAGCTGGCCGACGAAGTGGACCATCTCGGCGAGGGTCCCCCGCGTGGCCTTCCAGGTGCGCAGGACGGCGCGGTCGGCCGTGTGCAGCACGCCGCGCGAGCCCGTCATGCAGCGGCGCCAGGTCGAGGCGAGGGCGAACTCGACGCGCTTGATGCGCCAGAGGAAGTTGAAGACCTTGAGGTACTGGCGGTTGCCCCACTCGGTCACGACGCAGTCGACGGGCGCGTCGATCTTGTACTCGAGCGTGAAGCAGTCCCAGCCGATGTCGCCGTGCGAGAGCTGCAGCATGCGGGCGTCGAGGCGCCGCAGCACCTCGGGCGGGTCGTACTGCGCGTTGGAGCCGCGGATGGCGTGCTCGAGCTGGGCCGTCAGGGTGTGGCGGTACTGCGCGCCGGCGGGGCGGTCGAGGTTGGCGGCGAGCGACTCCATGAGCAGGGCGATGAAGTCGCCCTGGCCGAGGAGGATGTACTTCTTGAGGGCGGCGAGGTGCTCAAACAGGTGGAACTTGTCCGTCATGAGGTGCATGAGGCGCCGCATGGTCGTCTTGTAGGCCTCGTCGATCCAGGCCTCGAGGGTGGCCGTGTCGCCGTAGCGCAGCTCCTTGGACGCGGCCTTGGAGTAGTCCTCGACCCACTGCGAGTCGCCGCAGCTGTGGCGGATGAAGTTGAGCGACTTGCCGATGAGGAAGACCTTTTGGGCAAAGTCGGCGCTGACGATGGACGGGATCATGCCGTCGTCGACCTCGTACTTGTCGGTCCAGACGGAGCTGAAGCCCTTGGCCTTGGCCTCCTTGCGCCGCTCGTCGGCCGGGTTCTGCTGCTTGACGAAGAACTCGAGGTAGGGGTCCGAGAGCTCGCCGTCGTAGATCCAGTGCCGCAGGATGTCGTAGAAGGGCCGCGTGACGTGCGCCAGCAGGCGCTCGGCGAAGGCGGCGACGGTGGGGTCGCCGTGGCTCGAGGAGAAGTTGTGGATCAGGGTGATGAGCTGGCCCCCGCGCCGGCTCTTGGACTCCTCGGCGATGACCGACATGAGCCGCAGGCCCATGGTGGCCTCGCGCGTCCAGACGACGCAGCGCTTGAGCGTCACGCCGGCCTTGCCGATGCCGCTCCTAGGGGCCGACTCGTCGAGGGCGGACAGGGCGCGGCGGATCTGGGCCTCGAGGGTCGCGACCAGGCTGAGGTAGGAGCGCAGCTCCCCGTTGATGGCCGCGCGCAGGCTCTGGCCGAGCAGCCCCTTGGCGGGCGAGTTGACGAAGCTTGTGAGCCCGCGATGGAGTAACGAGGGTTCTGCGAGGGCGTGCAGTAATGAGATGATGGGTGCGGGAAGGGTGGGAGGCAGCTTGATGGCCTTGTCCTTGTAGAAGACCATGGTGGTCGAGTTGAGGCCCTGGAGGGTGAAAGGGAGATCTCTCAACAGGCTGGTTTCTGATGGATTGTAATCTGAATAGTTGTTTGCTAGTAGTGTGGACTTGAGCGAGACATCTCGTCTGGGGCTCTCGTCTGCTTCGTCTGATGCGGCTTCTTGGGCACCACGGGTAGTCCTTTCTGGTGGGAACTTCTTCAGCCCTTCAGGACTGAAGGCGTCGTTGTACGCCTCATCCTCGTGTCTTGAGACGGGAGTCGGCACTTTGGACGAGCGCGCCTGCTCTGCGGCCTGGGGGAGCCCGCGCTGCTGGAAGGGCTGGCGCAGAGGACTGAGAGGCAATGGCTCGTTGGGGTCGGGCGAGTCGGCCAGCTGGTAGAGAAGATATAGGATTGCCCACTTCTGGTTAAGAACGGGCAAGGCAATCAGCAGGGTGTAGAGGTTGGTAAACCTCAAGGCCTTGGGCGGACTCCGCTGCAGGAGCTTCTTCTTAATAAGATCATAGGCATGGTTCACGTCGGCCGCGATGGCGGGGCTGTCTGAGCTGCGATGAGGCAAGGCGGACGGACCATGTTAGTTGCTTGTCGCATGACTCTGGCGCACACGTCGTGGGGCTATATGCATACCTGAAAAGGAGGTTCTGCACGAGCTCGAAGCGGTCATCGTGCCTCTGCTGCGCGACCTCGTTGCTGTCCTTGGGATCGTTGGGGATGATGTGGGTGATTAGGCTGTCGATGGCGTTGGCAATGCGCGGATTCTGGTCTTGAGACATGGCTGCATCTTTGCACGGCAATGCCGAGAGGGGAGTAGGCGACTGAAGGAAGGGTATCCGAGGAGGGATCAAGGATCAAAGGCGGTCGGGAGTGTGGTCGCCGACTTTGGAGCTGCGGCGACGATGTTGACAGTTTCGGCGGGGCAGTTCAGTCGTGGGGAAGACTTGAGAGATTCGCGACTCGCCCTTGTCGCTGGCGAGAGCAAAAGAGCTCCCTCGAGAGCGCGCGCAAATCTTTTTGTATGATTATGCGCCTCGACAGGATACTCTGCTCTAGTTTGAAAAGCCTGCAATGTTTGTAGTGGTGATGTAGAATGCGATATCGTGCTCGAGAGGTGGAATAATAGAGTGTGGTTCCTGTCGACTGTCGAGGGAAGACGCGCCAAACACCATCAACACACGCGCTGACCCAGGGCGGTGAAAAGCTAATTGATTGAGCCTCCGGGGGACTCATGCCCGAATGCGGTGTAACTGGGCCCTGGTAGTTTTTTCGGCCAGGCGCCTGAGAGCCCACTAATTCCAGGAACAATGGCGGGATTGTTCTGTTTGGCGGACGGGCAGGCCCTTCATTGGAACGCCAAGGTAGGTAGCCAGTACAGAGGTTCTGGCGGGGGACTGCAGCGCAGCTCCCACAACTCCAGGTACCCACTACCGCGGCATCCCACACTCCCTCTCCCACTGCGGCGTGTCTTCAGTGCTGTCCGTCTCCGCAGTTGTCAACGACATCCGCCAAAACCTGGCCCATCGACAACTGCAATCAACCGCCCTCGACACTTTGACCATCCATTCCGCACTCGCACCATGCCGAATCCATCAATATAATATCGTCATCTCGATCGCGTTGCTCTCATCTGCATGCCTATGCGCTCGATGATACGGTTTCCCCCTCGCGCTGTGCTCTGAGCCCGCCCGCGACTGCCTCGGCTGCTGCTGGAGAAGCCGGGACCCTTGTGGCTGGTGCGCGCGCGGTAACGCTCACCACCGCAACCGACAAAGCCCCTCCAACGACAACCATCGTCCTTCATCATGCCCGACATCAATCCCGCGGACCTGAGCCGCCCCTCGATCAGCCTCTCGACCCCCGTCCTCTCCAACAAGACCATCACCGTCTCCTCCAGCCTCCAGAAGCCGAAGAGTCAGATTATCCCCGCGCGCATAGAGCTGGAACCCGTATATGCCGCCCTCAAGGCCGCCATCGGCAACGAGCAATGGACCACCTACAAAGAAACACTTTCACAATTCCTCATTGGTGAGTGGCCAGATATCACGATAATGCGCCGCGCATGAAATGCCCGACCTGCTCGGGAACTGGGATGCAGCAGACCGACTAACCGCTGCACACTGACAGGTCGACTGAACCAATCCGAATACTCGGAGCGTATCGATCCCATATTAGCCTCCCCCAATGGTGAGAAGGAGCATCTACACAACCAGCTCATTGCTGCCCTCTATGGCAATGTCACGAGGGAGATGCCGGACCAGGGCCTGGCCCCTTGGGTCAGCGCCAACGACAAACCGACCACCGGCACGGGGAGCAAGCCGGTCACTGGCGATGCGGCCGAGAGGAGGCTCAAGGGCGATGTTATGCAACTCCCTAGTAGGGACAGGAGGCGTTTGAAGGATCTCGCACATAACGATGTATGTGATACTCGATATTGGCATTCCCTTACTGCGCTTTTGCGCCTGGGGACACTGAGGCTGACTCGTTTGCGCGCTCGCTCTAGTTCGATCCATACGACACCCTGGCAAACGTCTTTACAGATCATCACAAGACAAGGGCAGCTCGGACTGCGGATGCGCCCGCAAGTGCCGGTGGTCTTAACAGGATGAGTACGCACATATACATCCCTTCCCCCCCTGCTCCTCAATATATATGCTGACCAACAATCCTCAGACCTGGACATCGAGGTCAGGAAACGGTTTGCTCAGCCTCTAGCTGTGGAGTCGGGCGAGTTTCCTGACATCAGCAATATTGAAACGCGCATGCTCTCGTTCTGCTATGAGTCTGGTCTAGTATCGGGCCACGCATCAGATGCCGCGCACTTCATTTCTGTCGCGACCGACAATTTCATCAAAGAAGCGCTGGCCTCTGTGTTCAGCAGGACGCGGAGCAATGGCCCTGGCGACTCTGGCAGCGCTGGATTCGGCACCAACTCGCAGTGGGTCCAGACGCACAAGTACCGGAAGCAGCTGGCCAAGGAGGAAGAGGCGGCCATGCGCGGCGAGATCACGCGGGATAAGAGCGGCCTGCTCCCTGTTGAGGCCAAGGCTGCGAGCGAGCGCGGGCCCCTGGGCGTGACGGACCTCAGGCTGGCCCTCGAGATGGGCGACTGCGGCATGGGCCACTTCCCCATCCTCGCCGATACCATCGCCCACGGGTACCGGGAAGGCGAATTGGAGAACTGGGAAGACTATACCTTCTTGGACGAAAGGGAACCGCCTAGTACAGAGGCCAAGAAAGAGCCGACAGCACCAACCAAGGGGGCGGACGCGCCCGCTGCACTCCCGAACGGCGTGGATCATAACGATGAAATGGACGTCGACGAAGAGATTTGGTGGGAAGGCGCCGAGGCTGCCGACGGAGACGCACTCGATGCGGTGCTCGAGTCTTGCCTGGCCGTCAGCTAGGCGCCTGATGAAGAGCGACTGGTGATATAAAGACTCTGCTTAACATAGGCCAGGCTGTAAGTTGGGTCGGGGATCATTCGACCTACTGCTTTGGCTCGTGGCTTTGATTTGAGAAAAGGACGGAAGCACACGAACAATCTCGTCGACAGCCATCAGCGCCAGCCGTGTACTATCAGATGTACGTCGTTATCACGTCACAGTGCCAGGTGCGTAACAGGGTTCCTGGAGCGAGCGCGAGCAGGAACAGGCGTTTCAAACGGCGCATGGAATTCGGGGGTCGGCACGGTCCATTTCATCGCATTCTTTTCAGTCGGAGGTCATATGCATCATGACTGGCGTTACCACAGCGGGAGGCGATGTCCGAGGGTGGGTGAAGCGAGATGCGGGCTTCTAGGCACCAGCACCAGCAATTGTCCTCTCTCCGGTTGATTTATGAGAGCATTCCTTGGGGGGTAAAGATGGGGTTGCTCTTTGGCGGTTGGTGTGGCACGGAGCATACTTCATCACTGTTCAAAAAGGGAGGTTTACTTGTGCTTCCCCTTTGTACTTTATACGTATATCATATCTGTTTGGACGATACCCAGGAGGTCGCGGGGGGGTTGGCGGAGCGGTTGGTTGGCTTTCTGAAGAGGACGGGTCAGGACTGAGAGCGAATTCTACATTTACAAACAAGAACTCGACTTGCAGCATCTCAAATGCCCTCCCGAGATTGTAAAGTAGATGGTGTGCATGGTTTATGGTGTGAGGTGAGGTGAAGTGACTAGAGTACTATGATGTGTTTGCTGTCATCCAGAGCATACGCATTGCACCTTTCAGTTGGAATTGGGCTAGGGAACTACTTCTGTACAGGTACCTTAGTTACTGTCCATTGAGAATTGAATAAGCATTTGGTGACTAGGAGTCTTTCTGTGACAGTATCTTGATCGTTTGTGTCATTGCCAGCCTGGCAGCGCGAGATAATCATGCATTTGCATGGGCTTGATACGGCTCTGACGGTTGAGAAGACACTGAACGAAACCAAGCTTTGAATGTCGAACCTGAACACCACAACTTCTTTTGTCAATTATCAGCTTCGGTGATTGGCATAGTAGGAGGTGGCTGGGAGAGACCCCCATGTAAGTGCTTGGGTCGCGGTCACTGCGCGATAAGATAAAGATTTCGTTTTGGTGACACTTTAGACGCGCTCCATCGCGTGTGGACGCGTGAAGCTCCGACTCCCCACCACCACATACCAGCACACCGGCAGTCCACCCCTGCACCATGCACACGCCGACTCCTTCTTTTCAATCGACCGCTTCCTTCTTTCTTGCATCTCGACCTTCCCAATAGCATGTAAATACAACCCATTGTTTGCCTCCAGAGTCTGCTTTATACCCCCGATCTCTGGTGAACCACGGCACACAATGGCCTCCTCTCGATCACCTTCCCCCGGCGAGGGCAGCAGCTCGCCACCCGGCACGCCGCTGACGCCTCGATCGAAGCTCAAGGCCCTCTTTGCCGACATGAGCGCCAGCTCAGATGACGACGCGAGCCCAACACGCAAACAATCCCGGCCCTCGAGCATCAAGGCCGGCCAGTCTCCCACCGTACGACGGAATACCCCTACCTTTACAAAGTCACCTGTTCGTGATGACGATGAGAGCTCAGAGGAAGAGGTGGTACGGCCTCGTGGCCGCCTCGCGTCTCGGATGCAGGCTCAAGACGCTGTCCAGCAACACCAAGAGGAATCGGAGCCAGAAGCCCGTCCCGAGGACGCGCGGGAACGCGTCAAGAGGATGCTGGCAAAGGCTGCCGAACCACAAAAGACTGGCGAGAAGGACGGCAACAGTGACGCCGACATGGCCAGCGGCGAGGAAGACGACGAAGTGGTCACGTTCCGACAGCACCGGAGGCTCAAGCAGAAGAGCCGACGGAGCCCGACACCCGCCAGCAAGACCGCTACTCCTCAGCGCGAGGACTCACCAGGGATGTTCGTGTCGCCAACCAAGGAACCATCCCCTCTTCCGTCTATTGCCGATGGCGAGGCTTCGGACAGCGATGCCGACCTCCCACCCGCCAGTACCAAGAACCACCGCTTCATGGCTCTGGTAGCCAAGAAGCGCGAGGAGCTGCGGGCCAAGGAGGCCGAGGAGGAGCGCAAGCGCGAAGCCCGACTGGCCCGGCAGGCGGAGGAGGACGAGCAGCTCATGGACGACGGCGAGAGCTCCGACATCACCGACGACGAGGGCGGCCGCAAGCTGACGCAGGAAGCCTCCGGCAGCCGGCCCGCGGCGCGCAAGGCCAGCAAGAAGGCGCTCGAGGAAATGAACCGCGAGACGCAGCGCATGAGCCGCAGCCTGCAGCTCGCGCACGAGGCCAAGACGCGCAAGAAGATCACCAAGGCGTCGCTCTTTGAGCGGTTCAACTTCAAGCCCGCGGGGTACACTGCCCCTGCACCGCCGGCCGAGGAAAAGCATGCTGCCAGCTCGAGCCGGCCTGGCACTCCCGCGTCTGACGTGGAGATGAAGGACGCCGACACGCCCCCTAGCTCGCCTCCTGTAGTGGGCAAGGAGCCTGTAGGCCCTGGAGAAGCTAAGGAGGTCAGTGCATTACAGGCGGTTTCTGAGGCCATTCCAGCGGGAACCAACACCAACGACGATGACGACGAAGCCTTGCCTACACTGGACGACGTGCTCGCACAAGCGTACTCGTCACAGCCAAAGCCGCTTGACAAGGGTAAAGGCAAGGCTGTCGACGTCGAAATCCCACCACAGCCGCATGAAACCAAGCCTGCAGCCCACAAACGCCAATTTCGCGTCAAGCTCCCGCAACTAGAGGCCAACCTCGTCACAATCGCCTCGGACGAAGAAGACGAGCTCGTCATCACGAAACCCAAGAAGAGCAAGATTGACGCAATTTTCGACCGCGTACCCGCCAAGCGAGAGACCGAGTCCCGATCAATGCAGGCCCTTCGCTACCTCGCACAGGTCGATGGCTCGCCGGGCCGGAAGGCCTCCCACGGCGCCCGTCGCGGCGCCGCCAAGGAGAAGGAGTCCATGACCGTTGCCGAGCTGCAGGCTGCCCTGCAGCAGCGAGCCCGCGAGCAGGCCAAGCTTGAGCGCGACCGCCGGCTCGAGATGCTCAAGGCCAAGGGCGTCCACGTCCAGACGACCGAGGAGCGCGAGCAGGAGATGAACGAGATTGAAGACATTGTCGCTCGTGCCCGTAGGGAGGCCGAGGAGATCATGCAGCGCGAGAGAGAAGCCGCAAAGGCGGAGAAGCGGGCCAACGGCGAGGAGGGCGCTGCGGCCGATCCGCTGGCGTGGGACGACAGCGACGCTAGCGATGATGAGGAGTATCGTGAGGAGCCGTCCGAGATTGAACTCTCCGGCTCTGAGGAGGACGAGGAGATGGCCGAGAAACGTGCTGGCTTGATCGATGAGGCAGCCGAGTCCGCAGATGAGTCTGAGGATGGGGAGGCCGAGACTGTCGAGCAAGATGCCAAGGCTGCAGACTCTGACGAGGAGATGGTCGAGCTTCCCACGCGCAAGGCTCGTCGCAACAAACTCGCCGCCATTCTATCAGATGATGACGATGAGGAAGTCCAGCCTTCTGAAGCCAAAACGCCCAAGCCCAAGACTAGCTTTTTCAAGTCACCCTCGGCAAACCAGACGACAGATTCACCACATGTGCCGACCTCGGTGCTCCGGTCGGCTACCAAGACTTTTATTCCTGGCCTGCCTGTCACGAACGGAGATCCGGCTGGCCTGGGCCTGACGCAAATCTTCGCCGGAACCATGGACGACAGCCAAGCCAGTGCGATGATGGGCTCGCCTTCGCAGCCGATGCCTACGTTCGAGCCCAAGCCTACCTTTGACAGCTTCCCAGACTCCAACTTCTCGCAGACGGTGCCCGACGGAGCAGATATGATCCTCAACAGTCAGCCTACGCAGAAGGAGACGCAGGGCGAGGAATCTCAGGGCGTGCAGATCCAATTTACTCAGTCACAGATGCACGGCTTCGACAGCCTCTTGAGGGAGCAAGACGCCACGCAAACGTCGGACTTCCTCGTGCTCACCCAGGACGGTGGCTTCCAGAACTACTCACCCCTGAAGCAGCGCTTCGTCGAGCCGCCCCCGTCTACCATCGAGACTGTCGCCGTGGACCCCAGTCAGCAGCCTGACCCCTCTCAGCACGAATCCTCGCCCCTGATGCACAAGAAGGGCAAGCTGCGCCGCAAGATCCAGATGGCCGCCGTCCCCGAGTCCGACGAGGAGATGGAGCCGACCGAGGCTCTGCAGCCCGAGGAGGAAGAGGACGAGTTCGGCTTCGGCACGACGACGACGACGACCGCCTTTAGCGTCATGAAGGACGCGGCCGCGGCCGCCGAGGAGAAGAAGAAGCGCAAGGCGCTCGAGGCGTTCAGCAAGAAGAAGAGCAAGGCCAAGGACATGGTCGAGGACCAGGCCGAGGAGTCGGAGGACGAGTACGCCGGCCTGGGCGGCGCCGACGGCGAGGACAGCGACGACGAGTCGACGGCGTCGGTCAAGGACATGATCGACGACGAGACCAAGGGCAGCCGGGGCGACGACGCCAAGCTCGCGGGGTTCTACGCGTAAGTTTTGCCTTTTTGTTGTTATTACCTCTGCCCGTTTAATTTTTTTCTTTCTTATTGGATACTGTCATCTAACACAAACGAATACATACAGGGATCGCGAGCGCGCCAGCGACGAGAAGCAGGTCGAGAAGCTGTTCCGGGACATCACGTCGGGCATGCTGCGGCGCAAGCGCGCGGCGGGCGCCGACTTTGACGGCCTGTCGGACGAGGACGACGGCGGCGAGGCGCGCCGGCGCATGAAGAGGCGCCAGTTCCAGAAGATGCAGCGCGCGCTCTTCGCCGACGAGCGCGTGTCCAAGGTCGCCGAGAACCCGCGCAACTCGGCCTTTTTGCGCACCATCGAGGACCGCGGCAGCGACGACGAGGACATGGACTTCCTGTTTGAGCAGCCGTCCGTCGGTGGTGGTGGCGGCGGTGGTGGTGTGGACAGCCAGAGGAGCAGCGACGGCGAGTCGCAGCAGGTCGTGGCCATCCCGGACAGCCAGCCGTCGGCGTCGACTTCTGCCGCTGCCTCTGCACCGGCGCGCCGCGCCAAGGGCAGGGACAAGAGGCCCGCCACGCTGGGCGAGATCCGCGAGTCGCTGTCCAACCTGCTCGACGACCCAGGCGAGTCCGTGATCCCGGCCACGGCCACGGATGACGAGGAGGAGCACGAGAGCAGCGGGGACGAGCGGGAGCGGGAGCGGCTGCTGCCGGCGACGGCGTCGAGCATGAGCAGCGGTAGCAGCAACAAGGAGAACAGCAACCCCCGCCGCCGGCAGCACGGCGCGGTGGTGGACCGCATCTCCCTCAAGCGCGCCGGGTCGTCCAGCGTCTCGGCTGCGGGTGGAGGCGGAGCGGCAGGCAGGATGGCCTTTGCGGCGCCGGCCGCGGCCTCCTCCTCCTCCGCGGGCGGGTTCAGGGTCCCCGCGCTGCTGCGGCGCGCGACGACCAACAACTCGCTGGCCGGCTCTTCGTCGGCCACGTCTGCGCCCGGCGGCGGGTTCGGCGAGGAGGGCCATAGGGCGGCGCGGAGCAAGGCTTCCTCGTCGACGAATGGCGGCGGCGCTGCTGGTAGTGGTGGTGGCGGTGCCAAGAAGAAGAGCGGGATCAACTACTTTGCGCGCGAGAACGAGCGGCGCGCGGCCATGGCGGAGAAGGAGAAGAGGAGGGAGGCGAGGAAGTGGAAGGGCGCCGAGGGGAGGGGTGCTGTCGTCGGCGGCCTGTTTGGGGCGGGCAAGTTTGAGTAAAGGAGGTTGGTTGGTGCGGAGAGGTTGTGTTTTGAGGTTCGTCGGTGGTGGTGGTTTGTTGTGTTCCTACTTGGGTGGCCACTTGGGGAACCTGGAAGGTGAATGTCATTGTAGCAGGCGTTTCGGTGTTGGTTTTCCGTTGGAACACTCGGATCAGGATTGTGTTTACGGGCAATGGGTTTGAAAGGGACTTTTCTGTATGGCATTGTACGAGTCTGTCTGTCTGTCTGTCTGTCTGTCTGTCTGTCTATAACTTTGACAGAGTAGTGTCGAGAGCGTCCGGATGATAGGAATTGCGATGGTATTCAGTATATGACTGATGCTCAAGTTCATGTCTAGCATGCGATGTGTTGCGTTCATAGAGATGGAAATGCTTTATGAATCAGATTATGATGCAGCCTTATTAGTGACTGGGCAGGTAGTGTTGCTGAGGCCCACTTTTCGCAATCACATTCATGAGCCAGATCGACCGCATCCTCACCTCTCTCTTCACGACTCGACGCGCACAAGCCGGACGATTCCATCTAATCCAACCGTGTCTTTTTCATCCGCACCCTCATGGCCCTGAAGATGAGACGACACGCACCTGTGAAGGGAATGACATGAGTGTACTCTCTGTCAGATGATAATCTTGCGCCATGCCTCCGCCGCCCTCAGTAAGTCAAAAACAATTCACCCGCCCGGCCCAGGGATGAGGAGTCTACTTACACGAACCCCAGACACCCGCCCCCTCAAAGTTCCTCCTGTCGAAGCGCCAGGGCAGGCAGTCGCAGACACAGCAGCAGACGCCCACGCAGCCACCGCCGCGCTTCCAAGCGACCCCGCGCTTCTCCGCGCCCTCGTCGTCGGCGACTCCCCGTGCGGGAGGAGGAGGAGGCGGGGCGACAGGAGCACCGTCGGCCGCATCCCAGCGCCAGCCACAGCCGCCGTTCTTCAATGCTGGTTCCGGCGGCACGCCGTCGACGGCAGCAAAGTACCCGCGTCCTGGCCTCGGCGCGGCGGAGGATGCCATCAGCGACGACGACGACGACGACGACGACGACGACGACGACGACGACGAGGATAGTGATGATGCAGCACGGCAGGAGGAGGAGGATTTAGTAGAGAGTTCTTCGCCGGTTGGGAGGAGGGAAGGTTCTTTCGGTGACGGTGCTGGCGGTTATGATGAGCTCGGTGGTCGCGAGGAGTATGATGACTACCACGATTGCGCGCCTGCGCGTCGGGCATGGGCGAGAGCAACGATGCCCACGAACACCGCGGCGCGGCGTATGGTGACGGACGCCATTGAGATCGACTCCGGGACGAATACCCAGACTACTACTACTGCAGCCGGCGGAGAAGGAGACGGAGACGCAGAGCCCTTGCCCAAAAGGAGGCGGATCTCCGTCTCTTCTGCCGAAGACAGCGATGACATCGACGCGACCGCGTCAACGGCAGACACCAAGCCAGAAGACGACGACATCATGGCTATAGACGACGCCGTCGAGCAAGATGAGCATGAGCCCTCCTCGTCATCACGCGGCGGCCGGGACGAGGTAGACACCCAGTCCTCAGCAGGATCCAACAACAGTGACGGAGAAGACGACGACGACGACGACGAAGAAAAAGAAAACCCACTCCGGCCGCTCCGCCCACCACCACCAGCCTTCCGCCCGCCACCGCGCTTCAAGGCCCCCGACCTGCCGGCCCCGGCCGAAGGGGACACCGCGCGCCAGCAGCCGCCCGTCCACGAACTGCCCGACGCCTTCTCCCCCCAGCGCCGCGGGGGTCCGCGCTACGTCCCCGGGGGCCTGGCGGCGCAGCTGCGCGACTGGCTGATGCAGATCAAGGGCAGCAGCGCCAACCCGGGCTTGGAGGAGGAAGAGGGAGGCGCGGCAGATGGGTTTTCGATGCGTCTCGCCGTCGACGAGGTCAGTCCCGGAGGAGCCGCCGCCGCCGCCGCCGCAATGGCGCCCATGGCGGGCATGGTGCTGGTCCGCGGGAGGCCTGTCACCTCCTCTGACGGCGGCAATGAAGAAGCGGGTGGCGAGAAGGGACGCGCGGTTCTAGTCATGCTTGCCGGAGAAGGGCGGCTGACGGACGTCAACACGCGGAATGTCGTCACAAAGGGCGCCGTTGTGGGCATCGCGCAGCCTGCTTGGGATGTTGACCTCGGGGATCATGGCGGGGAGCGCTGGACTGTAGCTTGCGACTGGGCCGTTTTGTAAAAGGAGATCGACTTTTGGGAAGGATACCTGGATGTATGCATGGTTGGGCAGCGGCGTTGGCTAGACGGTATTTGAGGACGAGACGCAACATGGCTTTCTCTGTTCTCCTTCTTTGGGCTGTGGAGATACATGCCTGGCATGGGATTTGAGATTTGGATGAGCCCTTAATAGAAGAACAGGTCTACTCTATCTCTGATCATGAATATCCTCATTTTATTCCGTTACGCCATCCCTCTCATCTGCAATCCTCCCGCGCATAAACCCTCCTTCCGCCAACCCACGTCTCCCGTACCCTCATGCTCCTCAGATCCTCAACGCCGTACTCCCCCAGGGGCCGATCCAGCACCACCCAGTCAGCCAGCGCGCCCTCCTGTATCACACCAGCCCGGCCTTCCATAAACCCGCCGTACGCAACACCGCCAGTAAACCCATGCAGCGCCTCGTCCAACGTCAGCGCCTCGTCCATGAGAAATCCCACCTTGGCATCCCCGCCCGGGCCCAGCCCGGTCTTGGGACTCCGCCGCGTCACAGCAGCATACATCCCCTGGAACGGATCTGGCGGCTCGACAGGAAAGTCGCTCCCGAGAACCGGCCTCAGCGGCAGCAGACTCTTCAGGCGGTACGCCTCGGTAGTCAGACGCTCCCTGCCGAGCCGCAGCTCCGCGTACGCCATGTCCGACGTGGCGTGGGTCGGCTGCACCGACGGCAGGACGCCCAGGGCGTGCATGCGCGCTCGGTCGGCCGGGTGCAGGATCTGGGCGTGCTCGATGCGGAAGCGCCGGCGCTGGCTGCACTCTGCGGGCTCGCGGGCCGGGTGGCAGTCGACGAGGGCGGCCTCGAGGGAATCGAGGGCGAGGCGCGCAGCCAGGTCGCCGATGGCGTGGATGCAAACCTGCCAGCCGGCCGCGGACCACGAAGCCGCGAGGGATGTCAGCGTTGACGCGTTGACGAGCAGGGAGCCTGTGGTGTCTGGGCGGTCGGTGTAGGGGTCGAGCATGGCGCTGCCCCAGCTGCCGAGGGCGCCGTCTGGGAGGCGAAAGGGGGTGGTTAGCGAGCTAGATCAGCGGACGAGAGAGGGTGATGAGAGGCCGGGATGCTTACCTCCAAAGAGCTTGACACTCCTGATGGACAGAAAGTCATCTTGATGACGGACAGCAGAAGCCTCGTCGGGACAAAAGGTATTGCGCTCCTTGCACTCAAGCATGGCGTGTACGCGCAGGGTCCAGTCAGAGCTGTCTTGAGACATATCACGGAAGAGCTGCAGGTCCTCTGGCGTAGCCCCGGCGTCATGCATGCCGACGAGGCCGACCTTGTGCAGCTCGGCCATGGCAGAGCGGATGAAGCGCTTCTTCTTTGCGGCGTCCGGCCTGGGCCACTTGGCTGTGATGAGATCCATGGCATTGTCGCAAAAGACGCCCATGCCCGGGTCGCGCACGATCTCGCCGCCGGGGACGTCTGGAACATCAGGGCCTAGGAGGTCGAGGACAGCCTGAGAAACCCAGACACAGTGCACGTCAACGCGGTCGAGCATGATATGGAGGCCTTTGAGTCTCTCGTCTTGCTCCAGCCATTCCTAGACTTTCGGATTAGCCCCGCCACCCAAACCGATCTTGCGAGAGTTGCGCCCTCGAATGGATGAGCATTTACCGCTGTAGGCATGCCTCCCAGGACCATCTGGTCCCATCCGACGCCCCTGAGCCACTCACCCGGCGCACCGACGCCAGGATGCGCATCGAGATACTGGACCACGCGAGCTCGCACCTCGTCCGCAGACTCGGACCCAAATAGGTCTACCGAGTGGAGGAACTCGCCATACTGGAGCAGATGGCCATGCCCGTCCCATAAACCCGGGATCACGTACCCCGGCAGAATCTCGTAAGTGACGCCCGTACTGCTGGCCGGTGGCTGTTGGAGCACAGCCGTGAACTCACCGCTTGGCGAGACGGTGAAGCATCGTGCCGCGGGCTTGGTGTCGGATAACGTGGCGACACCCTCGTAGCAATAGGTCCTGTCGGAATTCTGCGTCTTGCTCCAGTCCGAGAACCGAAAGGCGAAGGCGGCGACGCAAGCTGCGATGGCTGCAGTTATCCATGGTGACGACAGTGCCGAATTGCGGACCGGCTTGGTGGATTCCTTGGAGGACCGCCGCGGCTCTTGTGCTTGCTTGTCCCGATCCATTGTCCAATGAGGTGGCAAATGAGTCGCTATTGTACGATCATGCCCGGCAGTAGGAAGCCAACAAGGAAATGACCTGCGCGAGGAATTGAGAACAGCTGAGGGTTCGGCTGATACAATATTTGAGGTCCCACGGTCGTGGCTTCCGATTTAGTGTGGAGCCGCAATTGCCTGATGATGGCTGACTCCGAGCAGCGGGAAGTTACGATGGATTCCAGCTTGACTTGACGTATGAGGGCAATTCCCTCGCGAGAGGCGACGGCGAGTGATCGCAAGTAGGGTTGACGATTCTCATAGCCACCGCCGATCTCGACTTCAGCCAATTTCCTTCTCGGCCGTCATGCATGCACACTCACTGGCGCCGATAAGAGCCACAGCCAGCCCAGGCAAGCCCTTATCTCGTCAGCTCAATATCGGCGCCCGAGTGTGCACCATCGTCACACAGCAGCATTCATCCTCGGTTCTTTGCTCTCAAAGGACTTATCGACATGGAAGCCCGCGGGCTGTTGTCTCGAACTGGGTGTGCAGAGCGCGCTCATCCACGCAACAAGTATCGATTGGATGATGCCGATGCCTGCTGAGATCGAAACATCTCACCCATCTAAGTAAGCTGTAGGCAACAGTCAATCACGGACCTCATAAGGAGCTGGCTCTCCATGAAGGGGAAAAAATAACAACATCATTTGAACAACACTTTCCGTATTGTAGTTCTCTGAAATCATTCGACTCGAGAAATAGCGACTGAGAAGCATGACAGGCACTAGCTTTGACGTGCTCACCACCACTGCCGTCGAGCTGCAGCAGTTTCTCAACGCAGGGCGGATCTCGAGTGTCGAGATAGTGCAGCATTACCTGGCCCAGATCGACCGGCATGAGGCCAAGCTCAATGCCTTCATAGACCTTGCACCTCGCCATCTTGTCTTTTCTTCCGCTGCGGCACTGGACGCGGAGAGACTCAATGGCAAGCGGAGAGGCCCATTGCACGGCATCCCTATCGTGGTCAAGGTTGGGCAACCTGAACCCTCTCCTCTCACCAGAAGCACCACTATACTAACACAACAGAGATGCAGGACTGCTTCATCACGCCTCCAGAGCTAGGCATGGGCACCACGGCAGGATCGTGGGCCCTGGCCGGCGCCCAGCCCAAGGAGTGCTCCCCGCTCGTCCAGCACCTCATTGATCAGGGGCTCATCATCCTGGGCAAGACTAACATGACGGTGAGCATCCCTTACTTGATGTAATTATCGTTGGATAGACATTATTACACGAACGCTGAACGAAATGAGCAGGAATTCTGCGGCATGAAAATGACCATGATGTCGCCTGGCTGGTCAGCCTACGGCGGGCAGACACTGTCCCCCTATGTCGGCGATATCGAGAAGGACGAGACGATTTTGGGTCATTCGGTAAGGCCATTCATTATAGGCACGACCTGTATGGCGTGGTTCTAATCTCAATTTCGTCCATATGCTGCCAGTCCCCGGGCGGTTCCTCGACTGGCTCCGCCGTCGCCGTCGCAGCGGGCTTCAGCCCCCTGGCTCTCGGCACCGAGACCATCGGGTCCATCATCACCCCCGCCACGAGGGCGGGCCTGTATGCACTAAAGCCCACGGTCGGCTTGCAAGACACGCGCGGGATGTACAGGATGACGGAGTTCTTCGACTGCCCCGGGCCCATGGCCAAGACGCCCGAGGACCTGGCTGTCCTGGCATCTGTCATGCTCCGCCAGCCTTCATTGTCCTCCCCCGCCTCCACTGAAGAGTCAGCCTTGAGGCAGCCATGGGAGGGGCTTTCGGTTGGATATCTGGACCCGCGGGTCTGGAAGCTGGATGAAGATATGTGTCGACAACATGAAGGCACGGCGGAGCAGATGGTAGTGTGGCAATTGGCTTGCTCAATGAACACTGACGATAGCTAACCTTTTTAAATAGGTGGAAGAGTACCAAGGCGTCATTGCTCAACTCAAGCAAGAAGGCTGCAGCGTGATGCCTGTTGAGTTGCCAGACCCATCCACCCTGACTACTGTCGACGGGGAGCAAGCCATCATGCCCATTGCCTGTAAGCCTGCAGTCACGAACATGACCCATGAATACAGACTGACCATCAACTAGTCTGGGACTTCAAGAACATAGGCATTCCTCAATTCCTGAGTTGCTTCGAGGACCACCCGGTAAGGTCTCTCACAGACGTCATCGACTACAACGACAAGCACAAGGACAGGGCCCTTCCATACCGTATGTCCCCAAAACATCGCAACTGTGGTCGTCTGAATCCCCCTGGGCAGCAAACTGACAAACACAACACAACATGACCATAGCACACACCGAACAGAATGACCTCATCAAAGCCCTGGCGAACACCGACAAGGAAGACCACATCCGCAACCTCAAATCGAGCCTGCGATCTCTCGCCTGCAAGAACCTAGACGCCATCCTCGATGCCCATAACATCAACGTCATAATCGCGCCCGCGGACTCTGCCCTTCCGATATACACTGCTGCAGCAGGTAAGAAAAAAAAAACCCAACCTAAATCATCACACACATACAGCCTCTCTCCCTCCTGAGCTTCTGTTCTCTAAAAGAAAATGATAATCCTTTACCCTTCGGACAATCCTGCGCACCCATACGTTGAACAACACTAACATAAACAACCCAACCGGGAATCAAATGTAACAGGCTACCCCGTCGCGGCCGCACCCCTTGGCCAGCTGCGCTACAACCGCCGGCCCTTCGGCCTGTGCCTATTGGCGCGGCAGTACCAGGAGCAGATCCTCCTCCGCTTCATGTCGGCATACCAAGACGTGGTACAGCACCCCGCCCGGGCACTCCCTCCCCTCCCCCAGTTTCCTCTCCATCTTCCTAGCCTAGCTTGAGACGGATGGGAGTGAGGATATGCATATGCATTGCATCAGTTACCCGCTTGCGGGTCTCTCCCCCCCCCCCCCTTTGCGATCGTGGGGAACCTGTTCCCTTTTGCCGCTCGGGGCGATCGACACACACTAAATAAAGCACATCATGAATGACGCCGAGGGCAAAGAGAGAAGTAAAACCGACAAAAAGAAAAGCCTCATGGCCTAGAATCTGGGGCTCGGGCCGACTGCTCTGGTTGGGCTGCTGCGTTCTCGCCCGATGATTTGACGTCGGGACTGCCGGCTCCGCGGTCCACGTTTCGGGCCATGTGGTGGTTCAGGGGTCTAGGGACTCGCTCTATCTTTCCTAGTCTGTGCTTCGAAAAGGGTTACGAGCAGCATCGTGAGATCACATCAGCACTGAATAGGCAGTGAAGACCCAACTATGTAGTTAGTTGGCAACTTGGCTGGCATCGCGATTGCCGAGCCGACAAATGCTTAGTTGACTTTGAACAATGGCTATGTAAGCCCAGTCACATTCTGAAACCTTTTGACTCTGGCAGCGAATGCCATCACCATGGTCATGTTTTGAAAGATTGTGCTCAGTCATGTGCTTAGATTTATCAGGTTTTAGTAGCCGGTTGGTGCCGCTCAACGACCGCACCGGCTCTGCTGTCACCCTCCTCTCGACCCCAGATAACACACTCAAAAGAGCTTGCCACCCCCATACAGCCAACGAGTTCTTGTCTCTGTAATAGTATAGAAAGAAAAAAAGGCCAATAACGCACCACAAGATATTGCTACAGATCCGCTGCATGCGCCTTGCTGTAAACAGGTATATGTCCAAAAGAAGAATAACATCATCAAATGCCTGAAAGCCCGTTGGTTCTCGTCAAGTCGTAATAAACTCCCCTGTGATGACGCGCCATCCCTCTGCTCTGCTCTCAATGTGTATGTTATGCCTTGCCTCAGGAGCGGTGGGGCCGAGCCTAATTGCCCTACGACACATGCCCAACCCCAAAGAAGAAATCAAGATCGTTGCCACTGCCACTGAGGCCCCGCGCGCCCTCGCTCTCAGCAAGCTGCTCCAGCAGACTGAGGAACGGGTCCTTCTCCTCACCGGGCCCCGTCCCGGCGCTGCCGTTGTTGCTGCGCTCTCCGGGGCTGTGGGCGAGAACCTGGCCCGCGGGCTTCGCGTCGTCGCCGCCGCCGTGCCAAGCCGCCGGGCTCGAGAAGGCGTTGGTGGGGATCGTGCCGAACATGGGGTCGTAGGTGCCGCCGTTGTCGAGCTGCTCCTGGCCTGCCGCTCCCGCGCTTTGCGAGTTGTCGCCGGCGGCGGCACTGCCGCTCGGACCTGCGAGCTGGGAGAAGTTGAACTGGGGACTGAAGGTTGCAGTTGCCAGCTGCTGGGCCACCATATGCGAACCTTGGCCCGAGTGGTGGGCCATGGTAAAGCCGGCTGCAGCGGCTGCGGCGACCGCCGCGTCGCTGGCGGCGACATCGTCGACTAGTCCTCGAGAGATGTGTAGTTGGGCGTCTTGGCCCGGCATGCTATGGTGTTGAGGCAATCCTGTGGGCGTGTGGAGTACCGCAGAATGCGAGTGAAAGGTTTGGTTTGGGAAGCCTTGCGGTGGATGAGAGGGGGTCAAGAGACCTTGAGGAGTTGGTGGCATGCTCATCCCCCCTGTCGACAAGGGCTGTAGACTCTTCATATCAGGTCGCTTGATCCCGGAGTGCGCTGTCTTCTTGCGCTTCAGATTCGGCCGCTCAGACCCGGAGCCCTCAGACACCACGCTATGCCGAGGCGCATATAGGTCATGGCCTGTGTAGGCATCCGTGGTAAAGTCGACAATGACGTCGGAGAGGCTAATATTAGCGGCATCAAAGTTGAATGTCTGGCCACCTGGCCCACCGATGTTGGCGTATCGGTCAAAGAAGTCTTCGAGGTGGAAGACCGGCGAGTATCGCATAGGATTATTCAAAAGACTTTTGACCAATTCAGAATGCGCGTTGTAGATGCCCTGCAGTGTTTCGCGCTGGTGCTGCACGCTGGCCCAGGCGTAGCGGAGCTCACTGAGCTGCTGCATCTCTCGCGACAGGAAGTCGGCGGACGAGGTGAATACACTCATCTCGCCTGCGATACCTGTGGTGTTGTAATGGGTACCGTGGATGTGGACCGTGCCGGCCGTGCAGATGCAATAGCCGACAAAGGCCGGCCACTCAATGTTCCCTGTCTGGTTGCCGAGCTCCACCAACTCGGAAATGGCATTTGCATGCAGGAAACACATGTTTGTCGCCTCTATTTGCCAGGATTGGTGCTGACCTGTCCCTGCCAATTCGGCCAAGTCGATCGGTAGGAATGGCCGATAGATGAGGCAGTGGATCAAGTGGTATATGAGCTTACTCAATACCAAAACCGTTGAATCCGGATGTCCAAAGAGGCTGTCCAGGCTCGAAAATGCATCCTCGGTTCCGGATGCCCAGACGTCCAGGTCCTGCCGAATCTTGGACAAATTGGACAGCGAGTGCCACGGGAAGTGGGAGTCGCCTTTTACCCCTCCGGCGGCCAGGTAGCGATTGGTTATGCCGAGGATACGACTAATGTCGATGAGCATGCCGTTGCTGCCTTGAGATTTCTTGCCATTGCCCTGGAGGTACTGGAGGTTGGATCCGCTTTGGAAGAATTCGCCGTCGACCGGAAGGCTTGACGGATTTGGTGACCAGCTGGGCAGGCGTAGGAGGATGGTTTGATCTCCGATGAGAGAAGGGCGCTTGGAGCCGCATGCCATGAATCTATCAAGCAGGTAGCATGCCCAAAACAGTCGTCTCCGGACCTCACGCTCGACTGGAGTGACGCAGGCTTGATCATCCAGTTCCCTGTGGAGCTCAAGGGCCATGGCCATGCCCACAGCGTTGGCTGGGAAAGTGTTAGTCTGGTAGTACTGGCTCTGAGGCTCGCAGATTACGTACTGAGCAGCATGTACGCTTTCTTTCCCTTCCCGGCGGCGGTGAACGAAGTCACGAGCAACAGTAATGATTGCAGAGCGTCGACAGACGGCTCATCCGTGTCGATCTCACCCCTGGCACGAGCAGCATAATCCTCGCTGAGTTTGACTGCTGATTGGTAACCACCAGGATGAGGAGTGTACCTAGAACTTGTGAGATGCAAGCGCATCACTGAACAGTGTAGGATAACGACATACCTTGCCGCGACAGCATAGATGGCATGCATCAAATATACTGGTACCTGATTGAGTTGTAGTCTTTGACGGACCGAGGACTCATCAAGTACATGGTAAGGTTTGGCATGGAATCGAGTAAAGTACGTGTCTAATAAAGCGGTCGTTTGTACACCCGGAGACGGCTCGCTGCGGAGGTAATCCAGTCAGATCGTTGGCCCGCGAAATGCATTGGGCGCGGGTTTCAGACTTACTTTGTGGCTGGAGGGGAGTAAATGGCTGATTCACCTCCCTGCCGTGACTGATTGGCTTCGATACTTGCTAGATTGGATGCCGCATCCCCAGAACCTCTGAGAGCAGGCTTTTGGTCCGCCGAATCATCAGCTGCTGCCGAGTCTCTCTCGGAACTCGAAGCAGACTCGGCAGACTTTTGGTCTTTCAATTTCTGCTCAAGGCCGTCTACTCGCTTCAAGAGGGCCTCGAGCACGTCCGTCTTTGGGCCACGCTTCTTGGGTACAGCATCTGTAGCACACAAAATGCCAGTATTAGTCTAGCTGCCAAACATGCACAAGAGGGAGCTATGGCCACGCCTCGTGCCATCTTAAATTGATTGGATTCGACAGCACACAGTGAACAACATACCGTAAATGCATGGGCATTGGAAGACCTGACAGGCCTCACAGGCAGGCCGTAGCCGATTACACTTGATCTGGGAGAGGGAGTAAGCATTGGACAACCGAAAAGCCTAATGAACGGCAGGCCCGGTAAGACCTGAGTGTGACTGTGTCGTTACAGCATACCTTGCGTTTGCGGCACGATTTGCAGTTCATCGACTCTCGGGGCTCATTGCTCATCCGGCGCGTCGGCAGCCGCTCGATGCCAACCTGAGGGCGGGACATTGCGATGGACGGGACCCCAGGAGATAGGAGAGGCGCCACGGCTATGGATTCAAAGGCCGAGACTGTCATACCGTTTGCCGCGGGGGATGATGAGTGGTGAGGGCGGCGCGGGACGAGTGGCGGAAAACGGCCGGAGTGTCACCCGGAAACCTCGCAGCTAGTACCGGTCATCGACGTCGCATGGCCCGAAGCTCCGTGTGTTTTGCAGTCCCGAAATGGTGTCTTGGTGCTGCTGGAGAGGCTTGGACGAAACCTCGGGCGCGTATATTGTGGTCAGTCGATCCGGTAGCCGTTGTCTGTGTCTGCTTGAATCCCGTTGCTGGTATGGGAAAGGAAAGGCACTTTGGGGCAGGGTCTGGATGAAGTAATAAGTCGCCAGGGCGGAGAAGTGGAGTAGAGAATGTAGCTACTCTTGCTAGCTTGGGGGAGCACTCTCAAGACGGTCTGGTCTTCTGGCAACCCCCTTCTCCCCTCTCTGACCTGTGCGTCTCGCTTGTGTAGTCGTGAGTGGTGCGGTTTGAGTGTGGGTACCACCACCTTGTTCATTACGGACCATGCTTGCTGCGTGCGCGTTGTGGTGTGGAGAGGTGGAGGCGGAGGCGCGAAGGTCATGGTCAGTGGAGGTGGCTAGTGAGATGTGCTAGGGTCTCCTAACTCGTCCAGAAGAAACAGCGCAAAGCCTAGCATAGCAGACTGACACCAGACCCCGACTAGGAAAGCTTTTCCAGTGGGCTTCCGACAGAGACCAAGAGACGGGTGGTCCTCGTGGTATGCCCCGGTCCCCGGTACAGGGGTCCAGTTCCCGGCTGGAGGACAGGCATGAAGTGCTGCAAATTAACCACGAGCAGTCAGAAGATCGATGTGTGTACTTGCTCAAGCCCACTTGTTTGAGGATGGATCATGTATTGCGAGACACACCCTCCAAGAGATGTGGCCGCACAATCAATCGGCCATCCGTCTCGCGCTAGAGGCCAAATTAAGGCATGGTAGACAGACCCGTCCATGCTTCAAGCCAAGTCGCTGAGCAGCCAGCAGTGGAAGCCTACACCAACAGGGTCGTATCCGTTCCAGGGTGTTCAACAACACGGAGGAAGGGATGGTGGATGATGTCTTGTTCGTGCCGACGGGAGAGCATAGTACACATATTCTCGCACCGTGTCTTGCTCGCCTTCTTTTGCCTATGGTCAGGTTATGAGGTGGCCATCCCGGATACATGCCTGCTTGCAGTTCGAACCTGAGGGCGGGATTGGCAGCCTGGCGGGTTTGTACTGGGAGCCAGCCTGGCCATTGTGCTCATACAGGCTTGCCTCCATCCATCTCACTCCATAGCGCAGGCCTGTCAGGATATGCCATGCCGTACAAGTGCGTACAACGGTGGTCCGAGCTGGTGTGATAGCTCTGTCAGAGTAGGGCTGGGGTAGGGACAGGGAGAGATATCAATCTCTGCGGCACAGCCATGGATGGCCATGCGGCAGGCCGATCTGTGTGTGAGTGTGTGTGAGTGGATTGAGCCGATGATGGATCAAAATGGGACATCAATGATCCCAGCCATGGATGATGGATGGACTCATCAAACCGGGGCAGAACACTAAGAGAAGCAGAAGCCAGTGACTAGCGCCTGGAAGTGGTGGGGAAACAGCTGTGAGATGGGGTTCTGTGGGCTGTTCCTTCCCCTCTGCCGATCCTGACATTCCTTCCGGGGCAGGTGCTTGGGGGGGGCAAAAAGATCAGTGCAGGCGTGACCTTAGGTACGGAAGGCACGTTGAACATCGAGTTGGGATATTTTGGGTTTCGGCATTGGGATCTCACGAATGCGAACGCACTGTTCATCGTCTGGATAGTAGATCGATCTGACACTAGCCTTATGCTCATGCGCCTGCGTGCGCGTGCGCGGTCTGCCCGACAGACACCGCTCCTCTGTTCCAGCACCGTCGACCGGCAAAGGGCAATCTGTCTGGACCTGCATCTGGGAAGGGTCTAGCACGGTTCACGATACGATCCCATGTGCTTTCCGACCGTTTCGAAAGAAGTGGCGTTGCAGATCGATGGGGCCTGCGACGAATAATCTCACTTGGATGTCGTTGACTCGAGTGTCACAGAAGTTTGCCCAGGCCACCTTGTTTCCTCGAGGACGGCATGACTTGCTGGTTCAGATGATGCCTCGCTCGCTGGCTTGCACCTGCATATGCACAGATTGGAACTGTTCCTGAATCAACTCTAGGCCCGAACCCCCCCCCCCCCCCCCCAATCTTTGGTTTGTCAACCATGCCGTGCCACCGTCAGTCCCGACCACGCCCACCACGGTTCGCGAGGGCATTGGACAGTCGCAGCCACACCTCAAACGCCCGTCCTGCGGCGACCCGGGAAAAGCTCGTTCCCTGTTCTGTATATTTAGACATTGCGTCGTCGAGCTGGGCGAGGCTTGCGAGCGAGCTGTGTGCAACCACGCCTTGCTTGAGCACACACCACAACGCGCGTGCACACACGCCTGGCCACACAGTGAGCAGATTGCTTGCTCCTTTACTCGAGGGTTAAGCTTGTGTATGTGCAACCCACAAACCTGCGCCCAGGCCTCGGGGTCAGAGCCAAAAGAAGCAACAGCAAAGAACCCAGCTGCAACCCATTGCCCCTATCACGCTGCTGTGACACGCGCGCGTGAGCCGTCTCGGTCCGGTTTGTCGATTGCCTCGAAACTCAGGGCCACCGAGCTTGGCGGCGGCGGTGGTTGTGCTACGTACAATGAGGTGGAAGGGCCAGTCGATCCAGACAGCCCACCATACTTGGCCATTTCCAGCGTTGCTTTCTGCCGGATTGCAGTTCAGGTCAGGTCGGTCAAATGCTGCATGAACCTAAAATCGTACTGAATGGGCCCCATTGAAGTGCTGGCCCCGGCAATCTCTCTTTACCTGATCGAGGTAAAGAACGTGGGCTAGGGTCACAACGCTAGGATTACCGGGTCGGGGAACAATCTGGGTGCGGGCTTAATTCCACCGAGCTCTGTTTCGCTTTTTTTGGTCGCCGGGGAGTTCTAGGAGCCTCTTCGAAGTCCACCTCAACGCTCACTCGGGGTACGCATCAATCTTACTTGGTAGGTCAGGGACAAGTCAAAAACGCAGTCCTTGCCGCCGAGTGCTGTTCAAACCAGGGCTATGCCAGCCACTCTCGCGTTGAGGACGTTGGGCCAGCAAGGGTACAGATCATCTATCTCATGCAAGCCACGCAGTGAGCGCCGCCATCCGGCCATCTTTGGTGGTGGTAGAGGTCACAGATAGGCTTGACGGCTGCCGAACCAGCTAACGGCTCCTAGCTGCTCTTGCTGTACGTCCCTCTTGGCTCGCCACGTCTCGTTGGCCGGAGGCTCCGTGTGGTGGTGACGAGACGGCCAGCAGCATGACAGCACCATGAAAGACTTGTTTTGTTTGATAATGTCTCTGGTCGCCTTGCCGGTAAGCCTTTCCTGTCTGGTTGCTTGCCATGGTGATTCATCGTCTGAGCTTCCCCCCTGCAAGATCCCGAATCAACGGCCGAGCCGGCTGTCACTTTTCCTTTCTTCTTGAGACCTTTAGCCAGATAAGGCCTTCAACTATGAGCTGTGTATGCTGCCTGAGCTACGATTCAGCCGTTCTTTGCTTTTTTACCCGTCGTGCGCAAAGCTCTAGACAAGCCCGTCGGATGCCATCTGTTTCAATATCAGCGATGAACAAGTTGACCAACTACTGCACTCCCAAGAAACTTTGGGTGTTTCTGGGACGAAGGAGGACCAATCGATTCTCCCCGCAATACCTATGCCAATACCACTCTAGAAACAGGATTCTCTCCCAGTGTGCACAGATTAAGGTCCCAAGCTCATACCAAAGAGCACGAACCGATCGAGAGATTGTCTTGCTCTGGAGACGGCTTGGCAAATGCACTCGTCTAAGCACGCTCGCAGTCCGTCCCTCTGCCTTTCATCCCAAGAATCACCCTTCTTCCTTGTCTTCACCCCACAGAAGCAAAGTGTTGTGGCGACGTTGATTTGCATGATTTGCATGGGGTCATCCCGGTCAAGCGTGTTCGGGACGGATGATGGACGCGCAGGGGAGGGATGCCGCTCAAGCGCGCCAGCAACACTTTCTTCTCCAAGTTGCTTCCAAAGGATCGGCGTTTTGGAGGGCGCTGCTTCGGTGCAGCTAGACCGCGAACACCGATCTTGCGGACCCTGACATATTCTTGTACCTACCTCGGGTCTTTGAAGGGCTTCCAAAACGCAAACGACCGAGCTTCGGAAGACTCTCCTGTTCGTATCCGCTCTGGACCAGGTCCATTCATTCGCCGCCTAATGCGAAATCTTGTCTGCTGAGCGAGTGCTTGCGGGTAAAGGCACAACCTGCTATCACACCGACGACGACAATATCGTACAATAAAGAAAGGGCCGAAGCTAGGCTCCTGCTCCCTGAAGATATCCCCAGGGCTAGCCGTCTCACACAGAGTGCCGTATCCAGACCATGCCCACCGGGCCGGGATACCCTCAGCGCTGGAGCCTTTCCACGTTTTTGCTTGCCTTTCTTAGCATGGTCATCCAGGTCAATGACAGGGAATGCCAGCGGCTTCTCGGTCCTGGCGCCATCCATTCTACAAGTACGGGGACTGGTTTGAACTAGCTTGGCGGTCGGTAGAGGTACATTTCTTCTTTCGAAACATGGGGACAGTACATGGCTGTGCCCTCCCCCTGTCTTAGTGCCGCTCCCACACACACGCCCATTTTTTTTTCTTTTTCGGTTTCCAGTAAAGAAACAATGTGATAACTTGAGGTAATAAGACCTGTTTATTGAAGAACAGCGAGATGAACGTGGATTCTCTTTTACATCATCGCTTGCTTTGATGATTCATGTTAAGAGAAATGGTGACAACTCTGATTCCTGGTCCCATGTCCAGTTCCAGTTCCCTTCTTCATGCCAACCCTGAGCCTGCCCACCGGGCCACTTTCCATCCCGCCATCCTTTTTCCGATTCAGCCTCAGACATGCATATTGGGGGGTGTTGCTCAACGGCTACCTGCATGCCGAGAGGAGAGATAGAGTCTCATTCTACACGTACAAAGACAGGAAACGGACACTTTTCCCGAGAAACCTTGTGTTGACGGCCCGGGTTCATGCTCGTTTCTTCTTTGTACACCAGGCACGCGCTCGTTTCCTGTCCAGTCGCTTCTCTCCGATGAGGAGGAACCTGGCGGTCACCAATCTCTCCTTCCTTTCTTTTTTGTTCTTTTCTTTTTTTTCTTCCTGCACCACTGAGACAGCATGTACCTACATCCGGTGCATCAGATTCCCCCTTGTTTCTCGTCTATCTGGGTGAGCTAGATACAAGCACGATTCCGAGTTCGCCGCGCGAGCGCGCGAACACACGTACGCGCCGCCTGTGCTGTGCCCAGAACTCGGCGCATCACATCGTCCACAGATGGGCGGGTCCACCGGCTCTGAGTGCCGGACCAGGTAATTTTTCGCATTAGAAAATAGAAAAAAACATACAAGATGCAGACGGGAGGAGAGCCGCCGGTCGGCACTGTACGGTTCAGGCAAACTGCGGCGGGCATACCCGCATGCAAATGCTTCCCTGTGGTGCTTGTCTAGAGGAAGGTTTTGGGAAACGCGCGCGTGCCCCGCCATGTACTTCCCTTGCACACGGCCTCTCGCCTCCCTGAACGCCTTCTACTCAGGTGCAAACGCGGCCCGGCTGTTGATACAAGACAAGACACATCATCTATTGCATGAAGGTCGCCGAGGTGCCCGAACAAGGCAAGGGGGCGAGGGGGGGAGGGGGAGGGCGTGAAAAGCTTATGTATTCGACTTTCGATGTGTTGCCATGGTGTCTAGCTTCATCTGTTCGTGTCAACGTCAATCTCCCCTCCAGCTCTATGAGAGGAACTATCGCCCACCGCGTTCAGCAAACAGATCAACGATTTTTTGCACATGTTGCTCACAAGCCTATGGATCAAACAAGCTCTGAAGAACGTGTCTTTATAGAAAACGGATGCTGCCAGATATTCGTTCTTCTCAGTGGTACAAAAAATAAAAGCCTAAAGCAAAAGTGCAACTAGATCAGAAGAGATAACAAAACTCAACATGTATGCTCGCAAAACAACGACGAAAACAACAACAAAAAGACAACAAGTCAAAAGAGAAAACGCCCGGGCATGCCAGTGATGGTCGTCTTTCGAGTTTTCCTTTCGAAGAGCCCTTTTGACAAACCCATGCAAGATGCAGGTAGGTCTAAAACAATTTCCTCCTCGTCTACCACGCCGACCATCCGAGATACAAAACCTCCCTCCCCCTCCCCCCTTTCCCTCCATCTCTCCAGGAGGGGCTATCACACAAAGATCCCTCGCCCACTGGCAAGCCTGACAAAGCTGTACGGCACGTTCTGCCCGACCAGCAGCCGCAGAGTCTCGACGGTCGTGAAGGCCGCCGTGTCGGCGAACCCATAGGCCGCGAAGCCGTTCTGCTCGGCGACGGCGCACGGGTCGGCTTTCCGCAACACGGATCCGTCGGCGAGGTCGAGAAAGACGCGTCGTGCTGCGGCGCTGCTGCCAGGCACCTGCTGCTGTTGCTGCTGCTGCTGCTGTTGGGAGCCAAAGACGCGCACGAGCATGCCGACGAGGTTGCTCTTCTCCGGCGCCAGCGCGCTCACAATGACAAACGGCGCGCCGCTGCTGTTGTTGTCCGTGGCGCCGCCCCCGTCCATCCGCGCCCGCTGCAGGCTCTCGAGCGAGTTGAACGGCTCGATCGTCAGGCCTCGGGCCAGCGCGGCGGGGGTCTTGAAGCCCACCGTGTACACCTTGCCGATCTGGAGCGCCTTGAGCGCGAATATGGCGCTGGCCGCGTCGTCCGAGGTCGAGGCCAGGACGATGGCGGAGCGGCCAAAGTACGCCGAGGGGGCAAAGTCGCGCGTGAGCGTGCTCAGGATGCCTCGCCAGGAGGCATTGTCAAAGACGAGTGTCGTGCTTGGCGGTAGCCCGGAGATATAGACGGGTGCGTGGGGCTCGCTCTGGTTGTGGTGCGGGCTTGAGGGGATGGACGCCGGCGCGGAGCTCGGGGTCGAGTTGCTAGGCTGGACGATGATGGTGTCCACCATGCCTATCACACGGGCGGCTTCACTTAGGATGGGGCCAGCTCCGCCGTTGAGGGCCTTGAAGAAGACACTGCTGTTGTTGCCGGTGATGCTGGCATGGGAGACGGGCGGGGTGAGGTAGGCGCCGCCAAAGTTCCTTTGGTTGCACCACGCCTCCATGCACGCCGAGCCCTTGGGCTGTCGCTCAACGACTGCAAAGTGGTGAGGTAAGCCTAGTTCGTTGAAGCACTTCTCATAGAAGGGCGCCGTAGGGGTGGCGCTTCGTGAAGCAGGACTGCTGATGCCGTATATGCTCTTCTTAGGCAGTTGTCCCAGAAGCGATAGCGCAGCGTTGATTTCCGCTGCGCTCATCTGACCGGGTGCGGCAATCTCGGGAAGCAAGGGGTGAGTGATAGGGGTGAAGACCTTGTTCAGCGTTCTTGAGAATTGACCTGTTGGACCCATGTTCACGGCAGAGAATGGTGGTGCGTCGGGGTATTCGGTCCTCATCTTTGACCGGAAGTACTCGAGTTCAAAGTTCTCGTTGTGATCGTTTGTCAGGGCAATCATCTTGATGATGTCCGCATATTGTTGAGACTGCCTGAAGATAGCCTCGGCTTTGGATGAAGGCCACTTGAACGTGCCTGAAAAATCGTGAAAGGCAGACATGATCCGGCTGTTTCCTCGTTGTTGCCATAGCCTTCTCCTGATCTTCTCGGGCAGCCATAGCTCAACGTCGATATACTCCACGCCCCATTGAATTGCCCTGTAGAGGTACTCGTAATAGAGATCGGGATCTTGCATGGGAAACCGACCGTTCTCGCGCGTGCACCTGGTTGTGAATATTATGGGCAGTTCTGTCCTCTGCCGTAGGAGCATGACCTGCTCGCCGACGTAGCTCAGACTGGGTATTTGAGAATAGGCGCCGTCACCTAGAGGCTCTTTCAGAAAATCCACACGAATCTCAACCGCATCCGAGCCAACGGTCAGGATGTCGATGTTGGGCAACGCCGCCCTGACATCTGGAAAGGTGGTTGAGATGAAGTATGTCCTCGGTTTCGTCATCAGCGTCTCGTGATGATTGATTTGACCCAGCGTAAAAGAAATAAACCTGGACAAGTCCCTCCTGAAGAACGGGGCACTGGTGTACAAAAATTCGTAGTCACACTCTGCCGAAAGATAGAGGTCTGGCGGCATCCCCAAGTTCACGCAGTGCGCGTGGATAGCTACCACAGCCATCTTGTCTCGTGAGACCACGTCGGTCTTTGCCTTGTCTGAAGCAATGCCGACGACCAGCCCCTGGTCAGCAGACGTGATTTCGCCAAAGCTATCTCGAGAGCAAAAAGGTTGCCCGAGAATCTCGGCAAAGACTGAAACGATGCTGTCCTGGCCTGGGCCGTGAACGATGACCACAGTCCTCGTATCGCCTCTCTGAGGACCACTCCCAAACCTGGTTCCATTCGTTGCGGGTAATGAGGGTGCGGTCATGTCCACATCCATATCAATTGCAACGTCATGCAGACCGCCATTAACCCTTCCCGAATGCGCCGGCGTTGGCGACGCGCGTAGTTGCTGGACGGCAGCCATTCTGGCGATCTTTCTCCGACCCTGGCCGTCGTACCCAGCACCTTTCCTTCAAAAATCCTGGACCTGGCTCTGACCACGAGTGGCTCTGTCTCAACCGGTGGCAAAGTTCCCGTAATACAGTCCACGGAGGCGACAGTACTCGTTACAGTGCTTTAGATCGTCGATGAGGATAGAGACTGCCACGTATGAGAGGCCACATGGATACGGGGAGAGAGGCAACCGGGTTATCTCGTGCTGGAGAGTTGTCCCAACCCAATCAGCCACAGCCGCAGGCGATAGACTCGGCGACGATGTCTCAAGCCCAACGGGAAGCACGGTCGAGAAGCAAATGGAAAGAAGCTGCTTCAATCGCCGTTGGTTGGGTCCGGAGATATCCCGGTGGATGTATGCGAGGTGCTGCTGGCCAACAACACAGGACGGCGGTGAAGGGTGTTATCAAGATCTAGCTCACAGGAAAGATGTTGTGCCAACAAGGGAAAGAAGCCGGCGAGGTTAAAGAAGAGTAGGCCTGGCGGGCAGAGAGGGTCACCGGTGCGGTACCGAGCGGGCGTAGAGGTTACAATGCGATGGGGAAGGGGGTATGATAAGGACGGAATAATTATCAGTGGTCCATACCAGCCGTAGGAGGGGTGGCCGGTGCGTGTTGGGCGAGGACGAGTCGGCTCCAGGACAGAGGATTTCTCCCAAGCGCAGTAAACGAGCACGTTTGGCTTCCCGGATCGCTGGTGATTCCGTTTCGGCCTCAAAGAGGGGGCGTGGTTATGTAGATATCTGCACCACCGGAGGACACAAGGAGAAGGCGCCGCCACAGTAGGCCGGTGGCGGGCGTGCGACACAGTGGGCAGAGGAAAACAGAGCCTCGTGCGCGACACAGACCCTGCGGGTTTCGGAAAGTTTTTGTGTGTAAGACACAGGATGCACAGCAGCACGAGAGCGCGATGCTGGCGGGCGCAGGGTGACTGATTGGAGGATCCTGATGTGAGCAGACAACGGTGATCTGTCTCTGCTCTCAGCTTGGGCGCGCAATGTGGTCGATGTTTAGACGTCGGGTCTTTGCGGCGGGCGCCGCTACGCTTCCAAGGAAGAGACGTAAAGTTCTCTCCGGGAGGATGACGACTGGCGGTCCATCCGAATGAAGAGGATCGGCACGGCGGTCGCAATCTTTGCCTGTTTCTGCGGCAGACGAGGGTGGACGATGGAGGTTGCAGTCGCAGCAGCCTCAGATGTTGCGCATCGCAAAACCCAGCACAGCGTCCAAATCATGGAGTGCCAAGACCAGGGCAAGAAAACAGCAAATGATAGATTCTCGGGTACCCAAGTGACCAGAGCCAACCCAGAGGTAGAAGAAGCTAACAAGCGGCGGCGGAACAGAGAAAATGGGTCTGGCCGGGGGAGCGGAGTGGGGGTTCTGAGGGTTTAGCGGGTTGGGGGGAGCCTCAGTGCTGAAATCATGGAGGGTCGTATGGACGGATTTTAGGCGGGAAAACAGAAGGATGTGGCACTGGACGGGCCTAGAGAGCCAGGCAGCTCCAGTGGATCAGCCTCCAGTCCTTGGCCTTGTGGCAAAGTTGGGGACACTTTCTGAGTGGGCATGGGGAAGGGTTAGCCTTTCCAGCTTTGGTGGTTCTGTTGGCTTCCCCCGCGACATGGATTGCGATCACTTCGACTGATGTTCAAAGCCTGACAAGAAGAGACATGACTTTCTGATTTGGATCAAATCAATAACACCCTTCCACTGAAGACAGGTCGCACTGTTGTCTGAACTGAATTTCACCCTCATCATCAGCAGGCTACCCAAGTAAATCGGCAGCTAGGCCCAGGTGTGAGAACGTCCCTGCATTCCGGCACTGCTCGAGACGCATTACCTAAAAAGGACTTCCACTGTTTTAGAGGCTTTCAAAACACGCCCAAGATCCATATTTCTCCTCTCCGTTCCCGGAGAATTCACAGATACACCAACTAATATGTGCAACAGCTAAGGTAGGTGCCTAATAGATCACATGCCGCGCCGCGATATGCTGCCTACCGTCAGCCCATGGTTCGTCCTCAGGGAGATCGGTTGACGACCGTCGCCAAACATCACCGACCTTTCAGAGGGGAGCTCCTTCCTTGAACCCTTTGCTCCAACAAGAAAGAGAAGGAAAGGGCAGGTGGGGACCGGGACAGGCTTCCCCTGGCCCCTGTCAATGGCGCTCCAAGATTTGGGGAAACAGCCCCACATCGCCATCGCGATATTTCCCCCCTTTCCGGAGTTCATTCGACATAAAAATCCCACCAATGAGCAGCCAGATGGCGTCTCTTGGTTCCTCACCTCCCCGCAGCCAGATTTCCTGCTCGACCACCGTCTAGAATTTCTCCTAGAGGGTTGCTCGTTGCTTGCTCTACGGAGTACCTAACGTACGCCAACTAGGCCTTTGGTTGGAGACTCGCTCTCCCAAGATCGCCGCGTCGAAGAGACCAGGACTAATTGAAGCAGGCTTTACATGCCCGAGGTCCGCCCGGAGACGAAGGGTTGGTCTGACTGCCCTCTGCGTCGTCCGCACCGTTTCCACCCTTGGGACATGCCCTCTCCAGAGGCTTGTTTATTTCAGACACTAGACGTGAAAATCTTCCGATGCGTGCAACGGTCCGGGTGCAACCGTACCCAGTGATTATTACCCAGTTTATCCTTTCATTGCAGCGCAGCTCTCAACATTCTGACATATCAGGCTGAATGATCGCGTTCCACGTGCCAGTTCCACAGCCCTGGGTCCCCGAGATTCATTTTGCACATAAGCTTACTTCTTGATAGTCTTCAGTCTGGGGTTGATAATCATTGACTCTGCCTCTGAAGCAGATGAGAGAGAGTGTGTGTACAAGTACGAGGTAGGGTCGGCGTTCTGCCGAAGCCCGTGACAGTGACTCCACAATAACTCCTTGATGATCATTAAACACCCGTCGGCTATTTCCTCCAGTCTTCATGTACGTGAAGACGAGACAAGATGGCAAGATTGTATGTTCCTTGAAAAAGCTATGAAAAAGCTATGAAAGATGAAAGGAGTAACACATACCTCTCATCTCACCATGTATTGATTGACTATCGTTTCTCTCACATGCGTGTCTCGTCGAGGCGACGGAGTAATGTTGCATGACAGTAGAACCTTTGAGTCGGCATTGGACTTAAAGTATTGGTGGAATCCAAATGGTCTCGACACGGGCAAAGGAGCAATGAGAAGTGGGATGTATCGAAGCCACGTGGTCCTATTCGAGAAGCGTTTCTGCTTCTCACATCATGCATAACGTCCGCGTATGGCGGTCTGGTCTCTTTTGGGCAAGAAATCCGGTCCACCTAGCACGTAAGAGATAGGTTCCCATCAGAGTTACGTTCCCAGCCATCGTCTTGAGAAAGATTCTCTATGTATTGAGTGTCATCATCTCGGTTAATGTCTTCAAGCATGTTGTTTGTTTGGTGGAGTGATTCCGGCCGTAGATCAGGTACCTAGTCCTCGTAAGCCTGGCCTTGGATGCGTTGGACACTACCATTATTCCAAACTCCGGAGAAATCACTAGAACAGAAACATTCTGAACTTTACCTTGACGAGTGTATACCTTTTGAAGAATAATGCCGTACATGTAGATCAGCAGGGAGTCGAACGGAAGAGTAAAGGCAACATGTACCTCTTCTCGTTCCGAAGGTGTTGTCAACATTCAAAGCGGACTTATATTTACTGGATTGTCCTGTTTCAGGGAGCTCCCTGGTCAGGAGTAATGCCAGGAGAGGTAGCGGAAAGAGACATCATCCAACCGGATCCTGCCGGTGACTCTTCCAAACTAGCTTCCCAACATATCAACGCCAACCTGGCTCTGGAAAACATCACTGCTTAGGTCTCTGGCCATCTCACCGAGGCCCGGACCATAGACCTGCACTCCTACTTCTTCAATGGGCAGACTTTGCCGGCTCTCTATCAATGTCAGCATCAAGATTATCTAACGTCGATATCAAGAGTATTTCATTTTTCCGCACATGAATTAGAGTGACTGAGCAGATTCTCAAGTCTTCACGGGGGCAGATCATATCGGTCACTGGCGTTCTGACAACAGTATCTGTGAGCCTGATTGGGGCCTCATCGCCCGGCTTACTCTAGCAAATAGGGGTCAGAATAGTTGGCAGAAATCCACCAGGAGATATCTCAATGTTATCAATCCGAATCCATACTCTGAAACCCACAAGGGTTGTCCCACCACCTAAAGCCGATGTGTTTGATGGCCGGTTAAATACTTCTGTTAACAACCCATCCGCTGGGCTGACCACAACTTCTGGACACAGTCAGCCCGAGAGGTAATATCTCTTGCTATTCCGCACAAGTCTCATCGCTGGAAGATGTACCGGATGGGCTTGTGGCCATCAATCAAGAGGAATGATATTACATTGAAGGTTACCCATCATTACCGTAGAAAGCTGCCGTCGCTAGGATCTATTCAGAATCCTAGCATTACCTAGCAATTCCCGTTTGCCGCATTCTATCTCGGGATGGGGTAGTTGCTACTCAGTTGGCAGCAGCGTAAGTTGAACATAAACTCTTCTAGGGGTGAAGAGACAACCTCAAAGAGGCTAAGAAATGGGGCACCATGCGGCATGCTGTACGTGCTGAACCTTATGTGCCATGATCAACGGCGAAGGATGCAGAACAACGATCTCGCTGCAGGCGGCGGGCTGGCACTCCTGCATACCAAGGCAAGATAAGATAGCACGTATAGAGTTAGGAAGTGCTGGGACCGGTGCTAAGGTCCTGGTTCTTGCATTAACAAAATGGTAAGGACTGGAACCATTACAGTTGAATTGCGTGTACTCACTCGAGTACCTCTCTAGGCAGGCTACCTACTTCAGATCCTTTTATATTATCTGATTTGTTTAGGTAGTTAGATACTGAGCTATGCTAGGTAGTAACTCAGATCAGAACATTTTGATTAAGCAATAAAATTACCCCCTGAACTGAACCTGACCTATCTGGTTCTCACCGCCCAAAGACAACTTTAAATAACCCCGATGCAAAGGTAGTAGCCAAGCCAAACATTGCACGCGTCGCCAATCTGGGTATTCCACCTTTGCAGATTCGCTTTGGACACCTTTGTCTTGGAGGTGATCACGTCACATGTGTCGCCGTCGACCACTATATTGACAAATCAACATGTCAGCATTGGCCCACCAGAATCCGATCGAACCGATCTTGTTCAAGGACATACCTTTGTAGAACTTGTTACAGTTGGTCACCATCCCCGGCTGCGTCGGCGTGGGCGTCGCCACCCCGTTGCCCTTGGTAGTCGTCGGCTTGGTCGTCGTGCTCGTGGGGATCACGGCCCCGATGGCGTGCACGCACACGTACACGTTGGCCCACATGTTCTCGCACTGGGAGCCCACGCCCGTGTTCCACGAGTAGAACGTGGCCAGGGGCAGGCTGTACTGGGCCAGCACGGACGCGCACGACTGCCCCTGCGCGACGAAGTGGAACTTGTCGCAGTTGGCCGTCATGCCGGGCTGCGTCGGCGTCGGCGTCGTGATGCCGTTGCCGGACGTTGTCGTCGGCTTGCTCGTCGTGGTGGGCGAGCCGCCGCCGCCGATGACGCCGACGCAGACGTACACTGAGGCCCACAAGCCGGAGCAGTCGGCCCCCACGCCCTCGTTCCAGGCGTAGAGCTGCGCGATCGTGATGCCGTTCTGGCTCAGGACGGCGCTGCAGCTGGTCCCGGGGTTCACAAAGTAGAACTTGTTGCAGTTGGGCGTTATGGACGGCGGCTGAGTAGGGCTCGGGGTGACGATGCCGTTGCCTCCGGTCGTGGTGGGACCCGGCCCCGTGGTGGTCGTTGGCTCGAAGCCGGGGCCGGCCACGCAGACGTAGACCTCGGCCCACATTCCCGAACAGTCGGCACCGACTCCGCTGTTCCATGCATAGAACTGGGCGACGGTAATGCCATACTGGGATAGGATGGAGCTGCAGCTGGTGCCTTTGCTGACAAAGTGCAACTTGGTACAGCCTGCGACGATCTCGGGCGGCTGCGTGGGCGTCGGCGTGACAATACCAGTACTGGTCGGCGTAGTGGTTGTCGAAGTGGTAGTTGTAGGATCGACTGGAGGTACACCCCAGTTCTCCTCCACACAATAAGACGTGCCGGCGATGACATTACATCCATTAGCAAGCGAAGGGTTCTGCTCGAACGTCAGCACTCCTTGCTCTATTCACCATGTTGCGAAGACTGAAGTCACAAATGTCATGGTTGACTTACCCAGCGGTATAGCCAGCTCAGCTGGATGAAGTTGTCAGTTGCGATTGCCTCGCAGGTATCTCCAGCTGCGCCGACATGCCAGTATGTGCAGTCCGGTGTAGTGTCGGAAGGGGCAGTGGTAGGCGGGTCAACAATGTAAGACTGGGCGACGGCCGAGCCGGCCAGAACCAGAAGAACGGAGCGCAAGTCAACACGCATCTTGGCATAGATCAGCAGGGAACTCAGGGGCCGAAATAGATTGACTTGAGATAATTGAGATTGGCAACGTTTTTGCCATACACGCCGATTTATACACCGTACCAGCCTACTCAGAGCAGACCGCCTTGGTGTAACATCATACTAGCTTCAAAGCTACCATTACGCAAATTCTGCGAATACCTACTCGGATGCATCTACCTGGCACCACAAGACGCTGATGTTATTGGAAGTCATGATCCAAGTACAAAGTCACCTGCCTAACCAAGTAAGTCAACATCTGCGTGATATTGGGCAATAATGCTGGAACGATGTTGCTGTCAGCTGAGAATGTGGCATCTCAGGGCTTGGCGTATTGTTGAGGCCTAGTTTCGTCAGAAAGTCATCTGCCTTCCAGGTATGAAGCTCAGTTGGACCAGGCAAACGCGGACATAGATCGTCGCCAAACGCGGTTGCGCACCTCCTCGACTCGATCTCAGGTTTTGCTGAAAGGTACCGGTACATGAGCGGTTGCCCAATGCCAAGGCTGTGGAAATGAGATTATCGATGCAGATACAGTAGCACATGTGAAATGTCTGAGCGTCCGTAAGCACAGCCTACCCTGCAATGCAACACTACCACGGCCAGCAGCCGCGGGGGGAAATAAGGTTGATCCAACGCGGTAATGGTGGCGTCGCTAACCCACACAAACAACCTTATCACAGTGGTATCGGCGCTGACCGGTGTCAAGTCTGAGTAAGATAGACGCGGAGAAGTTGCCCCTCTGGTCCGCAGTCTCATGACCGTGCCAGACATCTAAACTCCAAGAGGAGCTTCGATGCGATGAGAAAACCAAATAATCCAAGAATCTTGTGCAACGCTGACCTCTTGGCAGCGGCGCAGCAATATCACGGGATGCAAGTCGAATGAGATTGACATGGTTTGGGTTGGGGGATAGGGGCTGCCATCAGATGACGATTTGGATGATTGTTATTCGGGCTACAGGCTTGTGGTCTCTGAGGAGGAAAATGGAAGCCCTTTTGAGACCTCCTGTATACCAGGAGGAAGCTGGTTCCCATCTTTTGCCTGCTAGGTGTTTTACACATCCTTTTGCTGGACCTTCAGCTGTTGTGTCGTGAGACTGGCAGTCGACGTACTCACAATCATGGAGCTTTTGCTCGTCCTTCTTTGTTTTCAGGTGCTACCCAGTGCCCTTTGCTTCAAAAGCGGCTCGCACCTTGAAGGTTTCCACAGCTTGAGCTCGTTGCACTCGTTCGCCGACGATGACCCTTTCGCCGCCAACAACCATGTGATCAATCCCTGGGACGATCCTCGAGTCCAAGACCTCCTATGGGACGGGAAGCCTCTACCTTCTGGCGAGCCGAAGAGAAAGAGAACTGTCCTACAACATAGAGCTACCGGCGGTCGCACGGTCATTCCGTCAACATGGCCGCATCGACACTGTCTAGGGTGTTTCAATGCCGCAAGCGGAGACAGACCTGACATTGGCGACCTCAGCACTGAGTACCTGGTGACAGAACTCCTCAAGAAAGAGCCAGAGATGAGAGACTTGTGCGTCTTTTACACCGGCGTGCCCAATGATGAGCGACAGAACACCGCCAAGGGACAATCACTAGGTCCTCAGGAGAATCTCTCGCCGAGTGCAGCAAGATGGGCATGTGACCGTCAAATGTATTCTCTCTGGGTAAGACTTCATCCGAGATGAATACATTACCTTGTTATTCAGAGTGTGCATCCTTACTGATATGTTGTTCATTTTCCAGACTCTTTTCCCTGGTAGGGACGACAACGTGGCACCTCCTGGAACCGTACCCGATGACAGCATCAATAAGAAGAATTTCTGGGAGATAGACCGACAAGACAGCTGGCTCTATCACTTGAAGGACCCTCCCACCCGATTCACTTACTTTGAGAACATGTCTCGCGCGATGGCCAGACGCTGCTCAGGGAAAATCTGGGTGTACTCCCTCAACCCGACGAACCTGGCTCATTATGGTACACAGCAACCGCCTCCCGACAACAACAATGCCCACAGCATCTGGAACACCGTCGAATACCGAGAACTGAAGGCTCAAAACAAATGGACACATCTCATCAGCATTGACGCCAGCACGGGCGATATGCACCTTCTCCGGATGTCAGATCAGTCCCGTATTGGCCCGTACACAGGATCGGTGCCACGTGCTCTCGAGTTTCTCAACTCTACTCTGGGCAAGAGAGATACTTGCACCCAGAATCTTCTCTACCAGGGCCCCGGAGATGATTGGTTTGGTACTGGACGTCGCAGTAGCACCCGATGAGCATGACTTTTCTTCGTGTCTGGCCCTTGGATAACTGGCCCACTCAGGACTTGTATCAATGATACAGCAACTAGTTTCATATGTCAGAATACAATAATATTCAGTGGTTGACTCAGTATGCTTCCAGCGACGAGCTTGACTTGAGTTCTTTTCGTGCAGAGTTTCCGCAAGCATTTACAATGTATGTTTCAAATAAAGAGGAGTATTTCGCATAAAACAATTAGTCTCGACGGATGTGTTAAACGGGTATTTAGATACCGAAGTAATTGTCAAGCTGAGGTATCGAATCGTAAGACGTAAGACGTGCCTTGCCACCTTCTGATTTACCCCTCTCACTCCCCGCTCTGACCTTTTTAACCAACACCAGGGAAAGTTCCATGAGAAGACCCCATTGATTCAATCCCATCTATCCGTGAGCTGCGATGCAGGAACCTCATTCGGAATGCTTCTATGGCAGTTGGGATGACCACAGAAATGGCCGCATATCTTTCGAGGTCCACCTAAGGAACAATCTACGCCATATCCTTGGTGGTACGCGTCATAATGAAGATGCTCACATCAACGACAAGGAGGTCATGTTCTGGTCAGAGAGAGACTTGACAAGTGCAGCAGTAATGGTGTGTATGTTGCACAGTGAGACCGAGGTATCTGAAGGTTTGTGTTCCTTCCATTATTCAGACGAGGCCTGATCTTGGGCTGACTGCGAAATGTATTGCTAGACTTGGAGGACAGACTGCTCCAAATGTTGCTGCGAAGCAGAACTGCAACTCTAGATCAATTGCGTATGATCGACCTTCCTCAAAGCTCTATACTATCGAACCCGCTATTAAACCAGGTCCTTGTGGCTACAGCACTCCAGGCGGGCAATCCCAGCTTAGTACGGGACTTAATTACTTCTGTACAGCCTGGACCAGGTCATGACCTGTTGTTCGGGGCAGACAAAGGCCTACAGACTCTCGGAGGATCAGCACATGACTTCAGCGGCCACAAGGCGTACGGTCATGGAGCCTTGGCCGGACAGCCTGACAACGGATGCGAAATATGGGTGACTATGATCCGCGCTGGCTGGGCGGTTCCGCGTCAATACATGCAAGGTTGGGCAGCTACCAGCGCCGCGGTTGACGCGGGAAAGCAGCTATTTGATGTACTGCTGGAGCACAATGTCGAGATCACCGGCTCGGCTGCCTTTGCCGCAGTCATGCACGGGAGATATGAGCTACTCGACTACGCGCTCAACATATGCACTCCTGCGGACGAGCTTACCCGCAACATGCTGTTGGAGCAAGCTGCTACGAGAGAGCTTCGCTACATCAAGTTGCTTTTTGAATATGGGGTGGATGATATCAACTGGATTCCAGGAGGTGCCGCGAGTATGCCACGATCGAGAGAAGATACCATCCCAAGCAGGACACTGTTGCATGCGGCCGCCGAGTATGGGGAACCAGAAGTGGTGGATTTCTTGCTTCGGCACGGCGCTGAGGTTAGACGGGATTATTTCGGCAGAACTCCCTTGGACCTTGCAAGAAATGCTGGTCGTGCTGAGGTAATGGAAATATTCACTCGACAAGCAGGGGGAAACTGAGACGGAGCGGTGGGACATTTCATCACTATCATGACTAAGGAAATTGAGCACGAAGGCTTCACAAGATGAATCAAGATGAATCATGCTCAGAGGTCATCTATCTAGTTAAATAACCCTCAGATCGAAGCCCAATCCTACTAGTCTTTTACCACTGGCTCAAGTCTGTTGTGGCGCCGCTGCAGTAGTTGGGAATGTTGGTCGGAACCCTGGTATGGACACACAGTACTCATAGTTGCGATACAACCCGGTACCTGGCAAGTGGTGTTGTCAGTGTCGGTAGCCCAAGTTCTCAAGCAAGATCTGTTTCACTTACAATTCTGCTTCACGGCCGGATTCCAGGCCACGAAGCGAGGATGCTCAATGCCGAATTTGCTCTCGATGATCTTGCAAGGACTGTCGGCCCCTGTAGTATTGACTAGTGTTAGAGTCGCCATCTCGTAAGAAAGCGCATCTTATTGTTGCAACTTACATCTCGAGTTATTTGCCACAGCAAATTTGTTGCAAGTTGACACAATACCTATCAGACTATGCGTTAATACCTCTCGTGTTATTTTAGAGTTCCCGACTCGACGTACCTGGCTGTCTGAATTTGTACACATTAACACAATACGAAAGGCCTGTAGAAATCAAGTGGTCAGCATATACCCGCTTGGCGCGATATTAGTTGTGAGTACAGACCAGTCTTGAACCCCTCGCAAGTCTGACCAACAACAGGGTTCCAGGTGGTGAACTGGGCCATCTCGAGGCCATGAGTAGCAATGAAGGCATCGCAACCCCGACCCGGGTAGGCAAATGCGAACTCGGCGCAAAACTCGTTGGTGTCAGGCACTGTGTCATTGCTAATTGAAACACAGTATTGCCTATCGCTCTTCAAGGTGCAGTCGGTCTTCAATGACGGGTTCCAGCTCAGAAAGTCATCAAGGGCAATATTGTAGCCGGCCGCCACCTCCTTGCAGTCAGAGGTGTATGTGTCGCTCGCCCAATCCTGCAGAATGGGCGGCTGTGCGTACAGAGAGCAGTCAAGCCGTGTGTCATCTGCATAAGGGGCAACCTCAATAGAGTTATTCCAGCCAATACGTGTGGGCTCTGGCAGAGATGTCATCTCCATCATACCCGGCATTGACGGGATTGACTCGAAAGTCGTTGTGACTGGAGGCGGTGGAGGATCCGGATTCACCCAATCGCCACCAGGGTTCGAGATGCAGATGACCTCCCCCACGACACTGTCAAAACTGGAGCAATCCACTGTCGAGAGCCTTGGTTAGCTACGCTTGTTTGTGCATTGAAACACATCGTATTCAGGAAACTCACTTCCGAGCTCTGGGTTCCAGGATATTAGCTGTGGCTTCGTGACGCCATTGGCGCTCCCAATAGTGCGGCATGTGTCGCCTTGCTTGACAGTATATGTCTTGCAGACGGATTTGTTCGGAATACAAAGAGTACCGCTCTGAGGGAAGCCATAGCAGTCCCCAGACAACCCGTTTGCCATCAGTAAGCTCCTCGTCGAAATTCCATTGCTGGTAGACACCTCCTGGCATGTCTGACCTGACAATGTCACTGTTTTACCGGCACAAGTCGGCTCAGGACCAGGTCCCGCTGTGCCACTATTTGAAGTCTCAGAATGATGTAATGTCGAAATAAATACAAGGAAACTCACGAAACATCCCAAGTAGTTTTGGCTGGACTTGGCATTGTCCATGCCGTCGAACCGCACTTGGACGTGGCCGCTTGGTATGCCAGACTCAGACGCGTCTCCTCTGCTCCCAGAGGCATGGCCAGCTGCGTGGATAGCACAGATAGAAAGCAGCTATTGCAAACTGCAGTTGAGCTTGGAGTGGCTGTTTGTGCCTGATTGGTCGGGTTGACTTCCATGACACTGCGCAGGACTGAGTTGCACAATTGCCCAGAGCTGAATGGAGTGAAGTCAGTCTTCTGTGTCTCAGAAGGAGGGCATCTCCAACTCACTTGTCTTTAAGACAGGTTGAACTATAAGCCTCGAGATACTCTTGCGCCCATTGAGCAACCCAGGTCAGTGTATCGGAGCTATTGCTCATTGAGACGCGGACGTTGGCGCACGCGCCGACCACACGACGATGCCATGCCGTGAGGCCGGAGGTGCAGGCAGTTGTACACAGGTTGGACAAGGACTCGTCAGTGTAGAAACGGGTCATACCCCCTCCAAGATCGCGAGTCCATATGAGCACTGGCGCGCAGTTTACAGTCTGTGTCAACACCGAGAAGCATGTCGACGGTATCGTTGGCCAGTCTGCCTGATTGAGATCCAGCAAACGAGTTTGATTCTGACTCTGCGCATTGATAACCTGCGCCAGTACGATGGTCGCCGCTGTTGCCAGCGAGGGCCACTGGGTGACTCTCATGTTGCCGACGTATTCAGTGATAGAAGAGTTGAGGGTATGTCAACAAGAAGCCAGTACATGGGGAGGCACTTCCCACTAATCTGTTCCTTATCCTAGAGCAGAGTCGATGTAAGAAGATCACTACCAGACGTCTGCTTCTGGCGATGAGGTAACGGGAGAACCCCTTTGCAGGAAAGCGCGTTTGACAAGGGGTTCAGAGTTGAGCCTACGATATCGGTACATCGCGAGCTGGATACGACGGCATGGTGATAAAATTCTCCCGCAGTCCACTCGCACACCCTCTCGATCGAATACGGAGCTAATCTCCGCCACATTGCGACAAAGATTTCGGTCATCGACATCAGATGATGATCACGACCCAGTGTTGACGATGTATTCACCCTCGACTTGTCGCGGTTGTATCGGTACTTGTATCATCCAGGCTGAGTCTAATTTCCTTTAGTGCTGACCCGGCCCAAGGGCGCAACGACTGGGGTGCTCGACCAGGAAGGTGTATTTGTGGTCGATGTGACAAGAGTGTAATTAAGGTGTGTTGTATTTCGTCTGACCGGTGGCGGCCTCGTGGTCTGTGGATTGCTTGGCGTAATGCAGGGGTACCAGCTTGAGCGCGGCTAGGAAGCCAACACAACTTTCGAGCGCTGATCGTGTAAAATTGCCGAGACTCTGACTTACATGGCCTGACCAACCACACTGCGCCCCTCTGATTCAGGCAAGAAGTACTCCTGATGTTTGATATCTGCAAAAAAGCGTTCAATGAACCGCAGCAGAACGCTCATCACGAACCATCAAATCTTGAGTCGCTGTGATCGCGACCGCCTGCTTCAACATGGCAAGGCTCAAGGCGATACTGATTCGTTTCCTGACGTTGGGTCCGGTCTTTACGAGCATCTTGGCTTCAGCTTCACTACCTTCGAATTCAAAGCATCTTGTTGACACCACTCCGGTGAACCGTCACCTTCAGCTTTCTCCTCGCCAGACTGCAGAGATTCGCTGCGACCCGGACACGCCGTGTTCCAATGGTGATTGCTGCAACGGCGAGACAGGATTTGTACAGCAGGACCTCATCTCACCTGGCGCCTTGATCTGTGCTAACAGTGAATTTAGTGTGGACGTCGACCAGAATACTGTGACAAGTCTGTCTGTACGTCCAACTGCGATGCAAAACCAGAATGCGGTATTCGAGCAGACAAATTTGACTGTCCTCTGAATGTGTGCTGCGGATTCTGGGGATCGTGCGGTACTGGAGAGGTGAGTCAGCTGTAGTTGATGAGAGTAACAAGCGATGGAAGAGCAGAGATGCTGATTTGAAATATGCCAGGACTTCTGCAATGAACGTTGCCAGGGAAACTGTGCAGCACCGCCTTCTACCGGTCACAGGTAATTAAATTGCCAACAGTCTCTCCAGCTTTACCAAGATAATGTTACTAATGCTCACGGTCTTCAAAGCCAAGGCGATGTTCGAGATCTGGTCATTGGGTAAGTTTGTTGTCACTATTCGCTGTGAGCAAACCCGGTGCGCAAGGTCACTGACTGCGGGATTAATAGTTATTATGAATCGTGGACTTTGGCGGAGGATGGTTGTAAGTCTTCCGGGGTTGAAAAGCAATCTGTCGATGAAGATCACCTCTCCGCTGACGATACGAAGGCCGAGTCATGCCTCTTTCAAATATCCCCGTCGATTCTTTGACGCATTTGAATGTGGCTTTCGGCTACATCAAGCCGAACTCCTTTGTGGTTCATCCCATGAAGCCAGCAGATGACAAAATCTTCTCTGACTTATCGAACCTGAAGACGAAAGCTCCAGGACTGCAAATCTGGGTGTCTTTGGGTGGCTGGACCTTCAGTGACAACGGCACAGAAACGCAACCTGTCTTTGCGGATCTCAGTAGCACTTCCGCCAAGAGGGCAAAATTCATTGATGAGCTGATCAAGTTCATGCGAAACTGGGGCTTTGATGGTGTTGATATCGACTGGGAGTAAGTCAGCCATAATCGTCGTCGTTTAACCCGAGACTTACATGGCTGCAGATACCCAGGTGCTCCTGATCGTGGTGGCAATGAGTGGGTTGACACCGAGAACTATGTTCGACTCCTTGCGGACTTGCGATCACGTTTTGATGCTGAACCAGAAGGCTGGGGCATATCCTTTGCTGCACCAACTTCATATTGGTATCTCCGCTGGTTTGATATCGAAAGCATGATGCCCTATGTCAATTGGGTCAACCTCATGTCGTACGACTTGCACGGTAAGGTTTTACTCATTTTGTTATCAGTATCGGAGGGTTGCATTGGAGCTGACCGATCTGGCTGCCTAGGGAGTTGGGATGACAAGGACAGCTACATTGGCAATTACGTGAATTCTCACACCAATCTCACCGAGATCCAAGACGCTCTCGAGCTGTTGTGGCGTAACAACGTGCAGGCAGGCCAAGTCAATCTCGGCATCGGCTTCTATGGGCGGAGCTTTCAGCTCGAAGATCCAAAGTGCAACAAGCCCGGGTGCAAGCAAAAGGGCCCTGCGAACGCAGGTCGTTGCACTGGCCAAGCCGGTGTCCTGTCATACGATGAAATCAACACTGTTGTCGACGTCTTCCATCTGAACACGGTTCATGACCAAGAGGCTGCGGTTAAATACTTGACATGGGCCAGTGAGTACAATTTCGGACTCTGTAAAAAAGTCTAATGCTTATGCTTCAACAGATGATCAATGGATCGCGTACGACGATTCTGAGACCCTGCAAGAAAAGGTCGCTTTTGCGAACAAGCAAGGGTTAGGCGGCTTGATGATCTGGGCTGTCGACCTCGATGACCGTAAACACACCGCCCTGGACGCTCTGCTGCAGCCAGACGGCCTAGGCAAATTTGCTAAGCGTAATGGCGTGAACTACGAACTCGGTGACTGGACCAGACAAGGCGCGCAATGCCGGCTTGGTTCCTGCTCCACGAAGCCGACATGCGACACGGGGTTCGTCAAGCACGGGCATGATCTAGAATGCCCGAAGAAAGGAGAACGACGCAACATTTGCTGTGATATTGCGCACAACCCGGACCCGAAAACTTGTGCCTGGCGCGACGGAGTCAATGCGTTCGACTTTCTGGGGCTCGGACCAGGGATCTTCTGTGGTGGCGCTGCTTGTGGCGACGGAGAGATCTTGATGGTTGAGAACGACAGGTTTTGGGTCGACAACCCTGACCATCCTGATCAGGGCGACGCAAGATGTCTTATTGGTGGCAAGGCAGTCTACTGCTGCAAGGGTGTAAGTCCCCCTGCCTCCTCTGCTCTGGCTCATTTGTGGTGTATATACCATTTGCTGATGAGGCTATGCTGCTTAGGTTGGTGATAAAAAGCTTGAGATGTGCTCTCCGCTCAAGGACAGCTGTGCTTACAAGGTGGACGTGCCATTCCTTGGAGATCCGAAATTCCCTGACACAAGTACAATGTGTGGCGACGGTATGTCATGCTATGACGTGGAAAAAGATTTCTAGCAGACTGACTTCCTCTAGGCAAATACTTTCTGGCCTATGCGCAAGGTACCTTCGCTGCCCTTGAATTTCTCGGTCGGTTCGCTAACATCCACGAACAGGCCCTTGCGAAATCTGGAACAACGAGTACCAGCCCATTTGCTGTCCCAATGAAACCCCGAAGGATGCTTGCTACGTACCCGGGCCTCATGGCAAGCACGAGGAGTGGTGTGAGTCAGTCAAGAGCTGCGGTACAGGGGAGATCCAAAGCGGAGACATCTTGTACTATCCAAACGCTCATGGCTGTGCGGGCTTCCATATGGATGTCGCCTTGATCACCACGCGACCTCTGTGCTGTCGTGCTGATAAGCTGGATGTTGTGAGTATTCCGAGCGCTTTGATGTAGCTTGGGCCTATGGAGCTGACAGCATCCATGTTAGAAAACCAAAGATCTTCCTGTGAAGCTCGAGTATGATTCCTCCCGTGTATCATTCCTAAAACAAGTTTTAGATTCTGACAAGGTCAACAGATACCTGTTCCCCAAGCTCGGACCAGAGAGTGACGAGGAGAAGTTCAACCTGCAAGTAGACACAGGTGACGGTGCAGATGGCGACGCGAATGACAATGCTTTCGGCTTTGTAATCATGTCGGGTAAGTCGCAAAAACACTACATCATGACCAATGCTTTGACTGATACGAAGATATCGTCGTTCAGGGCCCAAGAAAGACCTGATCAGCCTCGACAAGAGAGATGGGTCTCACTGGGAACTCCTTGGTTGCGAGAAACACGAGAAGCGCCAAACAGTCACGGCTATTTGTACCGAGACCGGGCCTGACAGCAACTGCGGCGACATCTTCCTTGGACAGGTTGCCGAGACCGTCGTCGAGATGCCACCACAGTGCGGCGCCGGCCGCTATGCTGTAGCCGTCAGCATGGAGGCGTCTCATAACCAGACATTGCCGCCGTACATCATCCGGAAGCTCAGGAGACGTGGAGAAAGTGCGCCTCTTAAGTATGACTTTACCTTTGACTACGACTTCTCGCCGATCCACAAGCGCGACAAATCGGATGTGCTTCTCCGAATTGACTACTCAAGCGAGCCGGGATACTGGGCCAACATTGTAGACAAGCCTGGAGAGCACAAGAGAAGCTTGAATGAACTGCACTCCATAGTGAAGCGGGATCATGGCGGTTCGGTAAGTACTCCTCTCAACATCTCCTGGCCTTGTGTGCTATTATCCTCGCTGCATGATATTTGTCTGACAATATTTCAGTGGCCTGACTTCTTGCACCATTCTTTCCGCAAAGAGAAGAGAGAGACACCAGAGCACGAGTGGGACCAGTTGCATAAGCGGTGGTTCTCCAGTGACCTCGGTAGATGGCTGGATGAGATGCGGGAGGTCGACGTCGAATACGAGGCTGTACGGCATCGGATTTATGTGAGCCTTCAGCAAGAAGTGTGTTGTATCTAAAGCGCAACTGACCTTTCTCTAGGAGAATTATCAGTGGAATCTGTTTGACGAGTCCATCCAATGCGTCAACTACAGGTTCGTACCTTAGCATGCCCGCGCCTTTTCGTCTCACTGACCCCAACACACCCTAGAGCTCGTATGCATGCATGGATAGACCTTGATATTGACGTCGAAGTGACTGCGACCATATCACTCATTGTAAGTGTCACTCGAGCCACACATGAATGAGACATCTTAGTGGAAGTGTACTGACATGTGTGTAGGGCGACTTGGCGGACCCCAAGACCTGGGAGCAGGTTGGCGCCTTGTTCCGTACAAAAGGCGGCGTGGTGACAAAGTTATATGTCGAAGCCAATGCCGAGCTGTTCTTCACAACTGGTCCCATAGAGCTTTTCGGAGCCCAGAACTTTGGGCTGACTTTTTCTGTACCCGGAATTGTCACAATCGGTCCTAATTTCCGCATTATCGGGGTAAGTTGGCTGAACATGGACAATGTGGGGGAAAGACACACTGACGTTGAAATGCAGCAAATCAATGGCAACGCCGCGTTACATCTGTAAGTCACGCTGATTAAGCCATTGAATAACTCAAAGCTGACGACAGCATGAATAGTGACGCATCGGTCAAATTTGATGTGGTCAATTGGGATTACACACAGAGATACCCGATCAAGAACAAGGGCACGCAAGTCAAGGATGCTACACTCGAAGACAAAAAGGCCGATCCCCCCAAGGTTGGAGCCAAAGACTCTGATGACGACAACGCGGGCCCAGTGTTCCATGCAGACGTTACTGCCAATGGTGCGATCACGGTCTCAGTGTAAGTTTTCTTGTCCAGTGCGGCGTGCGTACAGGAAGCGGAAACGAGTTAACACCATGTTCTACTTTTCAGCATTCCCAAAGTTGAGTTCGGCATCGTTTTCAATTATGAGGCTGTGCCTGATACTGTGGTAAGCTCTAGCACTAGGTGTGGAATCGCTACAGTAATGCTCACTCTTCTAGATCACCATGGCACTTGACAACAGAGCGACCCTGTACGGTGACGCTGGCATCGGTCTCCAACAAGCGGCATATCTGTGCTACGGTATCGAAGGACGCTCTACCTTGTATGCCGCTGTCGATGCACCGTAAGTAGCTATCCCATTTGAGATGAGTGCAGGACTCGGATATAATACTGACATTCCAAAGGTCTATCTTCGGGTATTCATTAAGCAACAGATGGGATATATTTGATAAGCCTGTAAGTTACTGTTTTCCAATCGTCGAGAGCTTGGAAAACTGATATTGATGTGCACTATAGTTTGATCTCATCAAGAGAACATGCCCCATCGGTCAATAGCCTCGACTTCGCTCTCCACAGGGCTTGACTGTGCGGGATTGTACAATGAGAGAGGTTAGAGGAAACATTGCTATTCCAGCACTATCGGTTCATTGTGCACTAGACTCAGATCCTTCCCATATGCTTAATCAAATAAACATTCACAAGGTCGACAGGATACAATAATCAATGACGACTTGCCTATGAAACTCCTAACAATCATACTGGGACTGTTAGGCAGAACGAAATGAGCTAGTTTAATGAGAGTACTGCTGGCTATGATTGAGGAGTCCTCTGAAAGAAATAGATAGAAGTTTGCCAAGTAGTAACAGGACGTACCCTAAAAGGCCAGCCAACTTGGGCTTCCGGCCTGCTCAGAGATCCAAGCACTTGTAGTTTAGCTGGCGGTACCAGGTCACCGTAATCCCCTCACTGAAACTCTTCTGTCCCCTATCAAAGCTCGGCGGCGTCTTCCCATTAACCGTGACACTAGGCCTGGCAACGGCGTCTCCGCCAACGGAGGACGTCCTTGCAACGACGTGACCAATGCCGCCAATGTCGAACTCGTACTTGAAGCCCGGGCTCTGCGGGACCCAATCCGCGTCTTCGCGGACCTCGCATTCGCCGCTGAGGCGCATGATCTTGCGATCGCCGGCGTTCAATTGTCTCTGTGAGTAATGGGAGATGATGACGCATTCGCCTTTGGAAGGGGGATATTCTCGGCAAAGGGCGGACCAGTCTTTGGCCAAGGCGGTGGTGATGAGGCCGGCTGCGGCGAGGACATTGGTGAAAGCGACCATGGTGCTTATAATTGCTAGATCTTTGACTTGAATGTGTGGTCTATGACGAAGAGCAAGAAAGGGTTGCAGTTGAGGGTTGATTAGTTGGAAGATGTAGGTGATTTGCACGCATATTTATACTTCGAAGGAAGACTAACTTCCATCGATGAGCGTGGGTTCCAAGCTTACATCAACGAGGAGACGTTCGGATATGTCTACAGACAAACCTCCTTCACGGCAGGGGGTTGCTTGAATCAGCTGCTCGGTGCCGTTGTTTTGCGTATTCCGTCAAGTAGTCACATCTGCTCCGGTTTTTCTTTGCCAATGGCCGTTGTGAATGTAGGGATTAATTACGCCTCCTGGTATTGTAGTTGATGCCAATGCACTTCCGGGATTATACGCAGGTGTATGACTACGATACGCTCCTTGGCGATGAGATTCCCCCACTTGATGGGCATTTAACGCAGGCGCCTGACCACAGTAAGCAGCTTCCCGACCACGCTCCTCCTCTTAATGGACGCATTACATATTTTCATAGCATTCAAGTATGAAGACTGCGGCAGTCTCCGGTGTAAAGCAACTGATTCGTTCAAGTGGGCGGTGCTAAGTATGGTGTGCTTCGTATGGGATTGCTCATGCAGGAGGTGGCCAAGTACTGCATTTTGTATTTTTGTTTCATGAGTAAACTTCATGATCATGTTCGCCAGTCCAGCCTAACGGGTCTTTGATCGTCAATTCACTTCATCACTGAAGGGTTTCCTGATTGTATTGCATCAAGATCAGAGAGTTGGGATGACCTTTACTGAGTTTGATCTAGCATACCGCATAAAAGTCCAAGCCCGGCATCATAGCTCATTAAGTTGTGAGTTCACGCGATCCAACAGTGTTGTATAAGTTCCCTAAAGGCGGGACGACTTGGCTGGAGCGGGCAATAACTGAATCTCAGACAGAAAGTTCAGTATAACCTTCGCTTCACTTCCTCTTATAAAAAAGCATTGTGTTATTGTTGAACTACAAGTGAATGTATCTGATAGCTTAAGGCATCTAGCCCGCTGACAATTTTGCAAGCTACCAGTGTGGCCGGAACCCACGATGTCTCGGCTCGGGGGTGTGGTGGATATAGCTGACTAACAGAAACATCATCAAGAATCCCAGAGTTAGCATAAATCTGTCCCTGCCAAGATGCGCAGTGGAGATGCGCACACCACTTCTGAATGCAAATTCGCCGAGTGAGTCAATTGACGGATGGATCCGTTGCGATCTGGAAATTGAGTGCTCAAGCCGGCTTCATAGGACGTGCTTTTGCTGGAACACGCACCGCCACCATCAACTCAACATCAAGACTCACACACACTCACACACACGCCTCAACTGGCCCCCCAAAATCAACCTAGACCAATCATTTACAATGGCAAGCGGAAACAACGACGAAGTGCGCGTCGAGCCCGTCACCTCGGCCGACGACTTCCCGGCCCTCTTCGCCTGCACGTGCGCCACCTTCGGGCGGCAGACCAACGACGGCGTCTGGCAGGCCAACAACCCGGGGTGGGACACGCCCGAGGGCGCGGCCGCCGGCGCGGCGCGCATGGCCGATCGCTGGCGCTCCGCGACGCGGGACAGCCAGGGCCGCCCCAACACCGTCTTCCTCAAGGCCGTCGCGGGCGCGGGCGCGGGCGCGGGCGCGGGCGGCGGCAGCAGCATCGCCGGCTTCGCCATCTTCGTGCAGCAGTCGGTCGTGCCGGGGTTCGGCGACGCGCCCGTCGAGGACCTGGCGCGGGCGGCGGACCTCGAGGCGCTGTACCCGGGCCGGCCGGACGAGCAGCGGTACCTGTGCCAGGCCGACTACTCGCTGCACCGGCGGCGCATCGAGGCCGTCAAGGCCAAGAGGGGCGGCGACCCGCCGGCGACGTTCGCGCTGGACATGTGCGTCGTCGACCCGGGCTTCCAGCGGAGGGGCATCGCGGCCAGGCTGGTGCAGTGGGGGCTGGACGAGGCGGAGAGGAGGGGCGGCCTCGAGTGCCTGACGGAGGCGTCGCCGATGGGCAGGACGGTCTACGCGAAGCTCGGGTTCAGGCAGGACGGCGGGGAGCTGGAGCACCTGGTCGACGACGAGTTCAAGGACCGGCGCTGGCCGTCAAATGTGTTTATGCGGACGGGGACTCAATCATAGAAGGGGTGGAAGATAGGTACCATGTTCCAATTGATCACCGGCCGGCCAATTGGCTCTGACTTGTTAGCTACACAACCTCCTCTGATAGAATACCTCTGGTCCCTAACATTCATCACGTCACATGTAATCAGTCACAGTTCTTTAAGCATCCTTTTCTGACCTCCCCTCCGCCTCTGAGAGCCGCATCGAGCCTGCGTTCAATCACGTGCGGCGCGCTGTATCGCCAGTAGCCCCGCCACCGGTATCGCATTCTGGCGCGCTTTGGTGGACTGGACCGCCGCCATCGGCCAATGAAGCCCGCCGTATCTACAAGTATCACCACAAAGCAAAGTCGCTAGACTAGCACGGTGGAGCAAAAACCATCTTTTGAGCCGCTTAATCGCGGCATTGTCTCGACAGCAAGTCCAAAGAGTGCAAGACGATTACACAGAGCAGAAGATAAAGAAGTGCGCAGGTAGTTGAAGTAGCTATCTAGACTCACGTCGCAAGAGTCAGCCATCACAGCTTCTTAACCCCCCTCCCCCGCGTCTCCGTCACGAAACCTACAGACAGAACCCCCATTCACCATGTCCGCACCCCAGCTCTCGTCCGCCAAGCTCTGCTTCGTCGGCGGCGGCAACATGGCCGCCGCCATCATCGGCGGCCTGCTGGCCAAGGACATCCCCAAGGCCAACATCTACGTCTCGGAGCCCTGGGAGGTCAACCGCAGCAAGATGGCCGCCCTCGGCGTCCGCACCAGCGAGTCCAACGTCGAGGCCTCGGCGCAGGCCGACCTCGTCGTCCTCGCCGTCAAGCCCCAGGTTGCCGAGACGGCCTGCCGCGAGCTCGCCGCCGCCTGGGCCGGCCGCGGCGCCCTGCCCCTCGTCATCTGCATCGCCGCCGGCATCCCCATCCGGAGCCTGCAGGCGTGGTCCGCGACGCCCGACGGCCGCACCCCGCACGTCGTGCGCGTCATGCCCAACACGCCCGCGCTCGTCGGCGAGGGCGCCTCGGGCCTCTACGCCGGCGCCGACGTGTCCGAGTCGGAGCGCAGGCTGGCGACCGAGCTGCTCGAGAGCGTGAGCAACGCCACCGAGTGGGTCAGCAAGGAGGAGCTGCTGGACGTCGTCACTGGCCTGTCAGGTAAGAAAGGGCGCCCCTTTCATAGACAGTGCAACTCGTTCTTGCTCGTGCGCGGACTCTATGCTGACCAAAGAATGTTACTAGGATCCGGCCCGGCCTACTTCTTCGCCATGGTCGAGCACCTCATCTCCAGCGCTACCGCCCTCGGCCTGCCCCAGGAGCAGGCCGCCCGCCTGGCCAAGCAGACCTGCCTGGGCGCGGGTAAGATGCTCGTCGAGTCGTCCGAGGACGCGGGCCAGCTGCGCAAGAACGTCACCAGCCCCAACGGCACCACGCACGCCGCGCTGGTGAGCTTCGAGAACTCTGGCTTCAAGGAGATTGTGGACAAGGCCGTCAAGGCCGCGACCGACCGTGCCCAGGAGCTGGGTAAGTCGGCTTAGGTAGATGCCCAGGAGGTAACATGACACAAAAAGGCGTTTTGTTTCTATGGGATTTGCGGTCATTCAGGCCCCCAGGAGCGGCTTTCGGGTTAGAGGCATAAAATGAGAGACTGGCGCAGGAGAATAGATTCATGCCGCACTGTTTAAACGTGTGCCAAATTCCTCGTGCATCTACTCCGTCACTTGAACGTCTCCCCCCTCCCGAGCATCTCCACAAACTGCGTGATCCGCTTCTGCCTCGTGTCGGCCTTCTTGGCCGTCTCGATCCGCCACAGGAACGAGTACCGCTGCGTCTTGCCCAGGCTCTCAAAGAATTCCGCCGCCGGCCCTGTCGCACCGTCCGCCGTCGCCGCCGCCGCCGCCGCCAGCGCCGCCGCAAAGTCCTCGGGCACCCGGATCGTGCTCGAGCCCGCGTACGCCCGCGCCCAGCGCCCGTCCGCCCTGGCGGCCTCGACCTCGGCCCGTCCGGGTCCGCGCATGCGGCCCGCGGCCTCGAGGGCGGCGACCTTGTCCACGTTGCGCTGGGACCAGACGCTGCCCTTCCGGCGCGGCGTGAAGCGCTGCAGGAAGTGCGACGCCGAGTGGCCGCGGCGCTGGCCGTCGATCCAGCCGTAGCACAGTGCCGCGTCGATGGCCTCCTCGTAGGTCACGGTCGGCGCCCTGGCCGCGACGGACTTCTTGGCGATCTGCAGCCAGATCCCAAGGGGCGCCGCCGCGTGGTTGGCGTCGAGCCAGGACTGCCATGCCGCGGCGGAGGGGAATGTGTGGATGGGCAGCGAGGAGGAGGAAGAGGAGGAGATGGACGCGGAGCCCGTGATAGAAGGTGATGGGGACGGTTTGGCCTTTTGGGCTGAGAGGGCTTTGGTGGTGGTGCCCTTGCGTCTACTTGCGGGCTTGGTCGCAGAGGTGGGAGTGTCGGCGGGGGACGCGGTATCGGACGCTGGGCTCGGGATGGTTCCGGCTCGCGAGAGCGACTTTTGGAGCCTACTACTCCTTCTGAGCATCTTTGATGTATGGAGCGGGAAAACGGATGGAGGTAAAGAAAAATGAATGCACGATCAGTTTGGTGGGCTTGATTTCGACACCGAATCCAACTCTACAGAGTGTCGCGACGTCAATTCAAGGGATGTTGGCTGTGAAGTTGGAGATCCAGCACTCAGCGGCCGATTGGGGTTGGCATTGGAGCGCTGTTGCCTGGAATCCGGTCTGACTTTCAGGGTCAAAGCTCCCTAAGACCCGCTGGCATTGGCCCCTAGCCCCGTCTTACACAAGGTACCATCAATGATGTAGTCCTTGTGAGAATGACCTCGACAGCCCATGTGAGGCCTGCGACAGTGTCGGACACGATAGGTCTCATCATGATGATGTTTTATTTTTGATCACTAGGGCCTGGTCAGGAGAAGCAGGGAAGTTCTCGCGCCAGCTTGTCTTCTGGGGACACGAGCTATTTTTGATTGTTGAAAAGAGCTAAGACCTGCAATGACTGCAATGACGACTTCTCCATCCTGGGACTCACATTCGTTATCACAGTGAAGACCGTATCCTCCGAGAGCTCTGCGCGCGCTCGCATTGTCATGTCGGCGGCTCTTGATGGCATTCCCGTCTACACTAACATGACATGTGTCGAAGGTGTGGGCGGGATTTACTGGCCGGTACCTCGAGAGTCCCCAGGGCTTAATGCAGGACGGACTCACGCTTGGAGCGAATTCTGTACAATCGCCTAGTAGGAAAACCATTTCCAGCCAGAGTAACCTCAAGGCAATAATAGTCACGACTAGAGCCTCGACCTCAATTTGCGGGGTAATGGTTTGCTATGGGCAAGGGATTTATATGGTAGTGTCGAAATTGGCTACGAAGGTGCAGATTGACAGGATTCTGGTTTCCGTTGCGGACCTAGGGACAAACAGATCCAATATCGCAAGTACTTGTGTCGACATATGTTGGGTGGATTAGCAAAGCATCTGGATTTGGAGTGTGTAACCTTCAGGACCATTCAGAACTCATCGAGATCAATACGCGACCAAGCCAACGGATGACGTGCGCGTCTTGATTTCATGTACTTTTGCAGAGAACTGAGGTCCTGGTCCCGTTTCCGCCTCCCGCTCCCTATCTACAACCCAAAAGCAAGCCTCGGCCTGAGGAGCATCTATTCCTTGCACTCCCTTGCATGACAATGGAGGTGGAACAAGGAGGAGGCAGCAAGCCTAAGAGTGACGATAAGGCCAGCCGGCGTGTATCCAACATGACTGCGTGGCAGGTCGAGAAGAAGAGAGCCATCGATCGAGTCAACCAGCGGCACTGCAGGGACAAACAAAGAGCGCGGCTCGATAAACTGGAGAAGCAGGTTGCTGAACTATCGCAGAAGCTCGCCGAGGCGAACGAGAAGCTGAGCAGATACGAGTCACAGCTTCCTGTCACTCCTCCAAGTTCCTCTGCCGTGCTTACATCTCCTGGAAGGAAAGAGGCTCAAAACCAAGCAATTCCTCTTCTGAATTCTCTCACCACGTTGTCCGACAATCACATCACCGAGGCTGCGTCATCTCTTATGTTGGATCCCCGGTTCCACACCCTACCTCTGGCCTTCGACCTCGGTATGGCAGTAGATATGATGGACTATGGCGAGGAATTTCGCTTTCTTGGCTTTGGCCTGAGCGATGAGCTCCGCCCTCTCATATTAGAAGACGTCATGGGAACCCCTACTGCGGACAAAAACACAGACAACCCTCCCGGGAAAGCTCCTTCCCCGGAGGGAGACAAGCGGGACGACGGAGACTGGAAGCAAGTACCGCCGCATACGGAACCAATGTGCGACCTGGATAGACTCGTCCACGGCGTGCTCGCTGCCTCCCAGCCAATGGCAGAACACGGCAACGAGCTCAACGAAGCGACGTTTCCCAGCATCTCATCCCTGCTCAACCCATCCGGAGAGGCGGACAAGTCACGCCCGCTGTCGAAACTCGTCGCGGCTCAGGTTTGGAAGTCATCTGTTCAAGGTGTGACGGAGAGGATAGCATACTTGTATGTCCTGGCGCAACTCTTGCGTTGGTACCTCCGCCGTGACAAGCAGAGCTACGACCACGTCCCAGACTTCATGAAGCCGACCCGTCTTCAACGTACTGTCCGGCATCCGGCGTGGATAGACTTGGTGATGTGGTAAGGATCTCGGCGGGACTTTCGATCAAAATCCTTTTGCTGACTGCACAGCAGGCCTGCTGTTCGAGACCTTGTCATTCAACACATGGACTGGAACGACTTTCCAAGCTTCCGGAAGCTTACAGGTGGCACTCTCTCCGTCAGGTGGCCATATACGGACTCTGGTGCGATATTGGAGTCTGCTGATGGGCGACATCTTACGCTCAATCCTATATTCAAGGCCCATATCCGCAATGAGAAGAATTGGACAGTCGGTCCCGAGGTGCAGAAGAAGTACCCTTGGCTTCAGCCATTCTGTCGATCGGGGTCAGACTATTGAGCGGGAATACATCATTCACTTTGGAAGTGATTTGTAGGTGTAGTCGTACAGCAAAACATCGAAAATATGTACTTTATTTCTCCTGATCGATGAGGTAACTCTGGGTGTATGCTTCAGAGGGTTCAAGTCAACCGGAAAATGTACCAATGCTTTATGGAATAGTCATTCCAGAAATCATTGTGCGTCCTTGAAAGAATGCTCATGTGCCTCTCCCGCGTGAAGATCGACTTTTTCTATCCCAAAGATTCGGAAGTACTCGTCACTGATGGGCACCTGTTTGGCTCCAGCGGGCCTGGTAAAGTTCCTCGCCCTCTCGGCCACAATTGTATTCTTCTCTTGCCACTCCATTAAGACCTCGATGTTGGAGCACTTCTTGTTCACGTTGAAGTCGGCAAACGGCAGGTCCTGCGTCTCCTTCCAATTGAAGGTGATCACGTCAAGGTTCGCGCCGCACACGAGGTTCTCGCGGATCAGCTCTGTGCAGTGGGTGACGTGGATCCAGTGCAGGTCGGAATACGGCCGCTTCGCCGTCACGCCGTCGCGGTCAAACTCGCCCCAGGCGATGTGCCGCAGCAGGTTCAGGCAGTGCAGCTGGTGGAAGATGTCGAGCTGGGCGACGTATGCGTCGTCGCCGAGGCCGTACTCGGGTGGGAACTTGACGGCCAGCTCGGGGTCCTTGCCGATGCCCCTGACGTCGTTGGCCGTGATGGGAAACGTGCGGATCCACTCTAGCTCTTGCCAGGCTCTGTCGACGTCTTCTGTGGGCGAGAGACCGTTGCGGTAGATCGAAGGATTCGCCGTTTCGAAGAGACTGCCGTCGAACAACTTATCGACCTTGACAAGCTTCTTCTCGAGGTCACTTCCCCAGAGCGGCGCTATCATGACTAGTCAGTCTCAGTAAAGGTGGAAGCGTGAAGACCAGTTCCATACAGTAGTGAGACGTTTGCCTCAGCCAGTTATTATCTGACGAAGCCTCTCCGAATTGCCTCTCGGCAACTATGGCGGCCAAAGTAATGATGAGAAGGGCATTGAAAAGTACAGACAGCCCAAAAAGCTTTGTCTGAGAGTCTCGCCTTGCAGATCGGGTGACACCATGCCCATCATTTTGGAGCAATGTTTCCTCAGACTCACTAATCTGTTCGTACTTCATGGTTATCAAGATGGTGAACTGTGTCTATGAAGTTTTCTGTCATGAGCAGAAACTGTAGAAAGGTGAAGTGTGAATATGCAGGTAGGTTATCAAGCATGTGTAGATGGAATCACATCCCTCTGTTCCTCACGAGCCACCTCGCTGACAAAAAGGACTTTGTGTGTCTGCTCTTAACTCCATGAGGTCTGGTGTCCGACGCACTCCATGTCGGAATGTTTCTCGGAGAATGCGAGCGAAAGAGGCAGGTAACATGTATCAGGCTGACGCTGACATGAGCATGAGCGGCCGATCTGGTTGCGGCATTGTGATAGCAGAAGTCTATTCGATCACAACCGAATATCTCTATAGGCTGCATATACCACATTACACGGCATCGCCATCCCACAAGACCAGAACTTTATCAGTTCCGGGAAGGTGCAAAGCATGCGCCTCCTCTTTCTGGTGTGATCTGCGAGTTCGTGAAACAGTGGGTTTGTGCGGTGTCTATTTGCCTCCAAGGTTCACCAACCAGGCGTGCAGTGAGGATCGAGAGAAACTGGATCTGCCTGCACCATGATTTAGCCAGAGGAATCAAGGTCACAAATGACACGCCGAATCGCTCCTAAAAGGGAAGGTTGTAGTATAGTAGATAAGCTTCGGTGTGTAAGAATTTGGCGCGGCTCGTAGACGCTTCTCCACGTCGTTTTCATTCTTATTGAGACGTTCACGCCTCTTGCGACATTGGCGTTATGTGAAATCCAGGCCTTTTTGTTTTGAACTCTTAACGGGCAGAAACCGACTATGCATTTCTCCAACATTGTTCTCGTAGCACTGGGCGCGGCTGGCTTTGCCGCTGCTGCTCCGGTTGCAGCTCGTGAGTCTACACGGATCTGGACATCTCATCTATGGAAATCGTATTAGCTGACCTGGCTGACAGCCGAGGCCGGTGCACTGCCTCAGGTATATGGGGACCATAAACTCAAGATGAAGGAAGACGACTTCAAGAAGGCCAAACGCGACGCTGATGCGGCCCTGCCACAAGTCTATGGGGCTCATCAACTCAAAATGAAGGAGGATGACTTCAAAAAGACCAAGAGGGAGCCTGATACCGAGCTTCCCCAAGTCTATGGAGCTCATCAGCTCAAGATGAAGGAAGATGATTTCAAGAAGGCCAAGCGGGATTCGGAGAGCGCCCTGCCCCAAGTGTATGGGGCTCACCTTCTCAAGATGAAGGAGGATGACTTTTAGGTGAAGTCAGAAAGAGCCCAACTTCGGAGAAGGATACGCCGATATGGATATAAGATTGACGTAGCGAATCCAATTCAAGTTGATTATCCTCGGCACCATATATACAGTACTTGGGGGTCAAAGTCAATGAATGGACTCGAATCTCTGTACAACTCTGCAAAGACCTGACATCACGGGTGTGTTGGTTGTTGCTCCGGGTCAAACAACCACTCCCAGTCATGAGGCCCACAAAAGGAGAACAGAGCAGGCTGTGCCTCTCCGACACCTGGCGTCATCGCAGCTTTGAAGGCTGTCTCTGGATGGAAGCTTGTCGATGCTGGGCTCTCCCATTCACTAAGCGCATACCCCAAGTTGGCAGCAGGGGAGCTATTATCGTGATTACTCTGTTGTTGACTTTGTTCGGTCGTAGTAGGCCCTTTCGTCGCGACATCGGGGCCTATCTTATGGGATGATGACGCATCGCCCAACGCAGAAGAGTCTGTCTCTCCACGCGCCTGAGCCGCGCCTAGAGCGGGCTCCTCGGGCGGCTCTTGCGTCTCATCACTATCGTCTTCGCCGCCCTGATCTGAAAAGTCGGCTTGGCGGAGGAGACTATGGATAGCCAGTCGCTGGCGCGCGCGGGCAGCAGCAGACAACCGTGCTGTGTGCGAGTCTTGATGATCCATCTGCTCTGGAGTAAAAGGCGATGCCGTCTCCGGAGACGTTGATGTCCCATACGTGAGCACCTGCGTTACTTGCGCTGGAGACTGCGCTTGCAGCATCTGCGACTGGCGCTCCTGAGACGAGAACACCCTGAGCGACGTTTCCAACTCTTGTATGATTGGTGCGGCCAACGGCGAAGTGGGAAAGAAGCGCTTCAACGCTGCCAGGCACAGTTCAGCCCTCGAGGCCGCAAACTCGCCGCTTGGCCTGGCCGGAGAGGTGCCGAACCTCGAGATGAAGAGTATTAGCCTTGTGGCATGATATACGCAGATTGCAGTGTCGAACTCGAGTAGCGGCCGGCGCATGCACTCTTGGTTGAGTCTTGTGATGATGTTAATGACGCGAGTGGCATGATGGACACATTGCTTCTCGGCATCGGCGATTGCGCCAGGGTCGGTGGCTTGGATCACAATGCCAGGCGCGGCTTCTGGGTAGCCTGGGAGCAGAGTCCTGTAGAGATCACAGTGTGCTTGATGCCAGGAGACATGGGCAAGGATATGCCGGGGTAGCCAGCGATCCGCAGCAGGGTCTAGTCCCGCATCGTCTCCAGGGAGCGGAGCAGGAGCCCCGATGCTGTCGAGAGTGTGTTGGTGATGCTGCAGCAACTCAACCAACGAAGGGAGCGGCTCATCAAGGGGAGCGACACTTCGGGCCAGTTTCATAATGTCACGACGGACGACTTCGAGGCGCATTATCAAGCCGTACGCCCCACCCTCGACTGGCTGGTTGCCTCTTGCTTTGGATTCCTCCTGCTCACGGGCTTCGGCTTCTTGGGTCTTCTCGTCACGAATGTGCCGTAGGGCCGTAAAGTCTTCCTCGCTGCACGGGTAGTCAATGTAGATGACCTCTATCGGCAAAGGATCGAACTCGGCGAGGCCCACCGAGAAGTAGCGCTCGACAATTTTCAAAGACCATAGAATGCGGCGGCGAACTTCACGCCCAATGAAGTCGAGGTCAGTGCGCTCGTGGTTCAACCTCATGGCTGCTGCAAAGCGGGATGCCGTGGCGGTCAGCATGAATGCGCGCTGGAAGCGACTTGTTTCCATGTGGTATTGAATGACGAGCAATAGAGCCTGGAGTCGTGGGATGGTTGGTGACTCTAGGTTCATCCAGAGACTCTGCTCAGCTGTTTGAATCCACGACGAAGTTGTCTGACGGCGAACACGGACACCATTGATACTTCCCAGATACAAAGCAGCGACGGCACAGATGGCGGATGTTAAAGCGCGATGCGACATGCCACTCTTGCCTCGTCTCTTGGTGATTTGCGGATGGAGGAAAGTGTAGGATGGCAAAGGATATATCAGCTCGAAGAACGCGTCAACAAGTGGTGCGCGCAAGTCATTCAGGAGATCTGAGTGACTCCAGACGCTGTCTCGAGCTTCCTGAGAACCCGTCTGCGAAGCAGCTATGCTGCTCGACAATTCAAGTGGCGTTGTGTCGGAGGGGCGATGACCGGATACAGAGATCAAGGTTTCTACTTCTGATCTGTCCACTGCTGGTGATTCTTCGCCGACTTGGATGGTGGAACTTGAACCCATGTCCTGGTTCGGAGTGTTGCCGAGGTCATCGACCGGGTCTGCAGCATTATCTTCGCCTCCTTCTCCGGCTTGATCATTAGTCGCCCTTCTGGACTTCGGGTAAACGCACGCTTGCCCCTTCCGCCGGCAGCCAGAGCAGGCTGGAAGAGTTGCGGAGCATTTCGTCTTCTTCTGACGACAGGCGACGCAGGCCCGACTGGCCCTCAGTCGTCGCGGCTTGCTCAGTATCAAGGGCAGCAAGTTGTCGCTGTCTGTCGACTGTGGAATCGGCCCGCCGCCAGAGTCTGCCACTGCCGTGGCGGCAGCAAAGTCGTCCGCTGTCGCGTAGACGGGCGGGTTGCACGGCAGTCCGAGCCGCTTACAGTTGGAGCATGTGCCCGGCCGTCGATCACAGCGCACTTTGCGCCACCGGCATTGCGAGCACGCAAGGGCGCTGGTGGCATGGGCTTTGGAGCGGAAGCAGCTGGTACGAGACTCCATCGTCGCAATCTTGAGCTCGGCGTATCTCACCTGGACATCGCGGCATTGGGCTGGCTCTTCAATTGAGAGGTCATCATCGTGTGGTCACAATCGACACTAAGCGTTATGTGAATGACTTTCGTATTTGTGTTGGTGACCGCGTAACGGTGAGGAGAGCAAACAGAGAGAGGGCCAAAGGAGGACAACCACGGAGCGACGAAGCGACTTTGTTTAAGAGGTCTTTCCGACCTGAAAATTTGGGGTAGTGGTCATTGCTCCATGGGGAGTCTGTCGCCGACCCATAATTCATCCCTTCTAGCACACTAATTAGACCAGACTTGGCATGACCTCGAATGGAGGTGGAGGGCCAAGCCGGGGAGAATAACGTACTTGTACAAGAATGGGAGGGAAAACAAGCTGACCAGGATTCTCCAACTTCTCCATACTGGGTTTGAAGACATGTGCCATGCATGATGAGATGCGTGCTGAAAGACAATGTCAGGTTCAGCATTCAAGGAGCCATGGTAGATGCACCGGGCCACTTGTGATGATTAACATGATGCTCAGCGTATCGGAACTACGCAGAATATAGCTGAGGCGAGGACAACGGGCCACTGACGACCCCATCTTGCAGTAAAAGGGTCAGATGAAGAATCAGAGATGGAAAAAGGGTTGAGGGCGTTCAACTTTCAGCCCAATGTCCTATATGAATCAAGTTCAGTGTTTGAGATGGGACCTCCGGCGTGAAGAAGACTTGTCAAATCCGATGCAGCCATGGTCTTTGAATGTGTACATATTCAAGCCCTCTCTGAAACCTTTTGAAAGTAGGTTACTCCCAACCTCCCCGTGCCATCGGCGCACAACGTGAACCATTCGCGATCCGGACACCCCAATGAATGACTGTGGGGATTGGGCTAGAACGTTTTAGGATATCCGAGGCCGAGTGCCGCTGTCGCACCGCGGGAATGGGCCGGCCAGCTCCGCAACGGATCTGAGTAGGACACGATCTTTACGAAAACATGGCGGTTCTGAGGGATCCAGAATAAAGAATCAATACCCTCGTGGGGGTCCTCTTCCCGTGGGCACAAAGCTCCGACTCTCGATGAGGCCGACATCCGGGGCGCTCGACCCTTACATCTAATCCTGGACTCCCTGAATCATACAATCAAGCGTGTCTTCAATTTCTTGACCCTACACAAGGATCCATGATCGCAGTCCTTTCCTTTCGTTCAGACGAAAAATTCCTCATCCCAGTCGGGCGATGAACATGACAGACACGATGTCGTCCAAACGACCCAACATCTTGTTCATCATGGCAGATGACCATGCATCCAAGGCCATCAGTGCCTACGGAGCAGGGATCAATCACACGCCGCACATCGATAGGTTGGCTACGGAGGGCATGAAGTTCAACCACTGCTACGTTACAAACTCCATCTGCACGCCGTCACGAGCTGCTATCCTGACCGGCACCCACAATCACGTCAATGGCGTCATGACTCTGGACAACAAGATCAACAAGCACATGCCCAATGTAGCCAAACATCTCCGGGCCGGGGGCTATCGGACAGCTATGGTTGGCAAGTGGCACCTGGGAGAAGGGTATGACCACGAGCCGACGGGCTTCGACTATTGGTCGGTGCTGCCCGGACAGGGAGACTACTGGGATCCCGAGTTCATCGAGATGAACCGGGACAAGCCCGACGCACCCGGCGTCGAGGTCGAGGAGCATGGATACGTCACGGACATTATCACAGACAAGTCCCTGAACTGGCTCACCGAGACCAAGGACTCTGGCAAGCCGTTCTTCCTCATGTGCCATCACAAGGCACCCCATCGGTCCTGGGAGTGCGACGAGAAGCACAAGAGCCTGTACGCGGACAAGCCCATCAAGGTACCCGAGACGTATAACGACGACTACAGGAACCGGGCTAAGGCGGCCCGTGTCGCCAAGATGCGGGTGGCTGAGGATCTCACCTACCAAGATCTCGGCCTGGTCCAGCCCGACGGCGGCAACCGGGTCGGCACGCGCGTCAAGCAAGAGTCTGGCTCTGCCCAGCGAAAGGTGCCCACGGATCCGAGTATCAAGCTCATCGACAAGGACGACGGCACAGTTTTCACATTCAAAGATGCGGCGGAGCTATCGGCTTTCAAGTTCCAGCGCTACATGCAGCGGTACCTCCGAGTGATCCAGTCCGTCGACGACAACGTGGGTCGGATTCTGGAGTACCTGGATCAGAATGGGCTGGCTGAGAACACGCTCGTTATCTATACCTCGGACCAAGGCTTCTTCCTGGGAGAACACGGCTGGTTTGATAAGCGCTTCATGTATGAGGAGTCGTTCCAGATGCCCTTCCTCGTCCGCTTCCCCGCCGAGATCCAGCCCGCCAGTGTATGCGACGACATCATCTGCAATGTCGATTTCGCACCGCTGTTTCTAGATCTGGCCGGCCAGAAGGTGCCCAACTACATGCAGGGTCTTTCCTTCCGATCACTGCTCCAGGGCAAGACACCAGAGGACTGGCAGCAAGTTGCCTACCACCGCTATTGGATGCACAACGATGTCATCCATCAGGCTTACGCGCACTACGGCGTCCGCGACCGCCGGTACAAGCTCATCTACTGGTACAACGAGGCCCTCGGGGTCTTGGGCGCGCGGCCCGGAAAGGCCGAGAACACGGAGGAGGAAGAGGAGAAGGAGTGGGAGCTGTTTGACTGCGAGCAGGACCCCCTGGAGCTTTTCAACATCTACAACGACCCGAAGCATGCGGAGGTCGTGAAGCACATGACGAAACTGCTCGAGAGCAAGATGGAGGAGATTGGCGACGACCCTGTCCACCTGCGTCTCACAGGCCGCAGCAAGGCGATCCCCGAGGGTGTAAAGTACAGCGAGCAGAATGGCACGCGGCCGGAGGCGGCCATGACCAATGGTAGCAACGGCACTCATTAGGAGGCCTCAGCGGAGTGACAAAACACAGAGAGATAGATGTTATTTGAACAAAGCAGGGTCTAAAGATATCGTGTTTAGTCTTTGGCAAGAAGCAGTACCATGTCAGATGAATGAATTGACGGAGTCTGTAATCAGGGCTGAAAAGGGCGCAGCACTTAACCCTGAATGCATCACCGTAGTGGATACCACAGCCCAGACTTGCTCTGCCTTATTGGCCAGTTCGGGTTATCCCTGCTCAGATTCCACTTTGTCTGCTTAGCCTTTGAGCCTCTTGAAGCTCGAACTTCGTCAGCCAACTCTGACCTAATTCTTTCCTCCATCTGCACCACTAGACCTGGGCATCTGCTTCTCTCTTGTGCATCTTTGTACAGTGCGCCAGCCCTACAAGAGCCCAAGTAGATCAATAGCCCCGGAGTTCCCGAAATAGGATGGCCCGAAAGGGAAGCAGGAAGGTCAAAACAGGCTGCATTACCTGCAAGTGGGTTCCAGGCCCCCAGTTCCAGATTCCAGATCTTTCCAAGCGACTGACGAGTTGTCTCAGAATCCGAAAGATCAAATGTGACGAATCCCGTCCTGCTTGCGTCAAATGCACAAGTACCGGGAGGGCGTGCGACGGATACGCGCCAGCCTGCGCAGCCCAGACCATCGTTGCCCCCTGGAATGTGATTTCCGTTACTCCATCCTTGCATGTCAGGGACAGTGAGGCAAGGCCACTCGAGTACTTTCATCGTGTCGTCGCCCCCGCTATCTCCGGACACTTGGACGCAGACTTCTGGACCAAGCTGGTATGGCAGGCTGGGGCAGACGTCGCTGCTGTTCGGCATGCGACAATAGCGATCAGCTCCCTGTACGAAGGCTTTGGACTGCACACGTCTGAGCGGGAGCACATAGCCCTACAGCACTACAATCGCTCTATCTCTCTTTCGATTTCTAGCACGGACCAACAAGAGATTCTTCTCGCCTGCATTCTCTTTGTCTGCATCGAGTGTCTACGGGGAGACGCGACAAGAGCTATCGAGCATTGCCGCCATGGTATCTCCATATTGAATAGGCTTGTTGAGGGCAGCAATTTCACACCCTGGATCGAAGACATTCGAGCCGTCTTCTCTCGTCTAAGCTTCATTCCTCTGTTTTGGGGATCCACGCCTGATACTTTTCCCTTGATGGCAGAGTTTCATGATTTCTCTGCCCTGGGCCAAACAAGGCTCAGCCAGGCCGAACTCCAGCGATACCTTGACACCCTCATCAGCCGATCAATGCGAGTGGTCAGGAGAGGAGATGAGTATCGCCTCGGGGTCAACGGTAGATCAAGCCTTCCATGTGGCCTTGTCAGGGAGCAGAACCAGCTACAGGAGGCCCTGCAGCACTGGGAGAGAGCTTTCCTCAACCTTAGATCAGCGGCGCCGCTCTCGCCACAAACTCGCCTCGTTTTCGCCACTCTCGAGGTCAAACTCATCATCGCTAGAATATGGGTCCGTAATGCATTTGAGAATGATGAGGGTTCGTACGACTCGAGCATTGAAGAGTTTCAAAGGGTCGTTGCTATTGCCTCACAGGTTTGCCGTCTCAAGGCTGTAGAGGTAGTCGTGCCAAAGTTCAAGTTCGACATGGGGTTCATGCCTCTGCTGTACTTCGTTGCGATCAAGTGCAGGGAGGTACGGACTCGCCTAGAGGCCGTGAAACTGATGAGATCATTGGCCATAAGCCGCGAGAATCTTTGGGATTTCAATGTGATGGAAGCAATTTCGCGGCGCGTGATCGAGCTGGAACATGGGCTTTCTTTCGGCGAGCTTACTGCTCAGGTTTCTTCCGGAGACGCAGAAAGCTCTCCACGACCCCCTAGTCCGTCTCGTGTCATAGATTCGCTGATAGAATCTCCACAGAAGGGAAGCACAATGTCGCCAGGAGAGGTTGTTACATTTTTCTTCCCTGGAGAAGGCGGACATGTCAGGGTCGTACGGAAATGGATATCAATGTGAACAAGTTTGCAAGATGTGGTACCGCCAGCTAAGGGAACGAAAGAAACTATGCGTGATAGACTCACATTTTGTCTGCATATCTCTAAGTACGCCTCGTCAAACCGCACTCGAGCGATGCCATTGGGTCATTCGGTTTATGTGACGGAAGAGGTAAGCTGCCAGGGGTACTGCGCCACTCCCCGAGCCAGTGGGCTTAGCTGTATGGGTCCTTGAAGGATGGGTGCGAGATTCCAGGCGGTTGGAGCCGCAGTGTCTAGACCCTGTGTGAATGAAAAGGCTTTACCAATTAGACGACCCTTGGAAATCCACTGATATGTTTAAATAGTGAGGGTTGGCAACATGTTGCTGTTCAAAAGCCTACATCCATTCACTTAGCTATCAAGCAAGATGCAACTCTCTACTCTTGTTCTCCTTGTCACTTCCGTGATCTCTGCACTGGCAGCACCGGCCCCCACACCAACTACTACTACCAGCTTCTTGAGACCACGGGAGGAGCAAGCGACTCCCACCCCCGCTGGATCAATCACCTCTACCAACATCAACTCCATCTCCACGAAGCTCATCATCATCACCGGAGTGACCGAATCGTATGTCACAATCCCCGAGAAAACTATCACCCTCGACATCCCGACTTGCGTACAAACCACCATCCCGGACAAGAATGGCCACGTTCCAGCCGGCTCCTGTGGCTCCATCTGGAACTACTATCCAAGCTTCGAGGCGGCCACTGTGTTTGCTGTGCTGTTCGCCCTTCTTACTGCTGTGCATATCTGGCAGGCGGCATACTACAAAAAGGTCAGTCCTGATGTGACGCCTCTGTGACACGCATTACGGTGGCTGACCACTTGAGAGAAGTCGTTCTGCTGGGTGATCATCATGGCAGGTATCTGGGAGACTGCGGCTTTCACCTTCAGGTCACTGAGCACCCGCAATCAGCAAAGCCAGGGAATATATCTTGTCTATCAGATCTTCATTCTGTTGGCACCCTTGTGTAGGCCACCTTACCCAGAGAGTTTCTGTTGTTTGCTGATGGGTGTGTTGCCAGGGGTGAATGCGTTCGACTACATGGTATTGGGCAGGATGATCTACTACTACATCCCGTCCCGGTCCCTCCTCGGGATGCCTGAACCGATCATTGCTGCGCTATTCGTCCTTTTGGACATTGTGTCGTTCGTCGTACAGCTTGTGGGCGGTAGTATGGCCGGCCCCTCGGCCCCTCCCCAAGACCAACTACGAGCTATTCACGTCTACATGGGCGGTATCGGCATGCAACAAGGGTTCATTGTTCTCTTTCTTTTTCTAGCAATCAGGTTCCATGTCGTCATGGGCAGAGCCCAGTCGAAGGCGGCGACTCCCAATGGCTGGAGACCTCTGGTGTTGGTGCTGTATGCATCCCTGGCTTTTATTACGGTATGGTTCTCTATTTGGTAGACACTGGCGCCTATTGGGTTTATGAGCTGACTGGTGCCAGATTCGTATTATCTTTCGCCTCGTCGAATTTTCTCGGGGAGCCGACGACCTGACAAATCCTTTGCTCACGCAAGAAGTTTACTTCTACATACTCGAAGCCGCGCCCATGTTCCTCGCCCTTCTCTCTCTTGCTGTCGTACATCCGGGGAGATTCTTGGTTGGGTCGGAAGCAGACATGCCCGGTTTGTTCAAAACTATCAAAGATATGCGCAAGACAAGATCGGAGTGGGCAAAGCTAGGGGAGGGGGACGAGTTATCGGAGGTTGGTCGTCGCTAGACATGAAAGCCTCTGTGGCGACAATCTGATTTAAGGAGGGGGGAGGCGTTGGCCAGCTTGATGAACAAGTATTCAAGACCGAGCGCAACAAAGAGGCAGTGGCACAGAGGAGAAAATCAGGGAGAATGAAGGATCTAGAAACTATGTATCGAAGTCTCGGTAGCTAGTTTCTAGATAACTCGCATCTACCGCTCTCGGCTGCAAAGAAATGACCGATCCGCATCGTGGTGGCCGGCCACCGACGCAAAGCCATTCAAGAAATCGAATTACTACCCCTTCCACGTTCCTCCTCAGGACTTCGCCCTTGTGCGAATGACTGATCTCCAAGTATAGCTTATTCAGTGTCCTGAGCCACGCAGGCTTCTGCCGCAATGCATCTTGTGGGGTAGGAATGAGCAACAATTGCAACCCAATCGTCCGGCGTAACCTTACCGATCCTGTAATCTATCTGGTCCCAAGCATTTGTGACCTGTCCGGATGATTTGGCTAAATCACCCCGCATCGCACCTGGTGCGCATCTTTCCCGACCAGCTGTCCTAGGACCGGGTAGACTGCCTCTCCGCCAAGAGTCTTCCATGGGTGTCCGAGTGTATAACAGCTATATTTATCGCCAATATTGCAACCCTGCTCTGCGGGCTCGCGCGGCTCTCGTCTTGGCAAGCCCTTTTTCTACAAGGCATCGGGACCGCACACACCAGTGGTCCATGTTGCAAGATCTAGAGCTGCCATCTGACCAGGAGTGGTCAAGGAAAAGATGCCGCGTCTGAGGGCTGGTGAAAATCAGCTCATTCAAGACTCCCCTGCGTCCAATATCCTGCCGCGATCGCCGGGAGAATTATGAGCTGTCGGCATTGTTTACCCGACTGCCGCACGTCGCAGGAGCCACTTGTAAGGGAGCACAACAGCTCCGTGTAAGTCGGCAGAGGGCTATAGGAGGTGAGATGGCAGTATTGTTGCATCCTTTCAGAGACCACAGCTTTGCAAGCACTATATAGACCGATAGTTAAACTACTCTCGTAGTACCCCGGAGTCTGTGGTCTTTGTGTGATTGAGGTTCCCAGTGGTCATCTGTGCAAGCCACGCAGATGCCCATGATGCGTGTCCTGCTCGTTCTGGCCGTTTTGGCCGCGGAGAAGGCCATTGCCATCAATATTCCCTTCGAGTCTTTTGAGCTCACACCAGCCGAAGTCGACGCATTTCCCGTCATAGCCTTTGGAGATTCCGCGAATCCAGGACCTGCCCGTACCGGCTGCCGTTTTGTGCCTGGAGATTCTGAATGGCCGACAGATGATGACTGGTCGCGCCTCAACGTGTCTATGGGAGGCGCGCTGTTGCGTCCCGATCCACCTGGTGCCGTATGCTATCCGGATCATCCTCGATACGACGAAGATGCATGTCTCGCACTGATGAGGAATGCGGGCCGAACACGGGTATATATCGATGATCCTCTTACGGTACTGACCGCCTGGACGCAGGGGGAGACATGTCCTGCAGCACTACGGCCTCGGGGGACCTGTGAAAGGGGAGGGTTCCCAGAGTATGTCGTGAATGTATCTACGGTGGCGCAGATGCAGATGGCGGTCAATTTTGCAAGAAACAAAGGCCTACGGTTGGTAATCAAGTAGGTCGCTCGGCTCGGTCCTCTGACGTGTAAAGCAATGTAATGACCGAAATCAATCGTGCAGAAATACGGGACATGACTTCAATGGGAGGTCCACGGGCAAAGGGGCACTCAGCGTCTGGACGCACTTCTTGAAGGAATTCGAATACTTACCAGACTATTCGGTGGGAGATTACCACGGTCCAGCGGCCAGGGTCAGCGCTGGTCTAGAGGCATGGGAGATGTTTGATTACATGAGGGCTCATGACATGACACTTGTCGTACCGGGTGGATACACCGTCGGTGCCTATGGTGGCTGGATGGCTGCAGGAGGTCATTCACCCCTAGCCTCTACATTTGGGCTAGGATCCGATCAAGTGCTGTCTCTGCAGGTTGTCACTGCCGATGGTAGATTTGTGACGGCAAGTCCGGAATCAAATCAGGACTTGTTTTACGCTCTATGTGGAGGAGGCCCCAGTGAGTGTTCGTTCTGAAAACCAACCCGCCCCAGTCTAACTTTCTCAGGCACGTACGGTATCGTCACTTCGGCCGTCGTCAAGGCCCATCCAGCCACCAACGTGACGACAGCTTCGCTGCGCTTCCAGGTGACGAACGGAGCGTTCGGCTCAGAATCTGACATGAGCGCATCAGAGGCGGTCGAAGCCTTCTGGACCGGAGTCGGCATGTTTTTTCACTACGGCAAGGATGTTACCGAGTTTGGAGGCACCACGTACAACTACGTGACGCCTGGCATGAACAACGCCTCCGTGTCCTTCCGGACAGACTTTGAGATGCCCGGGATGACGCCCGATGATGTGGCGGCCTTTCTACAGCCATTGTATGATGCAATCACAGACGTCGGCATCCCTATTAGCAAGACTGTTCCCGGCCCTTCCAGCACGTGGGGACCAGGACGGCGTGGTATCGGTGATATGCCGGGCAACAGTCGGCTCGCATCGCGTCTCTTCCCTCGGCGCAACTGGGAGTCTGATGATCTCTTCGACGAGACCATGGCAGCTGTGCGAACTTTCGTCGAGGGAGGCTACTCTTTCCATGGGATCCATATGGGGCCCACGGAAGAGGTCGCCGGCTACCCTGGCGGCGGGGGTGTCAACCCGGCATTCCGCGAGACGCTCATGCATGCGGACTTGTTCGACCGTGGCGTGGCCCCCGGCGCTTCTGCAGACAAGGTGAAAGAGGCCCACGACCGGCTGGTCGAGTACGTGCAGCCCATCCGAGACGTGACGAAGGGATCAGGGGCATACATGAACGAGGGCGACGTGCTAGAGCCAGATTGGCAGGGAAGTTACTTCGGGGACAAATATGAGCGCTTGCTCGCCATCAAGCAGACGACGGATCCATGGAATCTCTTCTGGGCTCCTGGCACAGTGGGGAGCGAGCCTTGGGCCGTGAGGACTGCAGATGGGCTGCCAACACAGAATGGTCTATTGTGCAGAATTGATGCTCCAAGGAGATGAGAGTGGCTGAGCCACTCTCAGAAAAAGAGGATCTTTGGACATAAATTGATGATGTGACCTTGGTCAGATAACCATAATATCTTTCCCAGTTTAGTGCCTTCCTTTAGATCCGAAGCTATTAGACTCCAGATCATCTCTCCCCCGCAACTCTTCTAACTCATGATCCCACATTTGATTTCTCAACCCCTGTCGAACTCTGCGATGTGCGATAAGATACCCGGTAAGGGGCTTCAATTGGATTCACCAGAGTATCACCTCTATCCAAGCGACACGCATGGGCAGAACATGAGGAGCACCTTTATCACAGACCAAGGTGTCAACTGTGCTAGAATTCAGTATCGTTATCAAATAGATCAGAGGTGGAACTTGCTATTTACTCTGATTTATAGGAGAAGTCTGGGCCTGGTATTAATTGTTGCACCACGCCCCAACAGCAAGCAAGTCAACACTCTGGTCCAAGGACATGGGATGGTAGTGCGGGTGGAACTGAGGACGCTGCTTTATCGCCAACCAAAGATGGACACAAGGGATAGTTTATCACGTTCAAATTTTGCATGATGATAGAGAAGAGTGTTTCAAAGGTAGTTATCTCCAATGTTAGCTCATCATGATTATTTTATAATGCATCTGTCTCTGGTATTCATCTATACCAAGAACATTGCAGCCTGCCATCTCCTTCTTTTCATGTCGTGAAGTGGTCAAATGTCAATCCTAACTGGCGAAGGCTTTGCTTTGACCGGCTGACTGGATATAAATGACTGGTCGACAGCAAGGATTTGATTGGGTCGGCCGAGCATCTGAGCAAGCGCAGGGACAAGTCACATTCAGTTTTTATTGCAGGAAAAGCAACATGGATCTGGAAGAGAATCTCCATTTGATTCTGCCTAGTGCATGATAACATACTATGGAAGCGCTTCAGTCATTGCCTTCTCTGTGTAGTTCCAGGCTCATGGGTCTTGGCGAAATGGCCGCTTGAGGACGTTGCATTTGAGACCTTGGTCCTTTTGTCCCGTCCTATGCCTTAGGGCTTCAAAGGTGACCCCCTCGGGATCACAACCATCACCGTCAACATGAAGATTGGTAATGAATTCATACCCAACATGACGAAAGAGGTTGGCACCCATGCTGGTGGCCAGAACGCCCTGGCCAACATTGTCGAGGTCTGCCAGGTCGACTCCCCATTTCGCAATTTTGGACCCGTGTCCCCTTTTCCAATACGCGGGGTGAACAACGACTCGTTCCATTTCAGAGAGACCGCCAAAGTATCTGCGATGACCTGGTCAGCACAGGGTGGGTGAATCGGGTTTCAGGGCGAAGTTGTGCACCTTTTCGCTGCAGCACCGGCGACATCCTCAAAAGCCCGAGAACGCTGTCGGTCCAGATCTTTGTAGTCATACTTGGGGAGATCAGGGTACGGGTCTGTGTGCAGTAGTACAGGTAGTGTCAGACTGAAAGTGTTCAAGCGAGTGCAGGCGCGGCAGCAGACCTTTGCCATCATTTTGGAAATGCCCAATCCGCTTCGAGGAAGCCTCGAGCTTCCACACCCCCAAGCCTACAACCACAGGTGTACCTGCTGCCGGTGGGGTCCAGCCGTTGTCTTTGGGGATGACGGCAATGGTCTTGGAAGATTCGCCGGGGTCATAACCGTCGAGAATGACGAGGGCGATGTATTGGGGGTCCCTGATGAACTCCTGCACCTCGTGCCGGAAGCAGACAATGGTGCATTGCGGGTGCTGCTCGTGGGCCGTCCGCTCCCAGATGAACTGTTCAGAGTAGCGAAAACCCGCGGCGCAGACGATGCCCAATCGGAGAATGTCAGCGGGGGAAGCCAGTTTCAAAGGGCCGAAGCGCGGCGCATCCGACGCCATTGATTGAATCAAAGGAGAAACCAGACTTGGGTGCTACGGTCAACCTGTTAAGGCGAGGTGAGGTGAGGTGAGGTGAGGCGAGGCCCTTTTCCCTTTGGGAGAATTGTTTGTCTTGAATATTGCGAGCGAGGTTCTGGGGGTTTCTGCCCAATTTATGGGTGACAGGCCTTGTCCTTTTTTACCTGATCTGCTCCTTCAGGACCTCGTCTGCGTTTTCTGGGTGACAGACGGGGCAAGAGCTGGGTGGCTCACTTGATCCTGCCCTTTCAGGCCTTCACCCACTCAACCCATGACATCTCCCGCCTCGACTTCACGATACCAGCCAATCAGTTGCCACTTATCGCAACACACCTATCATGTGGTGGTGCATGCCCCTTATACAAGGCAATCTTACTCCCTCGCCAGGGTGCAGGCTGCAGCCCGCTGCCTGAGGCGCAGGATGTGTGATGGTACCATCACTTGAACATCGCAAGGGACTCCCGTGTGGCCTGCAACTCTTCACCGCCGCCAGTCCACTTTTATCTTTATGTTTCACGCGTGAAGCGTTATCATTGCTGCCACTTCATGTCAGCCACCCACCCTCCATCCTCGTGCGGATCAAGCATCTGCTTGCTCCGCATGTTCTAGACCGAAAGGAGGCGATGAATCCCACTCCTGCCGATGTCTCGGATCCAAATCATTGTCACGGTCCGCGCCCGTTGACCGAAGACTTTCAATCAACGTCGGGTAGTGCACCGTCGAGGCTCATGAGGATGCAACTGCCGCCAAGCTCGTCTATCTCTGATCACCCCTCAAAAATCGCACTTGAAGGCCTGCCAGGTTCTATTGAATCTGTCAGCCACCAGGGCCGACCACCCACCTTGGGATAGAGGCTTAGGTTTTGGAGACTTCACACCTCAAGTAGGCCCTTTTCTAATGCCGGTGGGCATATGGAATCACACCAGCGGCCTTTCTACCTCTGCCGGGCTCTTGGCCGGTGATGTCGTCAACTATCCCGCCTTAACAACCGCATTTATTTCGCAACAATGGATCCCTCCGCTTCCTACAGAGCCAGGCCCTTTACAGCTAGACACCTCCCACTTCATTCTACTATCTTTGCCACCTGGTGCTTCGAGACTTTCTACAGAGACGGTGGCCACAAGAACCGTCTTTAGAGATACCGGTACTCGCCTTTCACAACGCTCGTTGTCAGCCCATTTGACCCCGGAACAGCTAGTTGACATGTACTCGGGACAATCAGACTTCGATCACTTAGCTTGTAAGTATGACAATTGGCAGTTCCGAGATTATGGAAATCCATTCTCCGGCGGTCCTCCGACCTTGTCCTTCGCCACTGCCGTTATAACGCAATCGGTATCAGAATTGACAAGCCCTAATCTAGTGGATGAAACACTTCACACAATGCCATGTGTTCCTGGACACTTAGTCATTACCTATCCTCAACTCAGTTTGCCTGGAGCCAGTTTAGCTCAGGCTTCGTCTCCTGGGGAAGGGGGACGACCACTAGCATATCGATAGATATATCACCCAATGCACTAGTACCCACCAGAATGCCACAAAGAAACGGAAGGCGCAGTCTCCTGACACTCCATCTGCTCTCAAGAAGATGCGCGAGATTGGCGCGTGTATTCGATGCCGGGTATACCGGATGAAGGTAAATATCCTCAACATGGCTCAATATAGTCGGCTAGAGGAGATCAGCCAACTGATCACGACTCTAACAGTGCGATGAGAACGTGATTTGTGCACAATGTGAGAAGTCTCTTGACGGGGCTAAGGTATTCAAACAACTGGGCTTTCAGGTACAACTCAAGGATGGCCTCCCTTTCCGGGCGGGCAACTCCCGAACAGGCGAGTTGCGATCGACACCTCCAATCTTTTAGTGGTCCTACAGCCATCCTAAACCTCGAAAGATTCGAGTATCATTTTTTTTTTCTAGAGACAATTAGAAGGAATCATGCAGTTCCGTTTATAGACATCAAGTGTCGCAAATTCGTCCCCCTTGAGGATAAAGACGTCCTTGTGAACTCGACTGAGTCATTCGATGAGCAAGAAACGACAGCAACCGACCTTCTACCCTATGCATGCGTAAGTCAGACTAGCCGATCCAGTCATTCCTTGGGTAAAATGAATTTCATGACCTTCCTTCTTGGGCTCCACCCCTTTTAATCCATCCCTTGTAACAATTAAAGATCTGTAACTTGCAATCTAACCAACCATCTCCATCAAGTTCGATACTAGCACCAGTAAATCTCAGCATGCCATGAATGCGTATCTCGATTCTTGCCAACGAATTGCCGAACAAACTATCGATTGCAGGATGGAGGATGAGCTCATAAATTTAATACATATCGAAGCTCGGCAATATGCCCGGATTCATTCAGTCATTGCTCACTCGCAGCAACCCCTTTAACAACCCTATACTTATCAGTACGCAGACGATCCTTACTAACGCTCTCAAAATACAAGCCGTCGCACTTATCTTCGAATTCTTGCCGATTATTGTTAGGAATTAATAAGAAGTTCTATAACAAGAGAACTATCTATACCGTACCACTTTGGTCGGTAGCCCGTCCATAAGATCAGATCTGAGCCCAAAAGACACAACTCGAACTATTCCAATATTGAATTGAGATAACTCAACCGGTTCCTGTTTCGATCTATTTCTTCTCGTCTTGCGAGGAGTCATTGTTACCCTGTTCCTTCAAGCCCTCCGGGTCGATACCAATCTGCATATCATGCTCGATGATGACATGCTTCGGAATTGTCACTTCTTCCTCCTGGAAGTACTTGGAGTCTTCCAGAACAAACAGGGCCATGTATCCCATCATAACAAAAGCAAGGGCGTAGAATCCAAGAATGAGACCTCCAATTAGCACGAACGGGACTTTGCGGCTGTCGAGCCCAAAGGTCACGGCCTCGCCGGTGGCCATGATGCCTCGGAACACGCCAGCGTTGTTCGCTGCCAGACGAGGGTTGTTGGTCAGACATCCCAGGAAGTACATGACTATGTACTGCCAAAGGGCTGAAAATACCCAGTTGAGCATGAAGAGGACAAAGATTGCGGCGAAGCCGTTATCGTTCCAGTCCACAGGATCCGCTGGGGGGTTGTTTCGGTTGTAGGAATGATCCCTGACGAGTTGCCAGATCCACGATCCGATGAGGGGTATTCCAACGAAGCAAAGCCCGGCCACAGCTCGGCTCCGGCGTTTAACTATTCCTTGAGTTAGAAATCAACTTGTAAATATGGCGGTCTGGTGATGAACCTACGTTTCGGGTGGTCTAGAACCCATTGCAAAACCCATGCGACGGGAATCTGAAGGACGACAGCACAGAATGATAGCAAGCTTCGAGCCCTCAAACTGTTCAGGTAAACATTGACGGAACCAGCGTAGACGAGATAGGACTGAGCAGGTAGGAAGGCGGGAACCTAGCGAGCGTCGATTGTCAGTGGCGGTACGTCCAATAAAGAGATTATTCCCAACACACCATCAACCAAAGCCTCCAGTCTTTCAAAGCGTCAAGATTTCCCTTGAGTTCTTCAAGGAATGTGCGCGGCTTGATTTCGGCAACATCCGTACCATCACTTCGTCGTACTTTCTCAGGAGAAGCTAGGAGGAAAGCCATGGCGCATCCGACAAAGTCCATGGCAATGAAGGTCGCGTACACAGCTGGGGGAACACCGTCGCTGACATTCTGTTCCAAAGGGTTGCAGTCAGTCATAGTTTGCCACCAGCGAGTATCGCGATGACACACCTTGTTTCTGTTGATTAGGAGAGGTATAATGCCACCAATGACAGCTCCCAGAGCTTGCAGGTTCAGGGCGATCGCGACGAACTTTCCTCTTTCCTTCTCTTCAGAGTATGACATGGAGATATATCCTTGGCACACATAGATCAAACCGGCGGAAGTCTATACAGGAGGCAATTGTTAGCAACAAACCCAAATATAATAGCCCGGGCTGCGAAAGATGGACGTACCCCAAGACAGATGGCCGCAAAGAGAGGAAAGGCTGCCACTGCATACTTGTCAAAGTGCCAAAGACTTCCAATATACAGGATGTAACCGATAATGCCAAACTGTGCCTACGTTAGCAGGATGTGGATAATTCAGACCGCCACAAGCGGGTATGCTCACAAATCCAGTCCACGCCGGCCCGATCATGTTCAGAACCGTGCCTCCAAAGAGTGCACTCAGCGCGTAGAACGCACAGAGGACAGCATTTGCAGTGTTGATTGTCGATGCCGAGTTTGGTTTCCCGCCAGCGGCCCCGAGCATGTTCAAGGCAACATAAAGTCCGCCAGTGAGACCGATCTCGATGCCGATGATGAAGTTTTGCCTGTGTTCGAACCCTTCGCGTTAGTCCGTGTCCTCGCCCGCAAGACAGACCGTAGGCAGGGAAGTAGTCAAGCATCCCAACTTACCAGTATGGCGAGTGAAGCTTGGCGTTCGCCTTTTGTTTGAGCGTCATTTTGGGTTGACCCATGATGTGACTCGTCCTGGAGAGGTTGCCACTCTTTCAGCCAGTGGGGAGAAGTGTAGATGAAGGGTGGGATTCTATATCCAGTCTCCAGGACCCAATGCAGACAAACCTGGAGTAACACTAGGGGTTCAGGAGACGAGACTGGACTGTCGAAGGGTACCAATTCCAGCACCTACCCGCTTCCCCGTGCAATGATACCTGGGGTTATTTTCCCAGTCCTCCCTGCTGAGCAGTCACATCAGAAGATTGGACACTTTTTCCGCGTGATATGTGATTACCGTGCGCGCGCTGGTCCGATGTGCGCGTTGCTCCGAGACTATTTGTGTGCGCCTTGGTCCGAGGCCCCACTGCGCGGCCTTGGGATCTGCGCGGTTCCAAGCTTTGCCGCCTTGCCATGGCCACTAGAAAGTGGGACAAGTCTGATAGGAGAATCCGAGGCCTGCCAGGGGTTAGATGGGGAACAGAGACTGTGAGGAGTGTGTCTCGTCCAAGATTTCAGCGATATCACCTACGATGTGAATGGGGAGGGTTCACTTGGCATGTTTCCAGAACAGTGGTATCATTTGAACGACCAGTCACTTCTCATGTGGCTCTACCCTGCGTGTAGGCTTGTGTGATTTGCTATCGATATTAAGACGCTCCTCCTTGTACAGCATGACCGGGCAACTTCCCACTCTTGAACTGTTCTGCCATCTCCCCAAGTGGAACCCACTCGACCCCGGGGTGGGTGTTGATGTAGTTGATCATCCCCTCTTGCAGCAGCTGCACGTGGGCCTTGCCGGAGACTTGGGGGTGAATGCTAATGGGGAAGATGAATGAATCATAATCTCGATAGAAGAAGTCGAACTGTGCCTTCCAGATCTTGAAGACCACGTCCGGGTCGATGAAACCACTGCCAATCCCCTGGCCGATGTTGAGGGGAGGCCAGTCGTCCAAGTGCCAGTTTGCGGGAATCTCAATAATGCTCGAGTCCTTCAGCGCAGACATGGGGCGCATCCACTCCTCGGCCTTTTTGCTGTAGTCGGTCTCGATATAGTCTGGGTTGTACGGCAGGTAATAGGGCTGGCTATCGTGGTGCATGAAGGAGTGGTCGTACATAATACTACTCTCCTCGAGGATCTTGACTGTGTTGGGAGACGTCGTCCACGCCGGCGCAGTCCAACCATGCGGAGGCTTGCCGGTTATTCTGGTGGCCGCCTCGATACTCTTCTGCAATACAGCACGCTCCTGTTCTTCGGACAGGCCAGAAACGTATTCGTGCGTATAGCCGTGAAGGCCGCTGGGTAGTTCTACCTGTCAGTCTTCCGGCGATCCTTCCTGTGCTCTGGAGGAACCTGCAACTTACATCTCATGACCTTGCTCGTGGACCTTGGCGACCTGGCTCGGGAACGAATCCATGGTGTGCCCGGGAACGAAGAATGTAGCTTTGATATTGTACTTCTGAAGCATTTTCAGGACGCGGTCCAGGCCGACTGTTGCACCAAAGATGCCTCGAGAAACATCGGTGGCATCTGCGCGGCCTTTGCCAGACGTGTTGATCCTAGATGTTGGTCCAAGTCAGTACTGCACGCACGAGGCCGAGTTTATCGTGCCTAACATACCATGAGCTAACAGCATCCAGATCGATGCCATAACCGCACAAGACTTTCTTGCCCATAGTGAAAAGTTCTTTTCGTGCTTGAATTAAGGAGAGCAAACGAAGAGCGAAAACGTCTCCCTCAAAGTTCGAGGGAATGTCTGAGCCTCCCAACAAGCAGACATGTAGAAATTAAAAGCAATGACAATCCCTTTTCTCCAAGTGATCGCCAGCCTAAACACTAGCCTCCACATGTCATTCCGTCTGCCGCACCAACAAGCAAGATTGAGTAATGGTGATCGCTGTGTGGGCTACTTCCCCATTCCAGGTTCCCCGCATCCTCGGAGCTGCGCGCAGCCCTGGCGACGTCACCATTGCTTGCAACGTCAGCCGGAGCTACGCGCAGTTTCAATTGTCCCTTGGCTGGATCTCAAATACATGTATCAAGAACCAGGAGACGAGTAAACATCTTGACAGACCCGATGTAATTTGCCGCATAATTGACAGGGTACAACGCAAGATGGATCAATTCAACGCGGATACAGATACCTACAGGTCGGTGACCATCAACAGCTTGTTATCTCTGGCAGGAAAGACTGTGGTTGTTACTGGTAAGTCACCAATCCTGTATTAAATGGCCTGCAGCTCACAGAACCTTAGGGGGTTGCAGAGGACTTGGACTGAGTATCGCCGTTGGCTGCGCCGAGTTTGGGGGCACGGTCGTGATAGTAGACATTCTCGATGAGCCCAAGGAGGATTTATCTCGTCTGAGAACAGAAAATAACATCACACTTCATTACAGACAGTATGTAAGACCATTCCCGAACAAAAGGGCACTTCTCAAAGGCTAACACAAGATACTACAGTGTCAATGTAGCGAGCTATGATGGACTCCAGTCTACCTTCGCCGAGATTGCAGAGACCTTCGGCTGCATTCAGTGTCTTGTCAATGCGGCAGGAGTTGGTACCGGCGGTCCCTTTCTTGAATGTGGGAAGGCAGTCATTGACAAGATTTTGGACGTCAATGTGAGCAACATCTGCATGTCACACAAAAGTCTTTGGACATATAGCTGACCCGATCTCATTCTCCGTCTAGGTAAAAGGAACGATATTGGCAACGCAACTTGCTATCGAGCAGATGACGGATAAAGGTGTAGAGGGGGCTATAGTCAACATATCTTCCATCGGTGGACATGCTGGCATCCCCGGCCAGCAGAATGCCGCATACTGTGCCTCTAAAGGTGCCATCCTTGGCTTTACTAAGTCACTTGCTGTAGAGTTTGCCCAACGCCGCATTCGCGTCAACAGTGTAAGTCCGGGTTTCTTTCTGACAAAGGTCACACCAGGCTACGTGGAGAGAGACGTTGAGAGACTAAAGCTCTTTGAGAGCTTAGTGCCCATGGGACGTTTTGCCGATAGGGCTGAGCTCAAAAGTCTTGTTGCATTCCTCTTGTCACCAGCAAGTTCCTATATCACTGGAGAGGATATTGTCATCGATGGTGGTGTGCTAGCCTGACCACAAAATCTAGATATGTCCATCCAGTGAATACAGTGTTGTAGTAAAGAATGAGAAGTATTCTGTTGGCTTTGTGCATGTTTGAGCACCCCCACCAATACTGACATCCCCAAAGAGACCCCAATCCTCCAAGTGGACTCCGGGGAACAGAGCGGGAGGATGGATTCCCAAGATCCCCAAGCCCCCGCAATCACCTCGGAGGAACGCGCAACCGCGCCGAAGGCCCCAAGGCAGCCGCGGTCAATGTCCATAGGCAGTAATTCAGTGATTGTACAGTAAACTGTCAGGGTATAAGTTCCGACAGGCACTCTCTGTGTCTCTCCTAACGCCTAAGTTGCTTCCATTGGATTCTCTTCCAAGCGCTGGCCCTTCCATCCCAATAACCATGACCGATCAACCTCGGATCCTTATTGTTGGCGGTGGCTCGGGAATAGGCGACTGCATTACAGACTTCCTCGTTCGGAAGCATAATGCCAAGGTCATAGTCCAGAGCTTGCACGTATCAGACCGGGTCGAAAGATTAGCACGCCAGGGCCAAATTATCCTTGTTCATGGCGATGCAACCAAAACAAAGGTTTTGGATCAGACATTCAATGCTGTTCAAGAGAGCCTCGGCGGTTTGGATGCCCTCGTTATCACCATGGGCGTCATCGGGGAGATCGAGACCGTGAGCCGCATGGATATGAGCAAGATGCGCGCAGCATTCGAGGTCAACTTACTCGTACCAGTCCAGCTTGTGAGGGTCCTCTGTATGCTGAAATGATTCGATGTCCACGAGTAACTTATGTTCCAGTGCCAACAATATCTTCCCTTGCTCAAGAAGACTCACGGCCGTATTATTGTCCTTTCATCCGCCGCGGATAACGAGGTCAAATACGCGGGCTGGAGTCCGTATTGCTCAAGCAAGGCAGCACTGACGCGCTTCATTCAAGTGCTGGGCCACGAAGAAGACGACGTGCGCATCTTTGGCGTTTACCCGGGCCTCACCCGGACGCCTATGGTTACAGACTTGGTTTCGGGGAGGTTCCGCGGGAAGATGAAGGATGACGAGATTGCAGAGTTTCAGCGTCGTGACCGCGACGGCGAGATAGAGCCCCCCGAGTGGACAGCAAACGTGGTTGCAAAGCTGGCGGTATCTGCAGTTCATGCTGGGGACTCTGGCTCCGTTCGCTGGTACCATGAAATTGATCCCAATTACAAGGGGTAGGAATGCGGAGAGGCGCGTGGTTCTGGTCGCGCACGTAAAGGGCTACACCCTAATAAGCACCAGCAGAGACAGCGAATTAAATAGTTTGCCGCGCTGAGCCAACAACGATGATCTGATGTATCATGTAACTGTCATCCGGTCGTCTCCTCCAGTTTATGTATCAGTGACACACACCCGGGCCATCTTGCTCTGTGACGATCCAGAAGGAGCAAGCCATGGCGATAGGCGGCGGACGAAGGCTCATTCGAACAAATGCTAGTTGCTTTGAAAACCCAGTGTGGGAGGAGGCAGGTCGGTAAGCACGGCGTGGTGTAATACGTGTTGATTAGTGATGCTGCCGCTGTTTGCGTCGTGCCAGAAGTGTTTGCAAAGCTTGCTTCAGCCATTGCTAGCTGTGTCTGCCGTAAGACAGCCAGCAAATCTGGGATATGGAGTTGAAGTTGGTGAATCACGATGTCCAACTCGTCCAGGCTTGGGTTGGGATAGGTCTGAGCCTCTTCAGAGGACTTTCGACGCTGAGTGCACTGAAGAGAAAGCATCCACCATAGGAGGTCAACAGGTTCTCGTGATCCAGGATTTGCATCCTGTCATCAAGTTCTGTTAGTAGCCATTCATCATACTCCTCAGCAATTCTGCCGTCCGGTCAAACTCACGATTGTAGGCAGGAGCCAGGGCCTGTCTAGAGTCAGAGCTACCTGACGTTCCATGCATATGACTGAAAGATATAATTTGCGTAGAGCAACATCTTCTGTTTTCTGAATGCCAAGATCAAGGCATAGCCTGGCTGCTAGGCTGATGAGCTGTGTGAAGTTGCCTTGTTTAGGCACGAACAAGCTGAAGAGAGCCAGTAGAGCAGTGCTTCGCAGGGTTAGGACGCTGACATTATCTGTTACATCTTGTATTCTTTCCATGGCTTTCTCGTAGAAGTTACACGCTAGAGGGATGAGATCTTGCGCTCTTAAGCCTTGATCTGACAGTGATGCACATGAGATAGCGCAGATCATATTCTGGGTGAAGTCTCGTGATGATGACGGAATGCTGCGGGCTTGTTCGCTGCGGCTGACCTCGAGATCTCTGACATCTAGAATAGGGTAGAGGGCGTGTATATGTGTCGCAAAGTGATGCGAAAGATGGTTATGCAGCTCACTTGACATTCTGGGCATGTCCTGCTGGTTGGAGAGCAGTTCGGCATACAGAAGCGAGCTCAGATCGCTCCCGGAGTCAAGTCCCACTGGCTGCTGCGGTGCGGCTGAGGATCTGGGTATGCAAGCACTTTCTCCGAAGAACAATGGGATTGCACGAGACGGAAATGCTGTCTTGCTGTCAATGGTTGGTGCCCCCTGTGCAATCTTATTCCTTTCTCTTCGTAGTTTCTGTAGGCGCTGCATGAGCGGAACGATGGCGCTGGCACAAGACTTTAGTATCAAGAGAACCGTAGTTGCATCCGCAGCTGCTAACACACCTTCGCTTCAGTTCGCTGCCGAGAATGTGATCGTGATAAACGCAGTCTTCGACGCCAGCTTTCGCACAATTGCGACACCTGGGGAGCAATACGTCGCATTTTCTGTGTTTGGCTCGGCATCTGAGACAAGCAGGGAGATTCGCTAGCATCTCACGCAAGTCCTCCGGGTATTCTTGCTGAACTTCTCCCGTTGTCGCCATCTCTATAGTCGCGGGAGAGGGAGGATGGAGGATGGTGAGAAGGCGCCAGACAAGATGACAGCAAATGGCCGAATACCTAAAGCTGCCAAGGCACTGTCGGGTCCGAGAAACACGGATAGTGACGCTACCCAAGGGAGACTTGGCTCCACATAGCGACCTCAGAGTAAAGTGCCCGCCCACGGTCCACGCTCGGGCAATTTTGTACTTTTGCGGCTTGCCAGTCAGCAGCGAAGTCCTGGAGCATAGATCTGGACACATCTACGCCCTTCCAAATGCAAGCATCAGACGTCAAGAGGCGGATACGCTCTTGTGCCTTGTGTCGGAAGCGCAAAGTCAAGGTTTGTGCTAAGACTTGCCACCACCTCTTTCTCGTTTCTCGTTGGCATCATCGTTAACGTTTACTCTCAGTGCGACTTAACATCAGTCCCCTGTGGCCCTTGTGCCAAATTGGGGGCATCGTGCCTCGGTGGGAACGATGGAGATCCTTCTACCCTGCAAAGGAACCCGAGAAGCATATTCTTGTGGCTGCAGAACGAGATTCGTGACTTAGAGGCTACGGAGGAATCGAGGCCTACTATGTCGTCTTCATTGCGAAAGTGCCAGGGCTTGATGAATTCCCTCGCCTCTGATCTGAAGGAGGCTGGAGAGTCCTCCACATTGACCCAGGCCGTCTCTCGGGACATGTTATTTCCCCGGATAGGTCTATCTCAGTCCGTGCCGCTTCCGGGTTTCGTCCTCTACGCCGAGGCCCGACTTCCTTCGGTGGACGTAGGCGGAACCGGGGAGAGCTTCTCGCGGAACGACGCGGCGATCCCGTCAGACACTGTCGGTCCGGGCACCACAGATCCTCTGCGGGTGATCCCGACACAGGTGGTAGACTACCTACTCGAGATCTATATCTCGAGATGTATGGCATCGCACCCCATCTTTTACGAGCCATGGCTTCGAGCGTGTCATGCATCCGTCATCCATCCCGGAGAGAGCGGCAATAACATGGCTCCGAGCACACCTTACGAGCAGTATACTATAAGCCTGGTGATGGCAGTAGCCTTATCCACTGCAGCACGTTCCAACAGAAGGGAAGCCGGCGAGATGGCTTTCGAGCTATTTAAGAACGCACTGAGGCACATGTCAGAAGTCACCACCAATGACTTCGCCGGCCTGCAAGCCCTTGTCTTGCTGCATTCATACGCCGTCATGAACCCAACGGCAGCTAACCTTTACTTCCTCGGCGGCTATACCACCCAATTATGTATCGACCTCGGTCTTCACAGGGAAGACTTGACCTCGCAAAGTGATGACATCATCGCTCGAGATATCAAGCGGCGCGTTTTTTGGACAGCATGGGAGCTTGATGCCTCAAGCAGCGCTGGGTTCGGGAGGCCCTTCGCCCTGCTTCCCCAAGATATCACCACGGGCTTCCCGACGGACTTTGCAGACGGTGCTATTGGCCCGGATTATATTGATGAGCGGGGAAGCAGATCAAAATTCATCTGCAACCGGGTCCGGGTATTCCGTTTGATTGAAACAGAGGTTATATCAATCCTGTTCCACGATCATCCGTTTCCTCCCGGCATGGACTCTCACGAAACTTGGGCCGCGGACGTCGAGGCACGCATGAATGCCTGGTTACAAGACATTCATCATAAGGCACTGTCCAATCAGGATGCCCAGCTGAGTGTCAAGTGGGAGGAGATGGCTCTATTCGCAGAGATCGCCACGCCCCTGATCACAGTGGATCTATACCGCCCCTGCCCGAGGGTCAAGACACCGCAGCTAAACCATCTCCTCAAGGCGTTTGAGGCCAGCATCCAAGTCGTCCAGGGCTATCGTAGGCAAGCGAGCACGGCATTTGGAAGTCCAAAGTACACCTTTGGCCCATGTCATCACGTCTTTGCCTCAGCCATGGTCTTTCTGCATGCCCTCCGGACTTGCCCGTCCGCCCTAAGGTCTCACTACAGCGATCTCGAGATGGAAGCCTCGATGACCGCCTTCTCAGACTTTTTCGCCGTCACTGCTGAGCGATGGCCTGCATCCTTGAAGTGCCTCGACGAGTATCAGCGCATCCTTGAGCCTCTGAAAGAGCGGTACTTTGAGGCCGAGCGTGCACTCAGCAGCATTCCCCTAGACGATCTACTACCGGCCAACGGTTTCTTGGGATACGAGGACTTTGTGATTGATTCTGTCACTGCTGAAGATTTCACTAGTTACTGGACGGGCCAAGAACTAACTTACCTCGACTGGGCAGACCATTTTGATCTCGAAGGAGCCGCTCAATAGATACCCAGATCATATTATATCATCCCAGATGTTCCTTTGTTAGGAGCCTAACGTCGTTAATCATCCCGACGCTTCCTTCATTATCATTAATATTACGGCTGTCCATCTCTAGATGATAACCCTATTCTTCATCCGACGAAGCACTCTTTGCGCTATGAAGCCGTATAGTTATCTCTTGGGGATCCTGTCTCCACCGTCTCACAAACACCTCCGGATCGTCTTCTGGGATTGGCAGTCCGACCATGCTATCTTTCGCCTCTTGAGGAACCACATGGGGCCTCCCATCGATAGTGCATATGTCGACTGATGATATGAGACGTATCATGAAGGACATGGCAATGTTGGCCGCCAGGAACCTCCCAGGACACATGGCACCAAACAGCCCAAACATCTTCATCTTTCTCCTCTGGCTCTCGTCCAAGCTCCCGTCGGCCTTGAGGAATCGCGCTGGCCTGAACTCATCCACATCATCCCCCCAGACTGCCGCATCGATATGGTACGGCCGCAGCGGCGCAACCAGGATGGTGCCCTTCCCCAGCAACCACCTGCTAGCTATAGTCGTGTCGCTCTCGACGTGTCTAGCAATCGAGAAACCGCTATGGCAGCGCAACACCTCCTTCCACGTCGCCATCAGTTTCGGGCACCTGGTGGGCACCTCGGCCAAGTCAATCTCGCCTCCTACGCTGTCGGAGTAGGCAGTAAGTTCTTCCCGCATACTGGCAAGCCATTCGGGCTCGGCCACGAGATGATGCACCGTCCAAGCCAGCCCACCCACGATATTCGGCAGTGCCCCAGCCAGCAGGAGGAGCTGAAAATCTGTCCAGTCCTCCGGAGCAGCGCCGTGTGCATCGCAAGCTGATCGTAATCGCCCTAGGAGACTGTCGCTAGGATACTCTGCAACTGCTGCGCTGCTCTTCAGTGCTTCTCGTACGAAGCGCCGCGACTCCAGCAGCTTGCGGTCGATGAGGAGGCTCACGGGGTTGCTCAGAGCTCGCATGTTTTGTAGCATTGACTTCAGGTGGAACAGGAATTCGGACTCGCTGAAAGGGCTCTTCTGCGAGGAGCTCTCGCCCCAGAGAACGCTGCCGAGGGCTCCCACTACCGTCGAAAAGACCCATTCTTCGATTCGAATCTTGGCGTCGCTATTCCGATGTACCAGATCGGAGAAGGCGTTATGGATGTGGTCATCGAGCCGCAGGACGTACCGGCGGAGGTTGCGATTAGGGATGAATTCCTCCCGGAAGATGCGAGATACTTGTGATCCGAATCCGTGGCTCTGCTGAAGCTCTTCCCTCAGCAGCGCGCATGAATGGTCGCCAAAGGCGAGGGCGCGTCTGAAGATTGCAGCCACGAGTGAATTGAGCCGGAGGTGCCGCACCTTGGGCAGGTATTGTCGCAGCGAGGGCTGAACAATGGTCAAGCTGATGGGTGCTATCCTTATTGTGAAGATCGGCAGCTTGGTTGATCGGCACAGATTGCTAAAGTAATCGTGACCCTCTCTCATATAGTTGACCGCGTGGCCGATAAGCGGAACGGTGGTGGGCAAGAGGCGAGGCAGGACGACAACGTCGACACGAATCTTCCTTGGCTCGTTGTCAATGAGGTGTTGCGCATATTGGCATTGCGCGCAGAATTGTAACAATTGCAGTGAAAGTAATAGAAGAGCACCTGCTACGGCAGCAGGATCAACATTCTGAAGCAGAGCGTCCAACATCTCGAGGGTTGGTTGTATCAGAGCATTTGAATCTCAATATGAAGTAAGTTTCGACGATGGGAGCCAGGAACCGACACGGAGCAAATGGAAGAACATTGAAATGAAGAGCAATGCAATTACTATCGCCACGAAATCGAGCTGAACCCGGGGAAATGAGGCACACTTGCAATTTCTAGAGAGGCATGGGTAGGTTTAGTTTGGCTATCAGAATCCCTGTGGTCGAAACCGGCCTAGACACGCGGACACAGCGCCATAGTTTGCTACCAAACGGGCATAACGATCCGGAATGGGAGTAGCCTGGTGAACTACTGATCACGGAAGCTGAACCAAATTGCTAGGGCTTGGAGAAAAGCTTGGCTTAGGCTTTGACCACGCGGGTGGCACGCACTTTGGAGCCACTCCTTTGTCGAAAACATCAGTCTTCTGTATGTGATAAGTCTACTTTAGCGTGGCTAGAATCAATAGTGCGGCCCGTAGCTGGAGCTGACACAATCTAGGCCCGAGATTTGGGTTTCCCGGATTGCGGGGATCTCCAGATTGGACCTAGAGCTTCCAATAGTCTGCTCAACTTTGCAATCAACAGCTCAGCCCAGCTCGCGCTGGGGCTCAATTGCCTTTTGAACTCTACCAAAAGGACTAATCATAGACCATGCTATTCTTTGTTTCTCGATGGCGCAAGCCATTCGCTTGGCTGGTATTTAAGAGGACGATGCTGTGGCGTTGACGGTTTCCCACCTAGTTCATCCCTACGATCTTGCATACCAGATTCCTTTTCCCGGTGTGAGAAACTGCCTCGTGAAGCCAAGACTCCCTGATCTTGTCAAGATGAAGTTCTCTCTTCTCCTGCTTCCCGCCGCCTTCTCGGCCGTCTACGGAACGCAGTTCATGGACCGGCGTGCCGACAAGCACTGCGCCCCGGGCAACAACTGCCAGCGCGGCGTCGGCGGCACCAACGGCGTCAAGCCGCCCCTGACCAGCCGTATGGCCGACTGCTCCAAGCTGAACACTGTGACTGTCAGCCCTTACACTATGTATGTCTTGGCGATAGCCCAGGCCGCCCTCTCCCGTCCCCCATGCCTCCTCTCGGCAGCCAGTATTGCTCGAGCCCACAGAAAGCTGACAGGAGTACACCAGCACTACGATCTCCACGACGACGGTCCTCGAAAGAGCGCAGATCCCGACGGCCCGGCGCGCGGCTCCCCCGCCGCAGAAGCGCCAGGACGCCGGCGCCACCACCATCGAGCCGACCGAGGTCCCGACCTACGCCACGTACTGCAAGTCGGCCTCGGCCTACTACAGCGCCTGCTCGTGCGCCGGCGTCACGGCCGTGACCACGACATTGCCGACACCGACGTCGTACACGTCGACCACGACCGTCAGTATCTGCCCTGCCAAGAGGGCTGTCAAGAGGGCTGCCGGCGTGTTTGGCTACGAGATGGCCGAGGACTTTGACCACGTCCAGTGGGATGGCATCAAGCTTTTCTAAAGAGGGCGGAGTTGGAGAGGTCTGTAGCTAGGATGGCAAAAGCGGATATGGAAGGGGCATGGAACATGAACGAAAACGGAATCTGTACATATTGTACATACCGAATGCTTGTGAGCATGCTGTTGCTCTTTGGAATGGTGGCTATAAGGCGAAATTAGGAGTTAATATCTTCGACATGTAACATGCCAATGAAGTCTTTATTTGACAGGATACAGGAAAACGCAGAAAGTAGCCGTCGTCTGTTCGTCACAAGATCTCCGCTTCAATGAGACTTTCCATCCCCATCTTGAAGCTATAAACCTGCACAATCCCGAACCCGGCCCGACTCAGTATCGCCTCCCAGTCAGCCCTCGTGCGCTCGCGCATAGCCCCCAGCACGAACACGAGCTGGTCCATCGAAGTCGCGGCCCAGGACGCGTCCCGGTCCGGCACGATGATCTCGTTGATGAGCAGCCTCGAGTATCCCGGCCGCAGCGCCGGCTTCAGCTGCTCCAGGATGCGCAGGCACTCGTCGTCGCCCCAGTCGTGCAGCACCGAGTGGAGGTAGTACGCGCGCGCGTGCCGCACGGGCTGCGGCGTGAAGAAGTCGTGCGCCTGGGCTTCAAACACCCCAGTGCTACCTGCTTCCTTGCCTACGGTAGATATGACCTCGGGCCGGTCCTGCAGGATCAGCTTGCCCGGGAGGGAAGGATGCTTCGCCCTTAGCTCCCGCAGGTCGTGGCCCATCCCGCCGCCGACGTCGACGAGCATGGCCTCACTGATGTTCGAGTCATACCCAGCTGCCAAACGCTCTTCTACGGGGTAGAAGCCCGGATCGACCCAGGCGGGCTTGCCGGCGCGGTAGGCCGACATGTAGCTGTTGAAGGCTTCGAGGTAGGGCGGATTCTGATCAAGCCAGGCAAAGAATGGCAGCTGCGTCTTGTGCGCAGCCTGGAAGGGCCCGTCTGTGAGGCTCGTGGGCAGGGCGTAGCGCGTGCTCCTGAGGTACTCTGGGAGGGCTCGGAATGAGGGGCCCGCGACGTCGTGTCTGGACGCCTCTTGTTAGAGCCAACCTCTCCACGTGCAGGTGGCGGTGTAATATATCTTTTTGAAAAGGAAGGCTGGGCAAGGCTTACGTGTAAATGATGCCGTTGCGAAACCTTGGCTCGGTGAGGGCGTTGCTGAGAGGCGTGGCAACGACTGAGTCTGCGCCGTTCTCTCCCACGACTTTCATGGCCGCCAGATGTTTCAAAGCGCGTGCTGCATCAGCTTGTCAGTTCAAACGCAACCTTTGTTAGGCACCACCGCTGATGACAGCTTCATACCAATGAGCACGGGATCCGCGCCAGTCTTGACTGCCAAGTCCGCGGCGCGGATGCCTTGAGAGCCACTATCTCTGATATGCTCGAAGAGATCAAGGTCTACAGCTATTCGGCAGTGTGCTGTCCTCGCAGGCTATAGCAGACCTCTAGTTTTAGTCTTTCCGTCTCTTCAGAAGACTTCCGGAGGGAAGCTCACCTCGGCCCACCCCATGCGCTGTATTGCCTCACTAGGCAGCTCCAGGCTTGATATCAGAGCATAGCTCAAGTCGATGAGCTGCTCCCGCGCGCCGGGTTTCCCGCTCGCATAGTTGTCACCAGCTGTCTGGAGCCGAGCGAGCACATCCGTAGGTGGCAGGAACGTCATGGCAACGAGGTTGATATCAGTCTAGCGGTTGGTTGGTCCTAGAATCAGATAGTTCAGTAGCAGCAGCTAGAGGCTGTGAAATTCAATAGATGGATCCTCCGAGTCTACGAGCCGGTTATATATCCGATGAGTAGAGATAGATGACGAAAGGGATAGAGTTGTGGACTTTAGGTTCCTCGTCTCGGCTTCTGACATAAGACCTAGGCTGGAATAGGGCAACAATGGTGGATACATAAACAACGGGAATTTCGAGTAATAGCAACTAGGACAAACTCAAATATACGCTTAGTTAGTTCTACGCTTTGCAAGATCTATTCTGATAATGGTGAGAGATGAGGGTTACTCATAGTTGGTGCATCGAATTGACCAACGTCCTAAAAGTCTATGTGAGCCAACTTCTTGATGTGCTCAGTGCATGTAGCAAGATAATATGTAGAGTAAAGGATTCTAAAGCCACATGGACATACGTATCGTAATTAAAAAAAAACCATTCCTTAATAGAAACTGCGCTTGATGTCTCCTCTCCAAATCCATTCGCAATGACGAGACTATTATCCGAGCTCGAGGCATCGAATTCGACTCAAGCGAACCTTGACGGGACCTGACTTGCCTGAACAGGACCAAAGACCTGCACTGGCCCGTCGTGAGGCCTCATAGCAACGGTGTGCTTGCAGTTTGAGCAAGTGTAGTAAACGTTCTCACACCAGCCCGCCAGCTGGGGAACGCAAGTCAGGCATATGCAGAACAGGCAGCACACCACCGAAGCAAGCCTACCAGGAAGTGCATGAGCAGGCTGAATTAAGAAAGGAACATGCTAGTTGGGTCTGGAACACTCACGCCTGCGTGCCCGAGCCTCGTTTGCTCAACACCGTCTGCGTCCTGCGCTGGCAGAAGGGACAGTCGATCCACTGCGGTGAGTCGCCGAGAAGCTGCAGCGGCGTCACAGTCGCCGGGTTCGGCACTGGGGTGATCATGGGCTGTCCCTTGAGTTCGGAAGGTGCCAGGGTTGCAGCTGGAGACGAAATGCCGGGCCCGGCTGGGTCTCTGTAGATTGTGTGTTAGCTACTCCGTTGAGATGCATGAGGGAGTAGGCGGATTCCGCACTCGGATTGAATCATGTCAGGAGGAAACTCCTTTGGCGGAGCCGTGGGCAGTGGTTTCCAGAGCGGGCTCGTTGGCTGCGGCTGATCAATCCCATCCTCGGGACTCTTTGCATCGCGGGACGGTGCATCTTGATGCTGACGAGACTCCATATCGAAATGGTCCAGCTAGTTAGATGGGTTTGAAATGGCCGATAGTAATGGTGATAGGAATGGCGATTGCGATGTGATAGTCTTCATGGAATGAGGCATCAGTGTCAAAGTCTAGAGCAAAAGGAGCCCCCGTGGCACAAGCGATGCATTCTATTTGTATTTACCCCCTGTTGTGTTAGGACATCGCCGCAGGGCTTAGCCGGCGAAGAGCACTTGGCCCCATGTAACCAACACCCGCAGTGTCACGCCAGATTTCCGATGATTTGCCACCTCTCCGCACCGCTGTCAGCCCTGTGTCCCGCCCGTGCCAAGAATAGCCAAGAATAGAAACTCAGGCATTATGATCCTGATGGGTTGTTTGCTTTCTTGATTCGTCCCAGAGAAATACATATTGAGTATCTCCGGAGATCTTTATGCTAACAGTGATGCATTCGTCGATCGTTTGAAGAAGCCTATATGGAGCCCCCCGAGATGGCATGATGGGATGAAGGCAACATGCGAGTACTAGTCGCAGCCACTATCAACGACCCGTCGGGCCCGTCGATGGTCGACCTGGACCCCGACGGCGACGTTCAGTACGCCATCCTCTCGCACACCTGGACCGGCAGCGAGGTCCTGTTCGCAGACATCGTGAACGGCACGGGCGCCGAGAAGCCGTCGTTCCGGAAGGTGCGGTACACATGCCTGCAGGCCATCGCGGACGGGCTCGAGTACGTCTGGATCGACTCGTGCTGCATCGACAAGACCAGCAGCGCGGAGCTGTCCGAGGCCATCAACTCCATTTACGAGTGGTACCTCAAGGCCGCCGTGTGCTACGCGCACCTCGAGAGCGTGGCCCGGGACGCGAGGCCGGCGGACGCGGAGTCCGGCTTCGCGCGCTGCCGCTGGTTCACGCGGGGCTGGACGCTGCAGGAGCTGCTGGCGCCGGCGGACCTGGTCTTCTACTCGGACGACTGGGCCCGGCTCGGGGAGAAGGCGACGCTGAGCCGGCCCATCGCCGCCATCACGGGCATCGACGAGGCCATCCTCACGGGCCGCCGGCCGCTGCGGTCGGCGAGCGTGGCCAAGCGCATGTCGTGGGCGGCGCAGCGCCGCACGACGCGGCCCGAGGACGCGGCCTACTGCCTCATGGGCGTCTTCGGCGTCAACATGCCCATGCTCTACGGCGAAGGCGGGCGGGCCGCCTTCCTGCGCCTCCAGGAGGAGGTCATGAAGCACTCGGACGACCAGTCGCTCTTCGCGTGGGTCGACGCCGACGCCTCCCCCGGCGCGCAGCACGGCCTGCTCGCCCCGTCGCCCGGCGCCTTCGTCTACTCCAACTCGGTCATCCCCTACCAGGACTGGGACCCGCGCCCGCCCTACTCCATGACCAACCGCGGCCTGTGCATCGACCTGCCGCTCAGCCGCCTCGAGCAGCAGCGGGATGATGGCGGCGGCGGCAACGGCGACAATGGCGACGGCGACGACGTCTACGTCGCGGCGCTCGACTGCCCCGCGCCCCCGGACTACGAGGACTCGACCTTCCTGGCCGTCTACCTCCGCAAGCTGTCGGCCGGCAGCGACCAGCAGTACGCGCGCGTGCGCGCGGCCCAGTTCGCCAAGGTCAGCCGGCGCGGCGCCCTGCAGCGCGTCTACGTGCGGCAGGACCCGACGGCCCGCGCCGCCGAGACCGAGGGCGTGTTCCCGCACCACGTCCTGCAGCTGCGCGCCGGCCCCCCCGCGGCGATGTACCGCCTCGTGGGGACCTTTGTGCCTCCCGCGCCCGACGACGACGGGGAGGGGGACGGGAAGGACGGGAAGGACGGGGAGGCAGTAGCAGCAGCCGCAGCAGCAGCAGCGAAGAAGCTGCCGGTCCCGCCGACGCCTCTCCCCATCATGTCGAGCAGGGCGGCGGCGGCGTCGCGGGGCTGGATCTCGGGCCTGACGCGGACGACCTTTCTCGCGCGCAAGGCGAGCGGGCTGCTGGCCGTCGGGCTGCTGCTGCTCCGGGCGGACGGCGAGCGGCTCGTCGTGCTCCTCGGGTCGGCGGGCAAGTTCGAGGTCGGCTTCGACGCGGTCGAGCTGCCGCCGGTGTACGTCTCCGGCAGCGACGACGGCAACAAGAACAACAACAAGAACAACAGCAACAACCCTCGCATACACACACAGGGGCTCGGCTTCGAGGACCTGCAGAGGAGGTTCTCGCCGAGGCCGCCGGGCCGGCAGCTCGAGCTCCTGTGCCACCGCGTCGACGTGGCCGTGTTGCCGATGGTGCACGGCTCCGGCAAGTACTACATGATCGACCTGGACGTGCAGGCATGTGGAAGCTCGTCGGTCACGCGGGAAGTAGTGGACGGCCTCGTGGACGCGTACCAGAGCGCGACGGGCAAGAAGAGCCAGAGTGAAGCCAGGGGTACTTCTATATGGCGGAGATTGATCAATCATTAGGCAGACGTGTCGCTGGAACCAAGCGGCGACATAGTAGCGGGAGGGAAGAGAATAACAAGACAAGATTAGCATGAGAAGCGTGGGTATATATTGACTCGAGAGGCGATGATGGCCTTGCAAAAGCCACATGCAAAACTATGTATGTATGTAAAACCCAGACTGTGCGTCGTTGTCTCTATGAAGCCATTCTAAGACGGAGAGCCGTTTCCCAAAGCCACGACGAGGCTGTGATTCTCAAAAGCACACACACCTGCAAATTATCCCTCCCAACCAGACTTTCGAGCAAACAAGGCCCGTTCCCAACTATGTACCATCCCAATCCCAAATTAAACCCAAACCCCAAACCCAAACCCGGTCCATTTCACTCTCCCCATGTTAACCCGGTTTCCAATTGCGCTCGCTCACCTCTTCTTCGACCGCCTCGCAAGCTCATCGACCAAGAACCCGCCGAGCGCAGCGCCCATACCCCCCTTCCCTCCTCCTCCTCCTCCCGACCCTCCACCGCCACTCCTCGAAGACGACTTGCCCCCCCCGCCGCCGCCGCTCTTCTTGTTGAACGCGTCCAGCGCCGCGGCGCCCAGGGCCGCCGTCGCGATCTGCCCGCCCTTCTTCTTCCCGCCCCAGCTGCCCGGCTGGCCCCGCAGGCTGAACGCCTTGGCCGCGCCCGCCTGCACGGCCGCCGCGGCGGCGGCCTGGAAGGCCGGGTTGGTCCACAGGCCCGAGGCGTTGAACCCGCCGCCGCCGGCACCGCCGCCGGTCTTGTCCTTGGCGCCGGCAGCTCCGGCGGAGGTCGTCTTGCTGCGCTGCAGGTTCGGCCTCGGAGGCGCAGGGTCGTCTCTCCGGCCGGGCCCCGGCCTCCGGTCGCGGTCGTACGATGACGACGGCGCCGGTGCTGCGTCGCGCGTCGACGCGCTGCGGCGCATGCGGGGGCCCGGCGGCGGCGGCGGCGGCGGCGAGGGCGAGAGGGAGTGGTGCCGCCGCTGGTGGCGCCTGCTGCTGCGGTCGTGCTCGTAGCGGTCCCCGACCGGCGAGGGCGGCTCCGGCGCCGGCGGCGCGCGGTACGACGACGGCCCGCCTCCTCCTCCTGCTGCTGCTGCAGGTCGGCCGTGGCGCGTCGAGGGCGGGTAGTACCCCGGAGGCGGACCGCCGGCGTCCCCGTCGTCATACCGGCGCCGACCCCGTCGCGGGGGCGGGCTGGGCGAGCGGCGGTACGAGGACCGGCGCCTGGGCGGGCTGGGCGACATCGACGGCGGCGGCGGCGGTCCGCCTGCGGGTCGGCGCGGCCGTGCGCCGCCGCCGCGCATGTCCTCGTAGGGGGAGGGCTCGGCGTAGCTCGACCGGCGGGGCGGCGGGCCGCCGCGACGGGGCGGCGAGTCCTGCCTGGGAGGAGGAGGAGCGGGGTAGTACGGCCGGCGGTCGTAGTCGTAGGGCGGCGGCGGCGCGCCGGCGGCTGCGTAACGGCCTCCTCCTCCTCCCGGTCCTCCGCGGCGGTGCTGGCCGCTGCTCGTCTCGGAGCTCGAGTCCTCCACGCCGTCGAGCCAGCCGTTGACGGAGCGCGTGAGGGGGTCTTCCTTGTACGGGCGTCTGGGCATGGTTGTGTGTGTGTGTGTGTGTATCTTTTTGATGCCTCACGCCCTTCTTCTGTGTTGTATGTTCTGGTGTGTTGTGTTGTGTTGTGTTGTGTTTGTCCTGTATGGGAAAACGTATGTAGCCTTTGCGCAAGGATGTTGTTGTATGGTGATTCCTCTAGTGTGGCACCGAAATCGAGACAGCAAGTAGATGATGGGTGAGTAGGAAAAAGATGGCGATGCGAAAAAAGATAAATAATAACAAAAAGTGGTCTGAGAAAACCAAAAGGCCAAGGGAATCTCGCTGTCCCGGAGCGACCTATCGGGTGTTACGGACAGAGAGAGCAGTGGCAGCGATGCGATGGTGTGACGTTTGAGGCAGGCAAATCGGACGTTGGTTGCGTTCTCTCTCCGGCCAGACAAGCGACAAATCCGCGGTGCTACTGTAGAGAAAAAGAGAGGACGCCTTCCTGGACCGCGGATGGGAATCCAAGTCGCGATGATGCGTTGCCAGTGGCCCGTTCGGACTGTTCTGGTTCTTCTGCAGCGGAGTGGCAGTTGATCTCTCTTGAGGCGAGGCGAGGCGAGGCGAGAGATGACGACAGCAAGCGCTCCGTTGGGCGGGCGGTGTGTCTAGCAATCCATCTGAACCCTTGGAAAATGCAATGGAACAGGGAGCCCAAAATGCACGAACGACGCAAGGACGCAGGAGTTGAAAAGAAAACAGGACGTGGGGATGAGAAGATGAAGAAGCGGATTCGCCTGCGAAGGAGAATGGGGGGGAAAACTCTGAAGTCGTGATTGTCTATGGGCGGTTATCACTGGTCCAGGTCATGGGATCAGGTCGTGGGTGTGGAATGTGCATGTGTGTGTGTGTGTGCTTGTGTGCTTGTTTGTGTGTGGGATGGTGTATGGGATGGTGTATGGCCTGCTTGTTGGAGGAGCAGGCGGTCGCAGTTTAAAAAGGGCGACGATCACATTCGGGCTTGTCGATCAGGTGCAGCACATCAGCCCTTTTCGCCTCGGGAGGGAGACCCCTCTTCACGTTGCAGGAGCACAAGATTGGCCGGTCTTGGGTGGCCTCTTGGTCTGCTCCGTATGGACGATGGATGGATGGATGGATGGATGGATGGATGGTACAGGGCCAAGAGAAGGGGGTTTCGGTCAGGCCAGGCCTGGTCGGGGGGGAGGGTGGCTTTGCTCAGGGTCTTTGGTCCTCTGGTCGTTCGTTCGTGCTTGTGTCTCGCCACCGCCGGTTCTTTTCCTTGCTCTTGTGTGTTTGACTCTCTCCTCTAGTCCTCTAGGGTATTATCTAATGCAGGCCGGCAATGGCATCCATCCAATCCCGTCCCAGAGGAGGACAGGGAAGCCGTGGGGGAAGAAGAGAACCGGCGACCTCTCCTCTGCTCGTGACTGCGGCGGCGGGTACGACGAAACGACGCAGCATGAGATCATATCCAAGGTCTCCAGAATTGTGGGTTTCAAGCTGTTTTGGCCAAGTTTGTGCGGGCGGCGGATGATGGCTAGGATGGGTGGATGGGTGGATGGATGGCCAAAGATGGGGGAATCCAGCTGGGCGATGAAATGGCGGTCAAATCACAAGGGACGAGAAGGGAACCAAGGACGGACCCTGCATCAGCCCTCGTCCTGCACAAGCACAAGCCATGTCTTGAGTCTCGGCTGGCCGTCATTTGCCAGTCGCTGGAGGCGTTGTTGCAGTGCGTGGGACTGGCAGCCAGCACGATGAGTGAGCACGGTGCTATTGCTAGGTATCTCTTACAAACCAGAGCGAAGAGACTGACTGACGGACACGAATCGATTGATTAGCCGTGTCGGTGATATCGATGACTCTCTCGATTTTCAACAGAACTACAAGTACGGAGTACAGACTTACAGCGTGGGGTTTCAGCTCTCCCACACTTTCTTGCGACAACACCCGCAGCGCAACGGCAACCGGCAGAAAACCTTGGAATCTGTTGCGAACTGAAAAACGCCCTAGAATGGCCTCCAGGCTCTAAAAGGCTCGGCACGCCCGGGGTCTGCGGATACTGCCGGGTGGCGGACCTCCCCGGGGGGCGGGCGTCCTGTGTGTGCGGTGCTGGCGGCCAGACCGACTGGAGAGGGAGGAGACAACAACTCCGCCCGCGCATGAGCCACAGGCAGCCAGCTGGATCCGATGGACGCCTCGAGACGAGAAGGGGCAGAAAGCTGGCAAGGCTAGAAAGCTAGAATGTCCGGTGAGCAATGATGATGATGTGACTGTGCGCGGCCCGTTGGTTATCTGATCCCCCCCTCCCCCCCCAATTTGCAAACAAGGTTACTTAGCCCCCGACGATAAACCACCGATCCTGTTCCCTCCCACCGCGAATCGAAGATCCCTTCAGGGTCCCGTACCCTCCTCCTCTTCCTCCTCTTCCTCCTCCTCCATCCATCATTTGCCCATTCTGCTGATAACCAAGCCGCCCCCTGCGCAGGGTTGTTGGCCTCGCCACCCACGCACCCACCCCCCAAAGCGGAAATCTTGTACAACCTCTCCCATCCCATGAACACGCCCTCCACACTTTTCGCTTTGCTGACATCACCCGGTGACAAGGATGGCAAGGGACACTTTCTTCCAGAAAAGAATCCAGGCCTCTCTCTGCAAGGTCCCGCACGCCAGAGCGAAAAGAAAAGGGTGCTGCGATCGTTCGCTGGAAAAGTTGAAACTTGTTCTGCGCTTGCCCGCGCCGGGACATCCCCTCCGATACCAAAACTGCGGCATTACACGACACGACTGCAAAGCTCTGCCGGTTCTGTCTGCATGTCATGTGTGTAAATGTCCCCCGTACGTAGGTAGTGTAGGACCAGGCCCTGACGTAGGTAGCACTGTCCAGGTATTTGGCCCTACCCGACACCCGAGCGGTCGCCATTCAAATTCATGCTGTCCTACTTGGAAAGGCGCATCAGCTGACGGCAATTGCACCGTCCCTCCCGTCGATATGATCATTGATATTGTCTGTCTTGTCGCCTTTCCGAGGGAATGTGCTGAAAAGAAGCCCGACTCGTTGCGTCGCCGCCAGGCAGTCTTTGGGCTTGCCTGGGCGTATGTCCAGCCGTGAGATCATGACGATGCCCAGGCATAACAAACCCAATAAGGAATCAGAACAATTCAGCAATCCGCTCAGTCACTGTGACCAAAGACGGTGCCCTTGGCCGTGCACATGTGCAAGCCTTCAGGGCCGTTGCGTTGGTCCACGTCAGCGACCAAAGCCGTGACCGCCCGGGGCGGTCCGGGACGGTCAACTTCGCAACCCCGCCCGCAACGTCAAACAAACACGCAACATGACATAGGAGATCGCAGAGGTCGAGCAAGGACGTCGTCATTCAGGCTACCGTCAACCCTTTGTATAGTCAAATTGTCGTCGCTGATGGTAGAGGCGATAATCTCAGCCCAAGTACAAGTACAACCACAGGCACAACAGCAAGATGCAAACAGGAAAACCGCTTCCATCTTGGCCAGACTACTTGACTCATGAAATCATCAATTGCATTTACTTCGTAATCCTCGTTCGCCATGGTATCGTCTAGAGAATGCGCCAGTCCGCTCGCCCGCTTGCCTCCAATGAAAACGTAAAGCCCAAAGGGACTCATCCTTCCGTTTGAACCAGATGATCCCCCCAAACCAACCAGCCAACCACTGTCCATTCCTTGTTTTGTCTTGCACCAGGCAAACCAGCCCCTGAAGGCAGGTAGATAAAAAGTCCTCGAGGGAAAGGGAAGGGGGAGGGCCCTCTTGTGACCATGGTGTTTGGCAGGATAAACACCCGCCCTGGCCTGCCAGCCGAGCCCGCCCCAAAGCAAGCGCATGAATCTGGCGACTTTAGCCGCATCGCCTTCTCGTGGAAGCCGCGCTGCCGCCTCCCGGGGCAAAGCTCGGCATATTCGAGTGCCATTCCATCCCAGTGACAGTGACAGTGCCAGCCCGCCCCCTTATCCAACTGCCCGGGAATCTAACCCCCCTTTTGAGTTGATGGCCCGTCTCTCCCGCCCCCCCAGCCGACCCATGAGGCTCGACCGGGGAAAAAAAAAGGGAAGAAACAAGCAAGCCACCTAGTCTCAACCTCCAACCCCACGGCTTTATTCTGGGCAGACTCGCTCTCTCCCCGGTACCGCATACACTTGCCCTCCAAGTACCCCATCCAGCCACTCACTCACTCACTCACTCACTCCCCACAACCCCTGCCATACCGCCAGAGCAGACTCGCCCCCTTGATCCCGGGCAGCCGGCCCCGCCCGACCACGCCGCGGTCCACGAACCCCATCTCGAGCGCCACCAGTATCGCCCTCTGGAAGCGCCTCTTGAACCGCCTCCAGTCGTCGTTGGTCGGCCAGGGGTCGCACCAGCCCTCCTCGTCCTCCGCCCCCGCCCCCGCCGCCCCCGAGCCCTCCCCGAGCAGCAGGCCGGGCAGGTCCCAGAGGTCCCTCTCGTCTTCCTTGCTGTCCTCGCCCGCGCCGTCGTCGAGCGGGTAGTACAGCAGCTCGTTGAGGTGCGGCCGCCGCAGGGGCCGGTGGTTGATGTTGGCCTCGATGTCGAACTTGAACCGGTACGCCTGGTGCACGAGCTGCGTCCGCGGCTCGTAGATCGGCTGCAGCAGCGAGGTATGCGTCGTATGCGTATGCGTATGCGTGTGATTATGCGTATGAGTATGATGAGTATGGTGGTGGTGGTGGTGGCCATGGTGGCCGGCAGTGCTCGCCGCCGCCGCCGCCGCCGCCGTGGCCGCCGCCGCCGCGATCGACCCCGGCGGCGGCGGCGGCGTTATCTGCGGCAGGAGCAGCGCCGGCGGCGGCGCGCACCGAAAGTCAAAGTCGAACTGGAACTCCTGGTGCACGACAAAGATCAACGTCCGGAGCCGGGGGAACCCCGCCAGCGCCAGCAGCAGCTTGCCCATGTTGTTCTTGGACACCTTCCAGCTGAGGACCGGGTGGCAGATCCCCGTGTAGACGCCGTACGAGGTGCCCAGCGCCAGCCGGCTGATCTTGTCCCGGATCAGCGGTATCTGGCCCATGAAGTGCAGCGTGCGGTGCAGGCGCTTGATGAGCAGGTACGGCTCCAGCAGCAGGATGTCGCGCGAGAGGTCCACGAACTTGGTCGTCCCGCCGAGCGTCAGCGGCTTGTAGTCGCGCAGCACGTAGTACCGCGCCTCGCGGCAGACGGCCGCTACCGCCGGCGGCGGCTCCGTGTGCACGTTGGCAAACATCAGGCCCTTCTGCGCCGGCGTCTTCTGCTTGGCGCTCGGCGCGTCCAGCACCTCGTAGACTCGCGGCTCCGGGAGCGAGTACTCCCAGATCATGGACCGTATCTCGGCCGGTAATGATGAAAAGTTTCGAAAGCTTCCAGACATTGTTGTCGTCGGTGCCGTAGCTTGTGAGTGGTGACTGCGGTAGCACTCCATCGTGCTGGCCCACGAGGCCCGTCACTGGCCTTGGTGATATAGACAAATGCTTGCTCTGCGTCTCGGCTCGCAGAGTGGTGTGTAGCCGTGGGCTGGATCTGCTGGCGCCAGAGGGCTGGATCAATCCCTTCGAACCGTCAGATGTGCCCGCGCCCAACCTCCCTCCTCGGTGGCCACGTCAAGATGCTCCACCACCAACACCAAACAACCGCGAGACGGTAATTGTACACCGCTCTTCTAGCAAGCTGGCTGCAATAGCACACAGAGTGATATTGAAGAATATGGTGGCAAGATGGGATCTAATGTAGAAGAGATCGGCTTGGGGAGCGGAGCAAAAGCCACCCGGATGTTCGGTCCTGAGAGGAGGTCTCGCCCGCGCGTCCGGCTGTCGAGTGTCCTCGTGTGGGAAGTACGTACTCTAATAAGACAGACTCTGTGATGCAAGGTTCGGATGGTCGGTGGTAATCAAGAGCACGGTAGAAGAGAACAGAGAGGCCCAGGTGGGAAGGCTTATCAAGCAATTGAGCACCGGAGAGCTGAAAGATTAAAGAGATAATGGGCATAAACCGCCGTGCTGTCAAGATTAACTAATGTTCTAGCTCAATAAGACATGGCAGAAGCCGAAATGAGGGTCAAAGCAGAAGACGGGATAAAAGCCCATGACAAAATTTCCTGGGAAAAATAGGGCATGCCATGGGTTTTGGGTCATGCTGATGAGAGATCCAGCTCTAATCACTTGACACGGACGCCGCGTCAGGAGCAAGGCAACGTACCACTGGGTTGGTTAGATGCTCGTCTAAGCTCCCGGGAGACAACCGGACCGCAGGCAGGCAGGTGAAGGGGGGAAAGGGGGGGAGCAAAGCACAGGGCTTTGCTGTTTCGCCCCGTTGATAGTTGAAAACGAAACCTTCCTCAAAGGGAAACAGCAAACAGCAGGGCGGCACCGGCTGATACTCCAGGGTCAGAGCGGAGGACCCCAGAGCGGACGGCAGAAGTCATTGCGAAGGAGCAGATCGGGGCCAGTGATGATCGGGTTTACTTGCTCAGACTGGTTAGTGGCCCGTGGTCTGTTCATTTCGCAAGAGTGAGTGCCTGGAATCATGAAGCTCCTTGAAAGAGCAACTGCTTAGCTGGCGCCATCAGTTCGGGAACCCATGAGCAGGTTTGCCTGGACCAATGTGGCTCGTGAGCGAGATGGACCAGGGGGGCAAGAGATCTATCGGGAACAAAGGCCTACCAGCTACCAGAAGGGCGGTGGTGGGTGGTGTCCCTCCCTCAGGGATGTTGAATGATATTTTTAGCATGGGGTATACAGGGCCACGTTTTATTGCTGCAGTGATCCCATTCACGAGGCCCTAGGCTTACCGATCTGGGATGGGGAGCAACCGACTGTCCAGGGAGCGTTGCAGTTTTGGCGGACAGCATCACCGGGCTTTGGTGGGGGTCCCTGTCCTGGGAGAGGGGTAAAAAGAATAATATTTGACCTAAAATGGCCTGGTTCGGAACCAAAGAAACGAAGATCAGAGGTACCTAGGCCGGGTAGGAAGGGTGTAGTAGTGAATGTCGCCAGAGCTGAAGTGTGTACGAGCACTGGTCGACGCCGGTGGGCGTGGAAGGGTGCGGACAGAGCACAAGCGGCTAGCTCAACAAGCCTAAGCAGAAGTGGTGTTGAGCAGAGGAAGCAGCACGTCTCGAGGAGGCGTTCCGATGCAGACTGAGCTGAAGAGGTACCCGAGTGACATAGGATGCGCTATCGAAAACGCATTGTGCCAGAGGCTTTCATTGGCAGACAAGGGTGCAGAGAAGCAGACACGGCACAGCGAAGGGCAGTCCCTTTCTGGTCCTACGTCTTGAGATGCGACCCGTCTGTGTCGTATGAGATCACTCAGGACGGAGGGGGCGCAGTACAATAGTTGAGTGTTACCAGAGAGCAGCACTTGCAGGTTTGGAGCGCGGGACAAGGGAGGACCTAGCCGCGATGCGAAGCGAACACTGCACGGTGTCCGTCCCGAGCATCGGGCAAGTTGGGTTGGGTGAGTGAGGCTAGACATGAGTCCCGGGGGAAAATCCAGGGTGCGCAGGTAAATCAAAACGTAGCGTGTTTTGGTGTTGGGGGGTCGTCAAATCAAAGCTTGCAGCCTCGGAAGGTCAGCTCGTAGATTCATTGACGGAGTGCGTGGAAACATCAATGCACCGACACGTAGATCGCCATTGCCGAGTGTCTGACAATGCCGATGCTGAAGGATTTCCAGGCGAGAGGCCTGTCGATCCTCCCAAAGGACCTCTCCCTGGTACGGTATTCGAGAGCACAGCCGGGCCACTGAGCGGTTGAATGACGGAGGAGGGTCAAAGTGATGAAGGACGGCCGAGTAGTTGCAGAGACACCGAGGCCGGCATCGATACCGACATCGACATCGACATCGACATGCAGCATGGCCGATTACCACATGCTGACTGGTGGAGGGGCCAATCTTAACAGACAAAAGGGAATTGCTAATAGGGCGATGCGCTGTACCGTCCGACCTGCCAACCAGCCTACCTACTTAATACGTGACTCGTCATGCTGCGAGGGTCTCACGAGGATGGGCAGCGTGGTGTGTCTGATCGTGCGTGTGATGCCGTGCGCCGTGGGCCGTCGTGAGCTTGGGCGGTCATCTGGGACGCATCGGTGGTCGTCGAATCCGGAAGGCGCTCCGACAGAGGTGGTGTGGGTTCCGCAGTCTGGGTAATCTGCCTCTTGGGAAGGTTGAGCAATGCCATGTTCCAGAACCAGAGCCAGAGCCAGAGCCAGAGCCAGAGCCAGAGCCAGAGCCAGAACGTGCAAGCATGCCGGTTCTGCTCTGCCCAGAGGTTGCATGGCCACTGCTGCAGGGAGCGACGAGACGAGACATGACACTGAACGACATGCAGACGCACTGATGATCCAGTGGGGAAAACAGGAGGCAGAGTGGCAGGACAGGGGGGGGGTGCTTGACAGCATCAGATAATATCCAAGATGACGATGGAGAATTGCTCTGCAGAGCCCTTTCATTTCACCAAGCGCCGAGGCGAGAGAGGCGGCTCACGAAGAGGCGCAGGACCTTTTCGGTCTCGCATTGAGGTGTAAATTGGAAGTATTGCTGGGGAGGCTGGAGAAACCAGGGTACGTGGGCGCTCAAGTGGCATGGAATCAGCTTGCCATGTGGTTTTTGACTTTATCCAGGTCTGGGGTGCGATGATAATTATTGCGCGTATGGAAATTGTGCACACTTGAAATTACAGGCCGTCGTGCTTTCTTTCCTGGTCCAGCGTGATTGCCATTCCCGCTGTCACCTCGCAGACTGCAGACGGCAGGTGGCACCAGCCCGTTGAACTTGCCAGCCAGTACGAAGCAATCATGACTAAGCACCGAGCACCCGCCCCACACTCTCCAACCACCATCGGTATTAAAATTTTCTAGCTCTGGCCCAGCTTTTGCTTTCTCTTTTCCCTTCTTTTTTTCCTCGTGCGGCTGGCATGACATCAAAACATTACCCGTGTTGCTCGAATTCTTCATCTCCCGTGGATTATCAATCGTAGCGTCAGTTGTGCCACAGATCAATCAAATTGCAGGCCGGTCTCCCATCCGTAAAAAATCCCAACCACCTCTCGTCGATGCCTTTTTTCCAAGCATTGATGGGGTGGAGGCGAGGAGATCGGACATATCAAGAGAAGGATAAATCCCCATCTGCTCCAATTCTGGCTGCGAGGGGGGCTTAGGCGTCGCTTCGTTACGTATCAAACCCGTGACGTCTGCTGCTGGATGAGTTGCCCGTCGGCTCCTGAAGCACGAGATTGCTGCCTTGGCATTGCATGCTGCATGTTCTACCCAGATAATCGTCGGTCCTGGTACGTGGATCAGGATCGCGTAGATGGTCATTCAAACATGCAGCCTCGGATCGTGGCCCCCAATTCAGGCATTGCAAGATCGCGGCCAGGGGCTTGAGCTGGAGAACAAGCATCTGGTAAAGCCTGGAGGTTTGTTTGCTCCGCATCATCTCTGGCGCTGATCCGACGCATATCTAGCCTCTCGCTTTCCCGGGATACCGAGTCTGGTGTTTACCTTTTTTCCACCCTGGTTTGGTTCACGCTGGTTTGCCCATCGCTCTCATCGAAACGGATGATCATTCGTGCACCAGCTTATCGCGGACCAAGGAGAGAATTCAATGTCGTGACACCCGAAAGCTCCATCAGATAAACGATTTCAAAGTGGTAACCCTCTGTCATGGGCGCATATCCTCGTAGAGGTTGCGAGTTGGATGTGAGTGTGTGCATGTTCAGCCACTAGAAAGAAAGTACCGCAACCACACTTGCTCGACGCTATCACGAAATATATTAAACAAGTAAATTGCGCATATGCCGCAACGTTAAACTCGGCGAGGATCTATTAATACTACCCAGGCGCCAGGTTCTCACCGTTCGGCGCGGTTGGGGGTCAAGAAGCCTTATATCGTATGGGATGGGATCCTCTGGTCTGCAAAAGTGCTTTCCCCAAAGCGGCTGACGGAGGATAAGTTTCTCAACCCCATGACATGGGATGGGCCAGTTGGTGATATTTTCCACCAACTGGAAGCAACCCGGAAAAAGTGATTGATAGAAAGTAAGCCGCGGCTAGCTCACTGTAGCTCGAACAAATGTCTGACAAGGTTTGAAAAGGGCAAGACACAGGAAAGAAAAAGCATGTGAATGAATATGGCGATGAGGCACCATGTTGGGAACAGATTGCGTCTATTGCTAAGATGGTCGAGCAAAGTCACTCTCTTGTCTTGTTGTTGCTTTGGGCATTCTCTACCTTAACCATCCACACCATCGCTAAAAAGGAAATGATTTTGTCTATAATCTCTCCGCTCATAATGGCATCACTGGCCGTCTCTGTGGTACCTGCCTTGCCAGCCGTCCGTCTCTGACTCTCAATGTCCCTCCCGACTCCTCAGAGTTCTAGAACGCCATCAATGGAAGAAGCCGCTGGCAGCCCACCCTGGTTTTTATTGATTCCCATCCATCCCTTTCCACGCTCATGAACCCGCGCCGCACCCATGAACTTATGAATCTCCTCCGCCTTACTCGCCCGGCTCGTCGCCAATCTTCTCCAGCTTGCCCATCTCGCGCTTCTCGCCGGCGTCGCCAATGAGCCGCAGCCTGTCGATGCGCACCTTCTCCGAGTCGCCGTCGCCCGACACGACAAAGACGACGAGGCTGTTGATGTTCTGGAACTTGACGAACCGCAGCGCCACGCTGGCCGTGCCGTCCTTGTTCCAGTCCTCCTCCGACAGCTCGATGTCCTGCGTCGCCGCCGTGTCCTCGGCCTCGTCGAAGCCCAGGTTGTGCGGCTTGTTGCTGTAGAGCTTGATGTGCCGCGGCCGCATGGGTGTCTCATCGTCGTCGTCGTCCTGGGGAGGGAGGGATGTGATCTATACAAGAGTAGCCGTTAGCTTCTGAGCGCCCCCGTGACAACGAATATCATGATATGTGTATCGGGTGCACCGTACCTGCAGAGTATGCAGCTTGATCATAGACTGGAAGGGCATGAACAGCATGAGCTGCTCGTCCGTGTCGCTCTCCACCCAGTCCTTCTCCTTGCCCTGGCCGCCGCCACCGCCCAGCGCGCTCGGCCTATCGCCCGAGAACAGCACGCGCACCCCTCCGGCGTCCGAGTCGACGTTGAGCAGCTCGCAGCGCGGGATCTCGATCTGGTCCGTGATGTCCCTGTAGTTGCGCGGGAGCTCGGCGCCGCGCCAGCCGCCGCCGCCGGCTCCTCCTGACCCGCTCGCACCGCCGCCGCTGCTGCTGCCGGCGTTGTCGGCCTCGGCCTGGAGCTGCTGAATAATCGACTTGAGCTCCTGCGGGTTCGCGCCCTGGACGCGGTTGGCGACCTTGCCGTCGCGGAAGACGAGGAACGTGGGCAGCGCCGTGATGCTGTAGGTGCTCGCGAGCTCGGGCTGGGCCTCGGTGTCGACCTTGGTGAAGGTGATGACGTTGGGGCGGGAGAGAGCCTTGGCCAGCGACTCGTAGAGGGGCGCGATCTGCTTGCAGGGTCCGCACCAGTCGGCATAGACTGAGAGGGACGACACGGGGAGTGGTTAGCATTCTCAGTGATCCAGTGAGCCCGCAATATTCAGCGGCGCACTTTTCGCGACAAGGTCTTGCCGGGCAACACTGCTGGAGGGTAGATGGGAACCTACAGTCTACTACGACGATCTTGGAAGACTTTAGTAGAGAGTTGAATTGCGAGGTCGACTCGACCGAAACGTAGGGTTTCGACATGATGACGGTTGGGGCTATGACGCCGTGTGCAAAAGACCGGTCCGCAATGCGCTGATGCAAGGATCGCCAAAGGTCCAGAAGGAGGAAGACGAGTAGGAATGTCTGTTTTGTTTGCAAAGGTGAAGCTCTGGAGGGGTAGGCAGGCTACTCCCGTTGCGTAGCAGGCAAAAGAGGTGGGGCGGCCCAAATGCCATGTTGCGCCACTGTTGGTGCATCAGTCACTGAGACTTTAGCAGCCTTCCTTATGTGAAGCCAAATCAAACGTCAAATCATACCTCTTTTCGAGACACTTCTAGAATTGAGTGGCCGACGTCACTGCCCTTTAAATCGTCCATTTTGGTTTTGTTTTTGGCTATTCTACATACAAGAAATCACAAATAGGCGCTCGTAACTGTGGGCTCAAATCCCGATTGCTCTAATAAGATCCCAGAAGAAACTCCGACTAAAACCCCATAGCACCCGTGCCCGTACCGTGTGCATTCTCTCCGTGTCTCTCTACCCCTTATCTCCCGGCTGAGAGGCCCAAGCCTAGTCCCAGATTCAAACTGAAACCAACCTTCACACCCCGACGGCGTGGCTGAACACTTTCGCGGCGAGTTGGCTTAACAGACGAGCCCTGTCGCCTTGCGGTAGGTCCTGCAGCAGTCGAGAGTTAGCACACCCGGCTCGTCCTAGTTCAGTGATCAAGAATTATATGAAAACGACCCAAGCAAACCCGGAAGCTGCCACTTCGCACCAGCTCGGTGCAGAAGTGAAGCCGCCCCAGCAGCACCCTGGCATAACTTACCTGGAAGACGGCGTAGACGCTCTTGCCCTTGGCGTCCCGCACGGCGCCCAGCCGGTTGCCGGCCACGGCGCCGGCCAGCATGCCCGGGACGTTGGCGACGATGAAGCCGAGGGCGCCGCCGCTGACACCGCCGAGAACACCCCAGAACTTACCTGTGGGCTGGTTGTTGCCTTCCTCCGCCATGCCCTCCTCGCGCAGCATCTCCTCAAAGACGTCGCCGAACTGCTGGTCCTCGGCCTGCTGGCGCGCCTGCCCGTCGGCACCGGCAGCGGCACCGCGGCCCGTAAAGAAGTTCCAGGCCCACGAGTAGGTGTTCTGCTCGTTGCTCTGGGAGGCGTTGCCGCCGCTCGAGGCCTCGGCCTCGGCGAAGGGGTCCGAGTAGGAGCTGGAAGAGCCGCGGAACATGCGGCGCTGGGCGTCGTACTCGCGCCGCCTTGTGTCGTCGGAGAGGGTGTAGTAGGCGTCGTTGACGAGCTGGAACCTGCGCGTCCGGGCCTCTCGTTCAGGAGACTCGGCGGGCACCCGGTCGGGGTGGGTTTTCAGCGCAGCACTGAAATTGGGTGGTCAGTCCAAGGCCACTATGGCATACACGACCCTATCAGGCATACCGCTTGTAAGCATCGCGGATCTGCTGTGTTGTGGCGTTCTCGGCCACCTCAAGGATGCCATCTGTTGAGCGTGTTAGTCGCGTGATCGCCGCTAAGAGACGAGGTACTCACAGTAATTTGGTGGTTGTCCGCTCATATTGACGCCTTGAGATCTCTGCTCTCAAATCGCAAGGAAGCGTTGCGAGCAGGTGGTCAGGAAGGAGGAAGAGGCTTGCCAGGCTGAGATGAGATCACGGCGGCGAGGAAGATCACCAAGTGACGGAGCCAGCTGTGGCGCAGATATCCTGTTCCGGCAATCGAACAGGGAAAAGTCTATTTCAAACAAGGAACAGGGAACCCTATCTATTAAAGATGTGGCTAGTAAATGATTGCTCGTAGTGAGAAAGGTGGTCAAAACGCAAAAGGACAGGTTGGAAGCCTGTTGGAGGTCTGAGTCGACGTCATTCGTGTGTGGCGTTAACTTGGTGTGTTATCGCGGGGCCGGCCGTGATTTGGGCCGATAAGAAATTCCTTATCTAATCACAAGTCTCACCAGCAGCCCATCAAATCACATGTCGCTGGTCGTTTGAGATCACAAACCTCAACTAGGATGGCATCTATCCGGATTTCTGTATTTGTCTCGCTCCCGAGATCTCAGTGTCGATATCTAGAATGAACAGAAACGACGTCGAGTGACGTGTGACCTAGCATTTCGTGAACGCAATCCGATGACAAGTCGAGCGCCCTAAAGGGTGTCACATGGAGGCGGAAACGGTCTAGAATCAATGCAAAATAAGCGCCGTTTCAGCGCTACGGCAGCTCGGGAGATTCTGTTGAACCTCGTCCATTCCTCATTCCCGGCGTTGAATGGCTTGTCATGACGTACGTGAAAGCTGGCGTGCACATCCACAAGCACAAGCACAAGCACAAGCACAAGAGGTTGTGAGACTCCCTGCCGGTAATCCGTATTCGCCAACCGGCGGTTCTGATCCGGGTCAACGAAGGAGACGAGGGTACGGGCGAGGGCTTCATTTGCTGGCTGAAATCTTCAATATTGTCTATCCTTCCACGCGCTCCCAATCATCTTCAACAGGGGTCTGAATGCCAACACATGCATCATTCCCCATCGTCCCCATCGATGCCCAATTTCCCCAAGGCTTGGGGACGAACTTCTTCCCCCCCTCCAAACCAAGCCAAAAAGCCAAGGTAACGCAGCCTGAACCCAACACCCAAGCAGCACCCTTGCCTGCAGCTTTGGCTTAGGCAGGTACCTGCAGCCCCTGAAAAGAGTGCTTGCCCCTCACCCAAATCTCCCCCCCACCTGGAGCTGCCTATTCCTCTTGCGCCGGGTTTCCATACATAAATCCCATGACCTCCAAATGAAGGGAGTCATGATATGACTTGCTTTGTTCCACAACGTGCGCTTTTCTTTTTTCCAGGAGACTCACGGTTCTTCGTTGCTCAACCGTCGGCGATCCTCTGAAACTTTGAGCTCAAAGAAGGGCCCTCCTGCTGCCTCTTCTCTCTCTCTCTCTCTCTACTTGTCGACTGGCCTAAACCCGATTGACAGCCAACGTACAGTAGTCTGCGACTTGACATCCACCGGCTACGCATGCATCTTGCCGGCTAGCCACAAAGTCGGTTCACTTCTGGGAATTCCTTTGACAATCCTGGTGCTTTCCCTGGGTCTGGTCTGCCCTGCCCACCGCTCTTTCATTCAAATAGAGGAACCCCCTTTATTCACGCCATTCCTTTGTTGAGATTCTTGTCGCCCCCCGCCAATACGGAGAGAGAAACCCGCGAGCTGAGCTGACTGGCCAAACAAACGGATCAGCCCTCCGTCGAATACTTAGCATAGCCAAATATAAAGCAGATTTGTTCTTTATACCTCGATCTTCCACGCCTATATTCAGGCAAATACAAGAACAGTAGCCCGCGGCTCTGCTCTCCCTCGGATCGCTGCTGACCATTCACACACACGCGCGCACGCACGAGTCTCTGCTTGTGGAAGACGGATGAAGAAAGGAAGCAAGCAGCCTTCTTTCTAACATCGCATCACTACTGCAAGCCAGCTTGGCTGAGCACAGTCAGCCCTGTCCATCCTTTCATCACACAGTCAGCTAACTTTCTACCCTCCTCCGTCAAACGGCTCTCGTTGCTGACGCACAGCTGACAGACAACCTCTCTCTCTCTCCCTCAATGACGACCATGGTCCAGTCTCCTGCAGAAATGCAGATGCATGACGACCTGGCCACCCTGCTCGCCCAGCGGCTGACTCTGGGCCCGGCGATCCAGCAGCAGCAGCAGCAGGCCCCGCAGCAGCAACAGCAGCAGCAGGCCGAACCGGCGGCGGCGACGCAGATCACCTACTCCATCTCCCAGCACTACCACCATTCGGCACACATCGCCAAGCCGTCCGCTCCGGCGCAGCCGCCCGCGCCGTCCCCCGCTCAGGACGCAGCAGCAGGCGACCTCCTCCAGACGGCCCAGCTCCTCGCCTCCCACGGCGTCAACCCAGAGGCCCTCTCCCCGGCCCTGGTCGAGCTCTTCCGCACGGCCGACGAGCCCCTCAAGACGGGCCTCGTCGGCTTCTGGCGCCTCCTGCCGGAACAGCAGCAGCAGCAGGGGCAGCAGCAGTGCTTCGTGAGCCCGCAGAGCACCGAGGAGATGACGCGCCTGTTCCTCCTGGCGCGGGAGCAGCAGCGCTCGCACAGCGCGCCCATCATCAGCCTGCAGGACAGCAGCTCGGGCCGCTGGCCCGCCGGCGGCGGCGCCGAGGAGACGGAGCCGTACATGCTCTCCGGGTACGAGCAGATGGCGCGCCGGGAGTACGAGCGGCAGGCCGCCACGCCCAGGGCCGCCGCCGCCGCCGCGACGATGGTGGACGCCTACTCGCCCCTCGGCTCGGCGGTCGGCAGGGGCAACGGCGCCGGATACTCGGCGGCCACGGACCCGGTGTACAGGATGATGAGCGGCGGCGGCGCGCAAGAGGAGTGGGCGCGGCAGCGGCAGCGGCAGCAGCAGGCCATGGAGGACCAGTACGGCGCGCTGATGCAGATGCGGGATGAGGAGATGGAGCTGTGAAGAGAAAGGAGCTCCCTCCTTCTGTCCTGCTCCAGCATCTTTGAAGTCTTTGCTTTTCAAAGCTATTTGTTTCTTTTGTGAAGTGAAGGATAATACTTGGAGGAGGAGTGGAGGAGATTGTCCACTGGCGTTGCGTGGTTTTGATTCCCCCTTTTCGTTGTTGGTCTGCATTGTCACATCGCCCAGAGTTTCCCAGAGCACAGCATCATGATACCTCCCTTTCCCTCTTTGTTTCCCGCATTATACTACATCACTGGCATGGGTTTGCGGTCTTCGTTTCTTTTGTAAAGAGGGCGGTCAGATTGGTCCCAGTTAAGCATGGATGGAATGGTCTCATGCGTTTGTAATTACAGGCAAGCATACAAGTACCAAGACAGACAATAGCAACCTGCGGTCTCCCCTCTACACGACATGGCTATTGACCATGACGAACGCCACATGTGAACATATTCAAAGGTCTTTCCGGATATCACTGCTGTCCTGATCCTGATCTATATCTGCTGTGTTTAAACTTTGCTGCCACACCATCGCCCCCCTTGGGCTCCTTGTTTCCCATTCTTTAATGTACACTCACACACACACACGCACGACTGTGGTTGTCTCAACGCCCATACGCCTGGTGGTTTCCCTCTCTCTCCGTGCCGCAATGCCTCACCATCGCCGATGCCTTTATAATTTTGCTTTGTGATTTACTTCTTCTTGCCCTTGCGCTTGTTCCCCTTGCTGCGCCCGCCCTGCGCCTGGCTGCCCGTCGTCTTGGCCTGGCCCAGCGAGTCGGTCGACCTGTCCAGCATCTCAAAGTCTTCGGCCGCCGAGTCGGTGCTCGGCGTGGCCACAGCCTTGCCGGGCTCCGACGAGTCATCGTCGACTTCCTCTTCGAGTTCCTCGTCGTCCTCGTCGGCTCGCTTGGGGCCGAGGACGCGGCCGACGGTGGCGCCGTAGGCCCAGACGGGCAGGCGGACGAGGGCAGTGTCGCGAATGGTCGGGCGAGCCAGTTCGTTGGGCTGTGCGTGGTGGTTGATCATGTTAGCATTCTAGATCTAAAGCAGTCCTGTATATATATATATGAATAACCGAAAGAGTCAACAACTCACGTCAAGCAAGAACTCGCCAACGTTGCCGTCCTCGTCCTCCTGCTCGAGGTACACATCGCCCAGCGAGTCGACGACGAGGATCTTGCCGTTCTCAGCAACGACCCGCTTCTTGGCGCCCGTGGGGCCGGCGCCCTGCAGCGCCTGCTGCGTCGGGGTCGCGGTGCCGCTGCCCGCACCGCTGCCGGGGGCGCCTCTGCGTCCCTTGCGCCCGCCGTTGCCGCTCTTGGCCTCGCGCTTGTCCTCCCTCTCCTGCATGCGCCGCTGCTTGCGGTTCAGCGCGACGGGCCGGCCGTCCTCGTCGGCATACGCCTGCTGCTGAGGGGCCGGCGGCGGGGCCGGGGCGGCGGCCGCCTCGCCGATGCCCGGGATGTTGGCGCCCAGGTTGTCCCCCCACGCGGCGTGGCGCGCAAACCGGATGTAGCGCTCGACGAACTCGCGCTGGCGCTTCCAGCCCATGTACAGGGCGAGGTAGTGGGCGCCGCCGCCGACGAAGAGGAACAGGCCGAACATGACGGTGCCGAGCCCCGGCCGGTAGCGGTTGTAGTAGTAGCCCGTGCCCTTCCAGACGGGGAAGCCGCTGCGCAGGAAGTGGTCGTAGGTGTCGCGGCCGGGCCCGCGGAGCACGTTGGCGACGATGCTGAGGCGGGCCTGCTGCTCCGAGGCGCGCTTGATGGCGGCGCGGACCTCGGCCTGGGTCGGGGCCTTGGCGACGGTGGCGCCGGCCTTCTTCTTCTTGCCTCCCCCTGCCGCTGCGGCGGCCGCCTTCTTGGCCTTGGCGCGCTCGGCGGCGAGGTTGCTCTTGACCTTGTCCGGGTGCAGGGCGCGCGACTTCTTGCGGTAGGCCTTGTTGATGTCGTCCATCGAGGCCGAGGGCGGGACGCCGAGGAAGTCGTAGAAGGTGACGCCTGGGCCCTCGGCGGCGGCCAGCTCATCGCGGACGCGGAAGATCTCGCGGTCTGTTTGGGGAGGAGGAACAGTGTTAGCCTCGCTGTAGCGGACAGTCTGCCGCACCGTATCCGTTTAGAACTTACCCTCCTTGGTCCATGCCGCCGTGAGAGGCGTCAGGCAGGCCAAAAGGCCGATTGAGAGCACTGAGAGCTTCATCGTTGCATGGTATGTAGGTTGGGCGCCGTGGGGAGTGTTGTGGTTGTTGTTGTTGTTGTTGTTGAGGAAGCCGAAGCGCAGTCAACGGGTAGGTAGATGAATGTAAAACAAATAGCAGAAAACTTAGGGACACGCCAGGGATCTTCCCAAGCAAAGCAAGGATCCGGAATAGAACAGACGATCAGAGGGCAGGTCTGTCTATGATGAACCGTCTTCCTCCTTTTTTTGGGACATGCAGGGAAAAAAAAGTCGAAAAGGCCAATGTGTCGAGTACAGCCCACCGGCGCCAAGAAACAGGCCTGGCTGGTCCCTGGGGACGCCAAGGTGGCCACTACCGTGTTTGGGGGAGGGCGCTAAACCAGGTGCGGGAAGCTCCAGACAGCTCAAACCAGGGAGGGGGCGGCCCAGTCGCGGCTGTCTCCAAGGGTTTCCCAATTTGAGACAAGCCACATCTTCTCTCTTGGTCTCGACTCCGAACAGCCAACGGCTGAAATACATACAGCCTCTACTCGGCTGGACTGCGACTTACCTCGTCACTATCGCCGTCAAGGACCCCTGCCCAACATGCGACACTAGGAGGAGAATGACTAAGATTGAAGATTGTGACAGTCGACGCATGTTTCTCAGTAGACAAGCTCGTGGAAAATAAGTGACAACCAACCTCCGTTAATTCTTGCTAGGATGGCATCTGGCCATGATCCATTTGATAGTTAAAGTACTCTATCTCAGATACATGTTTGCCTTTAAAAAGGAAATCAGTAGATGAAAGCCAAGAGAAAGAGGGAGATGGATGAGAAAGCCAACAACACTTATGTAGGGGAAAAGCCGAGTTACACCTGCTGCCCTCCTATGTAATCTACTACCGGCAAAGCTCCCTACACCTGCAACACTACTAGACAGACAGTTAACAGTAGAGGTGTAGTTGCTGCTCTTCAAGGTATGGAGGAATGAGCTTGGCCTTGAAAAGTCAAAGTGCAGCGGAGAGGGGGCTCTATAGGCATTTCGAAGATGCAGCCCTTACTGAATTAACAGGTGGGATTCAGAACAAAAACAACAAAAACAAAACCCCTCAGTAGAGGCTAGGATTCGCACTTGTTCGCTGGGAGCACATGTTGTCCTGGTGAACACAGAAGGGTTGGCTGTGGTTGTGGTCAACTTCCTGAGGATATTGCATGTAACTGCAACCAGATGGTTGTCTGTTGATGATGTAGGAGAGTTATAGAACTACGCCCTGTACACCACCCAGTAACTCCTTAATTGCAAGTGCCTACAACAGCGTACTCTTAGAAAACGGGTTGTTGAGACACTTTGTGTCCTCCAAGCAAATTTGGCAAAGATAGCGAGGACGCCCTATCCCATTACTAGCCAGCACCGTTGTCCAGACCCTCCACCTGCTTGACATCCTCCTTACACCGTTGTTCATCTAACTGGAACTCAATGCGTGTATAAAACCTATGGATGAGCCCAGCTGGCACCAGTAGATGTGGGCAAGCACAAGCTTCGTGAGATATCAAGCTGCCGACAGCATACGCTTGTGCAACACAAGCCAATGCTTGAATAGGCACGGTCGCTTAGTCTTCGATGAGTGTAGCTGTGTGATGTGCTCATGTCATGGCATTCCTTTATCACACCTGGACATGCTTTCACCCAGAAGTTGGGCTTAGCACTGAGCTACCTTGTGTACCGGCACCGCTGTTCCGGGTTTCATTTCCGGCGCCCTCTCACTGGACAGAACAAGAGAAAGGCCGCAACTTGGCAGAAGGGGCCGCAGATATTGACCAGGAAACATGCTCTATTGAGAGCTTGTAGTCTTGGTTAGTGGGTTAGGTATAAATTATATAATAGCCCAGAGAATGCTGGTAGTGCGCCAAGACCAACCTCGCTGGATGGCTGAATCGTGAGAGCTCTCGGGTGGGGGTTTCTTCAAGGCGGGCGGTGGATCCGACCCGGCCAACTTACGTAGTTGGCTCAAGCTGGCTGGAATGGTGTAGGATTGGCGGGTTCAAAATTGGTCCCCTAGGCTTTGACATATGAAGATGCCAGAGGGAATCCTGGCAGAACGAATTACTCGTGGACAAATGGCAACGTGAGGTGTGGCTGGGCTCATTGCTGGCCTGTGTCGGCAAGCTCTGTGCAAGTACGTAAGGTAGGTAGGTATGAAGGAGGCAATACCTCGGGCAGGGACCCTTCAATGGCTAGACGTGGGTTCATTGGATGGCGATGCCGTTGACGCCCGATCCGAAGACGAGGACGAGGACGAGGATGAGGAGCAGCTCAGCGAGTGTGACGGATCTCTGGCCAGATCGGATCGGAACCTACATTTGTCGATCGACAGGGCGAGCCGGCTCACCGCATCCAGAGCTGGCAGAGTCCTACAGGAAAGCCTTGAAAAAGGATTCTCCGCTCTGACTTTTCTGAATATTCCGATTCGCCCACCAGCTCAGGCACTTCCCTGCGAGCATGCATAATAGGCGAAGGAGAGGGGAAAAAAGTGTGTGGTGCTGGTACGTAAGTAAAGCTGGGATGGGATGCCCCGCCGCTGACAAGTCACCGCACGGCAAACGCAACAACGCTCGAGCTAAGGTGCCTTGGGTGCCAGCACGAGCAGAGCTAAGAAGCTAAGAGAAACAAAAAACATGCTGGGAAATCCCTTTCCCCAGAATAAAAGTCCCAGCGCGGGCTCTTCCTCTCCTCCAGCCTCTTGCTCCTCTCCTCTTCCTCTCTCTCTCCCTTGGGAGCAATTCCTTCCTCACCTCGCCCTACCGTTCCTGGAGGGCTGAAGAAACTCTTCCACCGTGTGCACTCGTCGAGGGCGACGAGGAGTGCCTGAGACGACATCCTCCCACTCCCAGAGGAGAGAGAGTGTGGGGCAGCAGCTTGCCCAGCGTGCCCAGCTTGCCCGTGCCCCGGGTGAAGTCGGTGGGGAAAAAAGCAGCGAGAAGTTTCAGAAGGCAGCAAGCAAAAGCAGAACAGGCTGTTGTGGTGTGGTGTGCCTGACTATCGCTGCTGGACTGGGACTGAACAACTTGAGATTATTTGGAGGTGAGTATCATCAACACTACCTCTACCTGCCTCTTGATTCATCACCCCCTACGTGTACCCGATGCACTTTTGCAGCGGACTACGCACGCACGCCCATGGCCAAAGAGGCGAGAGGCGATTCGATTTCAGGACCAGCACGAACGCGTATGGCACCGCGTACTACCAGGCCAGGCAGTAACATATTCTGGCGCAGATTGGACTAAGACATCGCCATTCTTAGCCACCTTACGCAGTCCTTCGACCTCTGCTTTCGCACGTGCGAGGCTCGTGGACGAAGCAAGGATTGAGGTACCTACCTAGGTAGGTAGTCGATCCATATTCTTTCCTGGGCAGAGGTACATCTTTTCTCAAATTACGAAACTTGGGAGCCGGGTACGTACTACAAGTAATATTCCCTTCCCAATTCTGGCAACCACCCCCTTGACTCGCCCTACGCGACTGCCGACTGGTCAGCTTTCGCGATCCTCAGTGGAGCAGCATTTTATTTTTATTTCCCCCCTTTCGTACCTCCGTACCTTCGTGTTTTTTTTAACACATGCATTCATGACAGATCGCCGAACAACCCTGAGTTCGTTCACCATCAACCTCGTCGCATTCCGCGCTTTCTACAGCCACAACCATATCCGCTCCTCCAGCACTTTTGGCACGACTTTCTAGCCGACCTCTCAATCATCTTTGCCAGCCAAGCAGAACATTCTTCTAAGCCAGCAAAGCCAGCAACTTGCACAAGGCCCAGCTTAAGCGCACCTCCTTCCACCCTCATCCCTTGGATTCCCAATTCACCACGACAATGGCCCGCATCAACATCCCCATTGACGTCTTGACGTCGCGCCTCAACCTCGGCGACCGTTTCTCCGGCCTCACCTCCGGCAGTCTGGGCTCCAGGTTCGCCAACATCCGGCCCCTCTCCGAGTTCTTCGACCTGAAGCGCGTCTCCAAGCCCCAGAACTTCGGCGAGGTCCAGTCGCGTCTGAACTACAACATCAGCTATTTCTCCAGCAACTATGCCGCCATCTTCGCTATGCTCGGGGTCTACGGCCTGCTGACCAACTGGTGGCTGCTGTTCGACATCATCTTCGTCGGTATCGGCATGTTTGTCATCCGCAAGCTCAACGGCCAGGACCTCGTCATTGGCAACTTCCGCGCCACAACTTCCCAGTTGTGGACCGGCATACTGGTCATTGCCATTCCCGTGGCTCTGATTTCGTCGCTCTTCTCCCTCTTCGCGTGGTTGATTGGCGCCAGCGGCCTGACCATCCTCGGTCACGCTGCTTTTATGGACAAGCCCATCGATGAGGCTTTTTCAGGGGAGGCGGTCTAGGTGGTCGGCCGCGAGCTCCCAAATTTGCGCCCCTTTGGGGAAGACCACTGAGGCGCGGGCGGGGGCGACAACGGGCCGGCACGGCGTCGGCCCAGGACCTGGCGGGCGAGCAGCAGCAGCAAGATATGTGGGGAATGGCCCGGCGTCTCGTGGAGGAACTGGACAGCGATGACACGGATACACAGGGCGTTGGTTTGGCTTCTGCAACGGGTACTAGACGGTTTGTTAGCGATCCATTGAATTTCACGGGCATTGATCTGGGCGAGGGTCCCTCGTCGACGGCGGCCGCCGTGCCGCGGCAGCGTGCGTCTTATGCACACCCCTTCTCGGACGACGAGGGCGACTCGACGTCAGAGGAGGATTCGGGAGAAGACCTGGAGGATGATGGCGAACTGGGCCTTGCGATGGCGCGGGACGAGGAGGAGGCCCTTGTCGAGTCGGCGCTGGCACGAATACGCAGGGCGCAGGCCAAGGGCCGGAAAGAGGTCAAGCTCAATAAGGAGGAGCTGGCCGCACTCGAACGGCGGCGGGAACGGATGCAGAACGAAGAGGCTCAGCGTAGGAGGCGCAAGGAGAAGGAGCAGCGGTTCGCCGTGCCCATCTCCCAGCTCGAGCCCTCTTCGCGCAAGCAAACGAAGAAGAAGTCCTCGAAGCAAGCTTCTCCCACCAATTCGGATGACGGCCTGCCCAACCACCCCACGCCGGGCACTTTTAGGAAGAGCACCGACTTGGAAAACTACCCTCCCATCGGCTATTTCCCGCCGCCCAACGCGTCTCGATCTCGGCCTCGATCCGGCACAGCTGCTTCCTACCGGCCTCCGAGCCGTGGACACCGCGAGCGCAGCGACTCGCCATTCAACTATGCCTACGTCAATCAGCAAGCCCCAGGGAACCCGCGCCACGTCTCGGACACCACCACCGCCTCGCGGCCTCGCTCCTCTCTTGGAGCGATGCCCCACGAGGAACGTTGGGTGCCCAACCTCGGCGCCTCAGCGTCGGCTCCCTCGGTGCAATCTTCTCGCGTGCAGCAGCAACCGCAATTCGACCCGTTCCAATACATGACGGGCGGGCCGCGGACTCCCTACCACGCCCCCGGCGTTGCCTCACGGCGGCACATGTCGGGCCCGCCTGGCAGCCAGGGCGACCCCGGCGGCTATCTCGCCCCGCGGGGCTACCCACGCGCCGATAGAAGCGGCAGACGGGTGCAGTCGATGGGCGCTGCCGATGAGACGACGAGCGAGGAGGAGGACGAGGATGATGACGACGATACCACGAGCGACGAGCTGAATCACGGTGCCAGAGTGCGGGACCGGCCGCGCAGCCGTGAGGAGATCGAGGTCATTGAAGTGGAGCGCAGTCCCGAGCCAGAGCCGGAGCGGGAGGCGGCGCCTGTTAAGAGCAAGAAGTCGTCAAATAGCTCGTCGCCGGTCAAGAGGAAGCCTGTTTCTGGCGGCGGTGGTGGGGGAAGTTCGAGTCGGAGGAGGAAGGGGAGGTAATGCGGTCAAGATGAGACGTCTCGAGAAGCAGGAAACTGCCCAGACCCATGCGTGAAATGAAATGCCCCGTGTTTTCTTACTTTTCTCTTTCTTGCTTTGGCAAGCATGCAAAACGGATAGAATTTCTTTTTAGTGGAAGCTTGTAATTGATGGATCGCGCTGCCACACTTTGGACTTTTGATGTGAATGCCATGGAGATTGACTATATGTCCCTGATTGACGATGATCTATGAAACAAACTGCCGCCGTTTTGGATATCCCGTCGGAAGAAGAAAATATCGAACATAAAAGCGCCCATGCCAGACTTCATCGTATAGCGATGACCGGGGAGGCTCGTCGAAGAGAGAATAGTATCGTAACACATTTGAACGCCAAATATCCATCCTGTCCCAGCACTCACTTACCCTTGTTCTCGAATCTCGGCCGGCTACTATCCTCTCCACACACTCCTTCCGCCATCACATCACATCTCAAGAGAACATCTTGCCTACACTCCCGAACATATCCCCCCATCCACCACCTCCGCCTCGGCTGCTTCCGCCGTACCCGTCGTAGTCCCTCTCAAACATCTTCCTCTCCCACTGCATGCCGCCGTCGCGGCCCCTCTCGAGGTGGACCGACGAGTTGCCGCCGCCTCCCATGCCGCCTCCCATGCCGCTGGCCATGCGCACGGCCTCGCCGACGAGCCCGATGCCGTCGCCGGACATGGCGCGCGCGCCGACGCCGAGCATGCGCTCGAGCCCCGCGGGCATGCGCAGGCCGAAGCGGGCGAGGAGGGCGGTCAGGGCGCCGCCCGTGACGAGGGGCATGACGACGAGGACGAAGACCTTGAGGGGGTGGCGCCTGGCGTAGTGCAGGAGGTCGCGCAGGAGGCGGCGGAGCTTGCGGTAGGCGCGCTGGACGAAGGACTGGCGCGGGGAGCGGCGGTAGTAGGATGGTTTGCCTTTTTTTTTTGGACACGCAGATGTGTGTTAGAGAAGGAACGGAAGGATGTCTGTGGGGAGGGGAGGGTAGGGGAGAGAGAGGGAAGGCGTCTTACTGAAGCCGAAGAAGCTCCTCGAGCTGACGTTGGGCAGGGAGAAGAAGCTGGCCTTGCTCGAGTTGTGCTTGTGGTAGTGCGAGTCGCCGCCGGTGCCGAAGATGGAGCCCAGGCCGCCGCGGTCGCGGGAGCGGTCGCGGGAGCGCGACCTCTCGGAGCGGGAGGACTTGTGGTGGTGCGACGACGACTTGCGGTGCTTGCCCGAGGAGGAGTGGTGGTGGCCGTGGGAGGACTTGCGGGAGATGACGGACGAGCCGTCCCAGTTGTCGAAGAAGCCCATCGTGAACACGGGAGACAGGTTCTCTGATTGTGATTTGGTGTTCTGCTGTTGTTCGAAGACCGGAAGTGGTCGTTGTGGGTTGGTCCGGATTGATCAAGGCTGGACAGAGACGGTATCAGGCTGGAGCACAGCTGGCGAACGGGGAGCTCTGTCAGCTTCCAATGGGGCAGAAGCTGTGCTGGGCTGTTTCTGTGTTGCTCTTTTACTTCCAGGTGCGTGGGGGGGTGCCAAGCCAGCGTCGAGATATGACCTGCAGCTTTGACCTGCAGGTGTGTCGTGATGGGCGAGGCACAAAAGCGGATCGATTGGGTGTCCTGCTTTTCTCCTTCACCGCAATTACAACAGAGAGGGAGGAGGAGGAGATTGCAAAGCGGAATCACAGATTTACGAAGCTATTCTTTGTGCTGACCCTCTCCCATCCACTCACCGCCGCGCCGCCGGGGGGGGGGGGGGGGGGCGAGCAAGGAAAAGAAGAAGCCGAAATGCAGAAGGCTGGGGACGCAATCGAATTGTACCGGGATTGCTCGCATGGTGCCGGTGGAGAGGGTTTTTACAAGTAATACCTAGTGGGCTCCAGAGCGCCCGTAGACTGACCCTGTTATTGGTCCACAGGGGCGCAGGGGAGACTCAGGGATCCGCTACGGGACGGGCAGGGGTCCGTTAGGAGGGCTTTTTGGTGTTTCGGGGGCGGGCAAGCGGGCTGGGTCTCATGTTTAAATCGGGAGGGCTAAGAAAGAGAGAGGGTTTTGATGGATGGATTGGATGGGGATGGGAGTCTTTGCGCATTTTGAAGGCTACTTTATGGGGGGGTAGCGGGATGAGTGTATTGGCATGTGAGGAGTGAAAAGCTTCATAGCATTGGTTGAAGCTGGCAATCCTTTGGAATTGAAGTTTCCTCGGGCTGTACTTGTATGTATGCCCCTCTGCAACTGGGCAGCTTTTCGTCCTTCAGTCGAGTCGAGGTGGATATTGTATGGCACCATGCAGACACCCTGTGTTCAGAGTGCAACCCTGATTACATCCATAGATAACTTTTCTCTGTGCAGATACAGATATCCAAAGGATTTGAGAGCGAGTTGCTCTTCTAAGGTTCTGTTGTGAAATGCATGGCAGGCTTCGGGGCATGCTTGTGGTTAATCTCGACTCCTTCACACACAAGAAGTCACGGATAATGCAATTCTCCATCCCCTATTTGACCAACCTTGAGTTCTACATGTACTTTGCCCAAGGGGGGATGGATGAATTAGCCTGCACTCAAGACCTTTGATCAAAAGTACTTTAGCAATGTTGTCCTTGCGCTTATGTGTATTCTTGTGGTGGTGATTACGAAGCAGGTGACGAGGTGGGCAACAAGACCAAGGCAGCAGGGATGACAGTTCGCCTCGTGAGCACACGGTCGGTCTGTCTGTCGTGCGTGTCCAGTAATAGAGTCTGCGACCACGTCAAAGCCTCGTATTTCCTTGGCAGCCCTCGGGTTATCTGAGGCCAAGCCTGTCTCTGGATACGGTCAAGAGTCGCGTGTAAAGTAGGTAGGTATGAGCCACGATCGTGATGGGCGAGCTGTTGGGCTGTGCACTGTGCACTGCGCACTGTGACCAGACCAAGAAAGGAGGCTGGAGGATGCACAAGGGCAGTCCGCTCTTGTGAACACAGCGCTGGCAGTGTTACTGTGCTGCGCATTCTCAATCATCCTCGGGACTTCTGCGAGCGAGTTATATTCCTCCTGTGCGTGTCAAAACCAGCGCTGCGACAGTTCGGTCTGGGTTGGGACTTTGGAACCCCCGCCACTGTTGGCGTCACAGGGTCATGCAAATACCTGCCTACCTGTACTTAGGCGGTAGCGAATACGTTCTCTCCAGTGCAATCCCGCCTCTGAATGACTGCCTGTGTCAAGTTCCATGTTGCAGGTGACACTAGCGCGCCTTGACCACCTAACTAGTCTTGATTTACTTGTACAGCAGACAGGCAGAGGGCCAAAAAGAGGGGGCGCCGCCGCTAAATTAAGATCCAACCCCACTGCGCCAGAGGAGATACAGCGGCAGATGCGCGCTTTTGCTTGCAGTCTCGAGTCCCCCTCCCCTTCTTCGTGCTCCGTCATTTTCAGGTACCAACGACTGGATTGGTTTGGGACTTCACACCAGCTCTGCTCCATTCGCTCCATTCCATCATTCCCCGCCCGCCGTCCGCCACTGGACATTTGATGGATTCAGGGTTGCCTTTGCAACTGAAAAGCCGCCAGCCAACCAGACCGAGCCTGTCTCTACCGCTGCCCTGGGTGAAGAGGAAGCCAGAGGAGCCAAAGAGCGAGAGAGCAAGAACAGCAGAGCGCAGACAGACCAGAGGAGCGACAACGACACCATCACCACTCTCCCGCCGCCCATGTCTCGACCACGGCACTCCCCCTCTGTTTGATGTTCTCTTCTCTATCTTTCTCTTCGTCTCTCGACTTTAGTATATCTGTCTACGCCAGTTTCCTTTAACCCCGCCGCTACTGTTTAGACAGCATCGCTTTCCCGACAGCTTCATCACCACTCTTCCTCCTCGCACTCTTGTCGGCTGACGGTGCCGCTGCCGCTGCTTCCCGCGATGGGCAACATCGCCAGCAGGCCCGACGAGGCCGCTCCCCTCTTCTTGCGCGACCAGAGTCGGTGTACGTACATGCCTCCTCGCGACCTGCCCTTCATATGGAGAGGCTCCTTGAGATCGATCCGCTAATGCTAATGTGGCTTGTGTCCTCTCCTCAGTATCGATATCGTCCCTGGTCATCTCGAACCCACGCCGCTCCTCCTCCATCCACATTGTTCCCAATGCATATCCTGCTACCAGAGTATCAGCATCTCGCACAGGCGGCGACAGCAGTCCCATAGAGTTCATACAGGTCTGTGCCCCCTTCTCCCAGCTCACCTCCTGCCTCCCCTGCGACGCACCCCATCGCTCCTCACGCGCGACATCGCCAAATACTGACTTCGGAAACCCCCACCTCATAGGATCCGGAGCCGCCAAACAACCCCCTCTCGGCGCCCGGGCTTATTCTGAAACTGACCAACGACGACGAGATTCTCTTCACCTTTACCTTTATCATCCGACAGGCGCAGCCTGCTTCGCCCGCTCTGCAGGCTTCCTCTACCGCCAACCCCGATGCCAACGGCTCTGCGATCGACACCCTGATCACCGGCCTGACCCATGTATATGCCTCCACTCCACGCGAAGTCGAGAACTTGGTGACGCGCGAATTCCATGCAGACCCCAACCTACACAAGAACCCCAACGTCGAACTCGTTGGCGACTTTTCGACAGGCGGGAGCCCTTCGGTTTCCTTCGAGTGGACGTGGAAGTGGAAGCCGCCAAAGGGTACCGAGGATAGAGGTGGTGGATGGCGAAACTCTTGCAGCGTATGTTGAATCATCCGCTGCAGTCGTTGGATCGCTTTAATGCTGACTTTGCGCCTGCCTTAGTTTGTCGAGTACGACCAGAGAGCACATCGGCTGCACACGCTAGCGAGCTTTTCCTTCTGGGTGACAAGTATGTGCTCTGTCATGGGAGGCACACCTTCGGGCTTCGGTGTGTATAAAATATTCTTCTGAACGGTGTGCTGATTGACTCTTCCCTAGATACGAACCCGTACCTTAGCCAACCCAACTCGCCGCAACCACCCTTCCTCCTTAGCGCCGCTCCCAAGATTCGAGTCGCCTCCAGCCAGTCGGTCGAGTCCCGCATCAGCGGTGCCGATGCCATACCAGAGGAGCCCCCGTCACCACGAGCCCTCGCTCCTCAAGATCCCCCCAACAATGGCAGTCTCGCGCCCCAAGCACCGCTCCCAGCCGCCACCGAGGCAGTCAAGGTCGATGTTACGTGCCCTCGCCCTGGCGAGGATGTTGTGGTCGCCGACGATGGTCCCGTGTTTCGCGCGACGATCAAGGCGCTCGAGCAAAAGACGGGCAGCATGAGGACCCAGATGAAGAAGGTCATCAAGAAGGCTGAGGCGGCACACACTGCCCAACTCGAGGCCAACGATGCCATGGCCGCCTTTATGGATGCCCTTAAGGAGGTTTCGTCCACAAATGCCAACGCGGTACAGCCAGTCATCGACCACTACTTTGACAAGATCGCCCGCGAGATCTTGGCCTACGAGAGGCAGAACGCACAGAACCTGCAAAAGGTCATCGTCGAGCCCATGAACAAGCTCTACACGCTCGATATCAAGCAGGCCGAGGCCAAGAAGCGCGACTTCGAGGAGGAGAGCAAGGACTACTATGCCTACGTCGGCAGGTATCTAGGCCAGAGACAGGACTCGGTCAAAACTAAGAAGCTTGCCGACAGCGACACCAAATACGCTTCCAAGCGAAGAAATTTCGAGCTCAAACGCTTCGACTACTCTTCCTTTATGCAGGATCTCTCCGGTGGACGCAAAGAGCAGGAGGTGCTGTCGCATCTCACAAGATACGCCGACGCCCAGGCCAAGTCGTTCTTGTCTACCTCTCGCAAGGTCGAGGGCTTACTGCCACAACTCGAGGCCCTTTCCAGCGAGGTGCAGGTCGCCGACAAGGAGTATCAGTACCAGCGGCGCGAGAGAGAGGAGAAGCGACGACTGCTCGAGAAGAGCAACAACTCTGCGGAGCCCGAGCCTCCATTCACCGCGGTCGGTCAGGGCATCCCCATACCGGCTGCCAACGGCGCCCCTGCCAACTCTGACCCCGATCTGAACCGTGCCGACAGCACGGGCTCTCAGCTGCGCGCGGTTTCGACGGGCAATTCGCTGGGCACGGTAGCTGCAGACGGCTTGTCGAGATCGCCCGGAAGCCTGGGACATAGTTCTGTTGGCAGTCCTCCTCAGCCGTCCAAGTTCAAGGGTATTCGCGACCTGGAAGAGAAGGACCCGAGCATAGCGTCAAACCCAGAGAAGCACGGCGCCCAGCGAAAGGAGGGTCTATTGTGGGCGCTCAACCGACCGGGCGGCCATGTCGACCCCCGTGCGGCCCTGAACAAGCAGGGTTGGCATAAGTAAGTTACCCCTGACTCACTCTACTCTTCTGGCGCAACACTCTAACAGCACTGTAGGTTCTGGATCGTGCTTGACCAGGGCAAGTTGTCCGAATATAGTAATTGGAAGCAGAAGCTCGATTTGCACATGGACCCGATCGATCTTCGGCTAGCGTCAGTCAGGGAGGCCAGGAATGCCGAGCGTCGGTTCTGCTTCGAGGTCATCACTCCTCACTTCAAGCGTGTGTACCAGGCAACGTCAGAAGAAGACATGAACAACTGGATCACGGCCATCAACAACGCCTTGCAGAGCGCCGTAGAGGGCCGAGGCATGCGGGACTTGCCTGCCCCTGCGCCCGCAGAGTCTTCGTCCTCGCTTAGGCGAGACATCGGTTCCATCCTCACGGGCAAGAGTCCGTCCATTGGAAGTGGTCACGCGCACGCACCAAGCACGTCGTCCGGCATTCCCTCGCGGCGGATCACTGTGGGCGCGAGGCCAGGCTCACACCGCGCCGCGAGCAGTACCTTTGAGGAGAACCCGGATAAGCTCCTCCAGCAGCTTCGCGAGAATGACCAGGGCAACTGCTGGTGCGCCGACTGCGGCTCTGGTACCAAGGTAGAATGGGTCTCGATCAACCTTGCCATCATCCTCTGCATCGAGTGCAGCGGCATTCACCGGTCGCTCGGCACACACATCAGCAAGGTCCGGTCTCTGACTCTCGACATTACGTCCTTCACTCCGGACATCATCGAGCTGCTCATGCAGGTCGGCAACCGCGTCTCCAACATGATCTGGGAGGCTCGGCTGGACCCCGCCGCCAAGCCTACGGCACAGGCCACCCGCGAGCAGAGACTGCGATTCATCACTGCCAAATACGTGGACCGCGCCTTTGTCGAGCCGATCTCGGCCACGCTTTCTCGCTACGGTACCCCGGACGAGACCCTTGTAGCGGCGATCAAGAAGAACGAGATCCAGCAGATCATCTACGCTCTGGCTCTCCGAGCAAGCCCGAACGCCACGGATAAGTCTAGGGGCACGCACTGCGTCTTTCTGGCTCTCGCCGCGGCCGACCCGGCCCAACCGTCACCCACCTCTACACCTTCTCGAACACCTGATGCCGAGAAGCCAGTCGCGTTTCCGGCTGCCGAGCTGCTCGTGCAGAATGGCGCCGAGATACCAGCTTCGCTCCCTGCCTTCCCTCTGAGCCGCAGCGCGCAGGCGTATATTGAGATGAAGCGTGGTCGCAACGTCCTGATGGCCAGCGCCTCCAATGCCGGCAGCGGCACCGGCTCTTCGTCGTACGGCCCAGGCGCCAGCCACTACGGCCAAGACGGTAGTGCCGTGGGGTCTCTGCCCTCGAACTACTCGTCCGACGCCAATAGGTTGGCGCGGGAGAGGGAGGCGAGGCTGCAGAAGCGGGTCAGCGCCGGCGGCAGGCTGGCCAAGAGCCCCATCCCAGAGAGGTAGGGCCCTTTCGCAAGAGGGGGTGCGAGCTCGTGCGGGAAGCTTGTCAGGGGGCGATGGTGGAGCAAGAGCTTTTGACGGCGGTGTCGAACGGCGACGACAACGACACCACCAACAGTGAGTATGTGGTGTGACACGGGTGGCTCCTTGGCTCGTTTTTATTTTTGTTTTCGGCTTTTTTTTTTTTCCCTCCTCCCCATTTGGGTATATACCTCTTCTCTTTGTACGATTGGATTGACGAAAAGATGGAAAGACAAGAAAAGGGATGGCTTTTTGTGTGGGTTCCGACTGTTTGGCATATTTGATGAGGCGCCTCGTTTCCTAACCCCGTTACACAAATCACATTAATGACGATGGATATGGAAGAAGAGAGAGAGACAGAGAGATACACACACAGAGACAAGGCGTTTTGAGGCGTTTTATTGAGCAGAGTCGATGGATGGATGGATGGATGCCTGAGGGCTCTCGTTTGTAGGTTTAGTTGACTGATGTCGGGCGGATCAGGCTCGGTCTAGAGAGGAGGGGAGGAGAAGAAGCATGGAGAATGGAATAGAATTGTGCGTGTATCGATGTGTACGACGGACGTCTGTGTGTCTTGCATCGACGGAAGCATTTCTCTTAAGAGCAGATACATGCAACATCCCACATGTGTTACCCCCCCCCCCCTCCCTTCCCCCCCCCCCCCCCCCCCTTTCGTGCGCTAGAGAAATGTGATGACTTGTTTGATATTCTCACATTGCTGTCCCCAGCGAACCTCACAGTGCTCTCCGGAGCATTCGCATGTGTACGAAGGGTGTCTCTCAAGCCGTCGAGAAGCGCTTGCTCCGGGCAGCGGTCCGCATTACTGCGCCCCGGAGGGTCGCTCTCGCTTTCTGTCTTGAGGCGGCGCAAGCGAAGTCCGCTTTTGCATGAATGTCTGGTGCATCGCCAGTCCCGAAATCCGCTCCGTGTTCAAAGTCGAGCTCCGCCGCTCCGCCGGGGTTCGCTTGACACGCCTCCACGCCCTTGTTGAGCCTCTAGATGGATCCCCGTGCCGTGGGGAGAAGATAGGACTGCCGACAAGTCTTCCGGTCCTAGTCTTGTGGCGGGCATGACCGTGTCCCTTTCTGATTCACTGCCTCGTCAGTCTGTCGGAAAGAGCAGTGGCGAGTCTCCAGTCTTGAGTCTGTTCCCGAGACACCATTCAAAGGCAGAGAGATTCAGCAACATGGGCCCGGCCTGTCTTCCTTTCGCACAGTGCTCTCGGTCAGACTTGACAATGAGACATCAGGCTGAGCCGAGATCAGACGGGCCGACTGATATTGCAATTTTTAATGCACCTGTTATTCTGCTTCAAGTACAGGCCGAAACAGGGGCTCTTGCGCGATTTCGATAAGACACGCGCGTTGTTGCAACATGTGAACGCGCCAGGAAGGGTTCCGGCATGGCTTGCATGTATGTGTGAGGATCAAACCCCCAGTCATCGGGAAGTCTCGAGAATAGTGGGTGCTGAGATGTGGAAGATCGAACGGAGATGGCATGGCATGAAAGCCCCGGGGGCTTTTGTGATTATCTCTCTGGTCGGGTTGGTCCATCTCAACTCGCAGAGGGCAGGATTCACGGAAGTTGACACAAAACGGGGGTGGAGCACGAGAAATCTGGTGCGTGGGTCTATGGTAACCAATATGAGCGGACCACTCATACAAGGTGCCCGTTTAGCTCAGTGGTAGAGCGCTTCACTCGTATCCACATTATTGTACAATGAAGAGGTCCATGTTTCGATCACATGAACGGGCATAATTTGGCACGTTTCTTTTTTTTTGCGCCTTTTCTTTTGGTTAATTTCACGCTTGGCAAGTCCCTCGATTGGAAACAGAAGTCAATGGGAAGAAAGTCTCCTTATTTTGGTTTCTCCTTTATTGTCAGTAGGTTGGTTAGTAGGACTCGGTGCCTGTGTCTAGAACTTAAGCCACGGTATCCAAGTTACTAATCCGGCTTTCCTGGTCCAGCCGACACGACTAGGTATTGTATGCATCCAAGACAAAATGATTTTGCAGTAAAGAGCAAAACTACGCTGTACGGCCTTGGCAACGCCACTCTTGCAATATTTCTTAATTGGGACAAAACCTGATCTGCGCTTTGAAATACTTCGGCCCAGCAATCCCAAATCACCTCTCGAAGCGGGTTGTTGACAAGTGAAGGAAAACAGCCCCTGTCGTAGCGCTGTTCAGCTTCTTCGCTATCAACCTCGCCAAATGGCACTTTCCAGGCCATTATCTCGTACAAGATGCACCCGAGAGCGAAGATTTCCCGTTTCAAGATATCCACCTCGTCGTACTCCCGCCCTTTTGGTGGTAGCGTGTATCGGCCCTCATAGCACTGGTCCAGTCTGAAGCGATCCGGCGGGTCCCGAAGAATTGAGCCACCAAAACCGCCAAGCTTGATGCGGAATCCTTCAAATAGAAAGGCATTTCTCGCACTGAGGTCGGCCGAGTAGACGCCTCGATGGTGGACATGCTCAAGTCCCTCAGCAACATCAACTGCCATTTGGAAGCGGATTGGGAGTGATGGCATATTGTGCATGGAGTCCTGGATATACTGTCGGAGACACCCATGAGGTGCCAGCTCTAGCCGAATCGAGTGAACGCCTGGGCTGACTTGCTCGAGGCCAAAGTACTGAAGTCTCCGGGGGTGTTGGCCCAAATGCCTGTAGATGATGTCTTCTCTAAGGATGCGGTCTTGGCATGGCTCGTACTGGCCGGTGCGCTTCCCTCTTCCACCACACTTCGTAGCCTTTCAATGCGGTTGTACCATCGACTGTGGTTACGATGGAGGTGCTTCCATACCCGATAATCCTAGGCTTGGGATCGAGTTGCTGGTCGGAGTGGTCGATGCACATGTTGAAAATAACATCGCGTATTGGAAGGGGGAGAAGGCGGGAGGCAAACAACGAGGCTCCCGCTAGGAGTTAGCTAGGTGGGGTGAGTATGTGGTAGGGGACCACCCCCCCCCCCTCGCCCT